GAGAGCATCGACCGTCACCGTGGTATTTTGGCGTACGCCAATGCCGCCGTCCAACTTGTCGAATCATGAATGGGGGCTAATACTTACGGATACCACATGGGGATGGCCAAGGGGACCAACGAAACATGATCACTCTCCTATTCGCTCGCTCGCTAACTGGCTTTCACTCCAGAGCGAAACAAGCAAGAGCTATATCGGCTCAGCTATGACTGGTACGAGTGGCCGTGCCAGTCTCGGCTTGGCTGGTCAAGATATGGCGAGGGCTGCAAAAGAGTAATTACAGAGCTGAATGGAATCATCCCTCGGCCTTGCCCTCCTTTGATCAACAGCACTTCTTCCTCGAGAGGTGGTGGACGACAGCCTCAATTGTTTACCACACTTAATGATCAACCAACCAACCGCCAGTTGTACCTTTGACCCGTTCTCGTCCCACTCGTCCGTTGTCACTAACCATGCGACGCCTCGATTTCGTAGTCTTGCTTATTATCCACATGAGCAGCTTTCTCATCTCCCCCCTGTTTGGTCCCCTTTTTGGCCCCCCCTTCCTTCGGATTGCCCCTCGGTCTTGGTCCCCCATTTCAACACTCAGAGTCGGAGGCAGGCCGCAATCCGAGCCTCGTCTTTGCTCAATAGTCGACCTTATGACTGACCTGGAGTGGGCAGAGTACCGGCTTGAGCCTCCCGTTGGCGGCCGTGTTGATCTGGTTTGGGGCGTGGATTCACCAATGGGCATTCCATGGCACTTCTCCATACAGATACACCGTGAGATTTCCGTCTACGACCTGGAATGCCGTGGGCATGAGCAAAGGCTGCTTCGCACTTCCGATCTGGACGGAGATTTTTGTGCTACTGTAGGTAGGTATTGGACAGCCAAGATGCGGATATTGCATTCCAACCATATGGGGGGCCCCGTTTATGGCCCGGTAAAGGTGGTCTTCGCGCAGATTCCCGACCCCTGCCCATACATGGCGAGGTCCTGTCTCCCCCTGGCCTAACCGTACACACCGCGCCGCACCCGAGATGGTACTTTGACACGGTACTTTGACAGTACAGTACAATGTACATTGCCGTGGAGCTCCTGGCTCTGTGCGGGTGGCCCACTAGAACCTGGTTCTCCAGGAGTCCAGGACACCTCCTCTCCCGTTCCACCTGGCCCCTTCTAGCCACACATCCCTGCCTTTCCCGTTGGCTCCCACCTGGCCGTCAGGTATAGCCAGGGGAAGGCACTACCACTTCTGGCTTGGTCTGTCCTATCCTGAACAGCCTACTCGATCCATCCTCCAATCCTCCAAGCTTCTCAGTCCAAGGGTTCATCCTTCTCTCTCCACCCAAGCCGATGGAACACTGACAGCCGCCATTGCCAGACTGCCAGACACCGTGACGCCCAAACCTACCAGGAGTTCAGAACACTTGTCGTTGCCCCACCGATTCTTTTTTGCGGAGGGGGTTCCGTTGCTGGGGCACGGGTACGGTGCACCTACACACTACGGTACCTACGGATACAAAAGCACCGCAAGAAGGAGCGTGAGCATGTGCCTTATTATAAGCCTCGCCGTTTTACACTTTGCTGCTGTGCAGAAGTTTCTAGTTTGTACCTCAATGCTACAGAATGATGGCGTTCTGCACTTTCTCAAGTCCTTCGAGACTCAGCTCAGGACGATCAGAACGCAGGTAGGTCCAGACGATTGTCTCGAGATATTGCGGCGATGGCGCTCTTCAGCTGATACGACGTCCTGCTTTCTGAATCTGGACGAATATCAAGACGCCCATCTCTGTCCCTTCCTGGGGCATGCGGCATGCGGCATGCGGCATGCTGTCGTTCGTTCTTTCGCTCGTTCGGATTCCCCATATTGGTTGCGTCCCACTTTGGCCCCCCCATAGGCCCTTGTCTCGCAGCGGCTCTGATGAAGAATTGAAATTGCATCAACTGCATCTCAATCTCGTCCACCACACTCTTGGATCCTCGCCTTGCTCATCACCGTCTCGGATCTCCATTCCTCACGAGGCTCGCACAGCGTTATCCGAGTCCACGTTACAGATTGCCAGTAGTCATTGACGTGCCAGGCCCAGCTTTGCTCTAGTGATACAGAGTACGGATACAGCCTACTAATCACACGCGGGGCCTGCTTCCCCACGGTACGACAGGTTTCGCAGACTAAAGTAGAGCCACCAACTCCGGATACTTTTCCCGTACCTTGCACAAGTGTCTGGCTAGTGGCATTGCACTATGCAAGGAACTGCATTCATCAGCCCAAGTTCTAGCACCATGTGACTACAACGGTGCACAAGAATGCGGATCGCCAGCGGCTTTGTCGTCGGAATAGCCTCCTCCTTCGACCTTGCAGCCGCCGCTACTCCTTGCAATCACGGTTGCTGCATCCGTGTTCCAAGATCGAAACCCCTAGCATCCACACCTGTCCAGCTATTCGGATGAAACGCGCCTACAAGGAGCCCAGGTCTGTTGAAAATAACCCCAGACTGTCACGGAAGCTTTGGGGCAAGAGAAGCTCGCGTCGACTTGGAAGTTGGAATTTCCTAACCAGCTGGCCCCGTCCCTTGTGGCTTAGCTTTCGACCTTGTTTTCGCCATCCGAGTGCCAGCCTGGCATGGGCTAGCAAAGAGAGAAACAACAAGCAAAGCCAATTTTGAATACCTACGCAATATCCGTACAAACCTCGAAACTCCTTGGCAACGCTTGGTGCCAATGGGCGGCCGAGTCCTACACCATTTGGCTGGCGAGAATAGCACACGATTGCCAACTCCGACCGTTCGAAAAGACTTCCGAGCTCACCGCAACCTGGTGCGTTTTATATTTGATCTATCTCGCCTCTCCATACAGGTCATCACTATTGCAAACCTTGCCTGCGGGACCTGTCCGAACCACAACCCAACTTTACGTCTGAATCGTTGCAGTCTCCCTAATCCGTTCAACAAACTCTGCTGTCCGTTCGCGTGACAACTTTTATCGACGCTGTCTCCCACTTTTCGAATACAGAGTTGCGGTCCACGCCTCGTGCCTTGGACTGACTTCCAAAAGGAGGAAGACATAAGTATGTAAGGAAGGTCTACCACTATGCTTTAAATAGCCGCGCGGTGTGTATTACATACCCAAAAGCCAGCTGCACGCAGGATCCGCAACGCCGCATGAGATCCGCCTTGCATTAAGTCATTTCTGATCCAATTAATTCTGACATCGGATCATCAACAGACCACATAAGTGTCTATCTCACGGAAGAACGATTCCCTGATCTGCATCCTTCCCAAGAGACAACACGCGCATCATCGTTGGGATGTTGGAACGGGGCGGGACTTGTCCTCGAGTCAAGAACATAAGGGCCGGTCGCAGCATCATTGCTCAGTGTTCATCAGTGTTGAGTTGATTGGCGCCTTGCTCCGACATGTGCCCAAGACCCCGTCCGTCAGCAGCCGTCACGGCTGCTCATTCTGCGAGGCTTGAGGTTTAAGCTTCGCAATTAGACTCTTTGGCTACTACGCTGCAGGCATACTCTCTCTACCAACTAGTCATGTCCATGCAAACTCTTGTGACAGCCGGGCAGTTCCGAGCCCGAATTTCGACCAACAGAGCTCGTTCACCAACTGTCTAAAGGAAGTTCAGAACCGGCGTTGCTGCGGGTCAGCCGGCATTCTCGTGAATGATTGTTCCGTCGATTGTATCCGCCACTCGGCTTTTTTCTTGGGCTGCGACTATGGCTAGTCGTCACCGCTACCACTCACTTCGGACCGATCGCCAGATACGTCAATGCGTGCGCGATCTGCCGTATTCGTCTGCGGATGCAACGGTAGTATGATGTTTCCATGTACGACGGTTGAGCCACCGCTTCGGGTTAACCCACCTTTCGGACGGGTTCGATATTTGGGCGTCGGACATTCCGGAAAGGTAATGAGGTCTTCTTGGATGTTCAAGCTCCAGGAACTTTGACGCAGAATGAATCAGTTGGGAGATATTCGAGGTTATCATGGTGTACCATTGGGCTACTAACACTCCCTTTCACGGCCAACGCTCAGCTCGCAACACGCCCCTTCCTGCACAGACGTGATCGGAATACAGGATACCGTCTGTTTACTCGCCATCGCCCACAATCCCTCCCAGAAGAAGGGCATCGAGACCTTCTAGAAGAGGTCTGATGTGGGTGGCTTCAAACGCAAGATCGGCCGAGCAACCACGAGCTGCAGGCTCTCTGACCATGTTCGGACTCACAGCGCGCACGTTTGACAACCACGGATCATGAAGATTATCCAATTGTCAATCACCGCGGCGCACCATCCCGTTCGGAGCCGGCCTCGGTCCAACGGTATTCAAACACAAGGTGCGCGAACAGACGACTTTTTTCGTCAATAGTGACTCTCACACATTGACATTGATTGCAGGTAGAGAGCTCGTTTCTGACGTTACCAGCAGCAAAGACCACGCCTTGCAAGGTTCAGCCTACGCTTCGCTGTCTCACTTTTTTGTTTTTGGCTTCGACTTGACAGCTCCTGCACTCCCTCCCACCTCGCGAAGACCATGGATCCCTTGGAAAGGGCTATGCTGTCATCGTCAGTCAGAGGACGCGATTTGCTGGTGATGGGGCCGTCCGTTGATCGGCCGAGAACAAGCGCAAACCAACGTAACGGAGTTGACTGCCCGCATTGTAGGCTCCAAACCATCTCGTCACTTGCTTCACTCCCTTCGGTCATCATGCCAAACGCTCAATCATCTCTGTCTTTCTTACTGGAGTCAGCGCTCCGATGGAGATTGGTGTGATATTCCGTAACTCCTATCTAGCCCATCGACACCGTCTCTGATGCGTTTGCAGCAAAATTGCTGTCAAAACCATTGCAAAGCTCCTCAAAACCCTGTATGATCTCGCTCATGCCTCGCCGCAGCACTTTCAAAGCACGCCGGGTTGTTTTTCTTCCCTGCTCCCCTCATCTCTCTCTCTCTCTCTCTCTCTCTCTCTCTCTTCTTTTATACCAAACCATACACTCCAGCCAGTTCTCTAAGGCTTGCAGCGTCCCATGTAGCGGGGATACAAGCATGTCGTACGAACGGTGTGCTGGTTGGCCAACCAGGCCAAGAAACGCTCGAGGCCGAGACCGTAGCCGCCGTGGGGGGACGTGCCGTACCTGAAGCAACATTGTCAGCATTGTTTGTCACACTATAGCTCCGAAAGGAACTGAATCTCACTTTCTTTGGTCAGTGTACCAGTAGTAATCCTTTGACGGGATTCCCTCTCTGTCGTAGGCAGCAAGGAGCTCGTCGTAGCCCTCCATTCTCATCGATCCACCGACAATTTCTCCGACGCCAGGCATCAGGCAATCGACACTCTCGGTGACACGCGGATCGTTGGGGTCCTTCTTCATGTAGAAGGCCTTGATCTCGGTGGGGAAGTGGGTGAGGAAGATGGGCTTGTTGATGATGTCGGTCATCCTGCGCTCGGCAGCCTCAGCAATGTCATCGCCAAACTTGTGGGTCTCGCCGTCCTCGTTGAGGATTGGGGGGTCTTGGGCGTTGAGCCAGTCAATGGCGTCGGTGTACTTCATGCGCAAAAAGGGGCGGACGGGTTTCTTGAAGTCGGGGTTGAGCTCCTTGACGTAGGCGGCGATCTCCTCGTCGGCGAGGACGTTGTCGATGACGCGGCACATAACCTCCTCGAGATGCGCAAGCAGGTCGGGGAACTCGATAAAGTCGAGCTCCGCCTCGACGTGAGTGTACTCGGACAAATGTCTGCGCGTCAAGCTGCGCTCGGCACGGAAGGACTTTTCGATACAGTACACGCTGCCCAAGCTGGGGAGAACGGTCTCGAGGTATAGTTGGGAGGACTGGGTAAGGTAGGCAGCCTCGTCGTAGTAGGGGACGGAGAAGAGCGTGGAGCCGCCCTCGACCTGGGTCTGCACGAGGGCCGGGGGAGAGACCTTTGTGATCTTGAGGTCCTTGTACGTCTTGGTGAAGGCCCACTCGACGGCGGCGCGGATCTTCATGATGGCGGACGCGTTGTCGCCGCGGAGGACCAGGTGGCGGTTGTCCAGCATCTGGGAGTCCCACTGGTTCTGCAGCAGCGAGACCTTGTTGGTGATGGCATCCTCGTCCGTCGGCGAGGTGCCAATGACCTTGTAGTAGTCGACATGGAGTTCACGGTTATCGGGTGCCGTCTGACCCTCGGGGACCTTCTTCAGCTCGCCGTAGACCCACAGGGAGGTTCCCTGTGCAAAGGTGAGGGCATCGTACGTCTTTGTGAGGTCGCCGGCCTGGAGCACGCATTGGAGGTGACCGTAGCCGTCAACGAGGGTGATGAAGGTGGCCTGCTTCTGGGCGCGCAGCCGGTGGATGCGGCCGGCAATCTTGACGCGGTCGCCCTTCTTGTCGGCCTCGCCCAGCACGACGGTCTTGTCGGCAATGGTGATACGCTTCGCGGCGGGAAGCGACTCGTCCTCCTTGATGACGATCTGCTTGGCGGCCTCGAGGGCCTGGTGGCGAGCCTTCTTCTGCTCCTCCTCCTTGGCCTCGATCTGGGCCTGCTTGACCAGCTTCTTGCGGTGGGCGTCGAGGGCGGACTGGGCCTTTTTCACGGCGCTCTTGGCGGGCTCCTTCCACTCGAGGCGGGCGGCTTCGTCATCGCCCGTCTTGGAGGCGCGGGTGAGGAACTGGCGCGAGGCGACGGACTCGTTGTTGGCGATATAAGCGGCGGCGAGGGACTTGAAGGGGGAGGACTCGGTGCCCTGGGTCGAGGGTTCGTCGGCGCCGGCGTCGGTGTCGACGTAAACCTTATCCTCCGTCTTGGGACGCTCGGCCAACTCCTGAGTGGCGGCCATGGTTGTGGTTCTACTAGAGTGAGAAATAATCCGCGATTATTGACTCAAGTCCGGCGGGTGGTTGTTGGGTAGTTGTATACAACAATTGTTTTGGGAAATTTTTGGGACAGTTTCTTGATGGCGGGGTAAATTATTCGGATTGAGTTGGTGGGAGGGACAGAGGAGCGAGGGGAGGGGTCCCGGAAAATGCAGGCGGGAGAAGTGTGGCCTGGTCTGATGTACAGCGTTGGGTATCTTTTTTGTGACTGTGCTGCGTGAGTCACTTGCAACCGAGAAGCCAGCAACAATTTGAAGAAAAAGTCAAGTCAAGGCGGGTATTACTGAGGGAAGTTCTTCCAGGTGAGCTTGGCTAAAGGTTGAACACTTCTTTATTTAACAGACTGTTTTACTGCTGGAAGCTGTATGAGTCACTTGGACTTGTCTGGGGTTTGTTACAGTGCAATATACCTCGACCCCTTGATGCAATTGCTCCCTGGGCTGTCTGTTCAGAAGACTTGCCTCCCAATTGAGCGTTGTAATTGCTCAGAGATAAGGGGAGCTCGGGCCCTACGGACACCTGGGCGGCTGGGGGCCCTCTTTCTTTTTGACGCGCCCGTTTTGCTGAGCAACTGGCTCCGAAGATAGGCGGTGCGTATCTGGGTCGGCCGGGTCCCCCTTGACTCGAGCGTCTAACGATGGGGAATGCATGGCAAAGCGACGGTGAGACGGGCGGTGGTGTTATTGTTGTCGTCGTCTTTGCGTGCTTACCGTAGGCATGGCGGTGAGAATGCCGGAAACTGAACAATCTTGGTTGTTTGGATTCGAGGCAGATGCTATCGAAGGCCGGCCTTGGGGGAAACGGGGGCTGCATCAGTTTCTTTATGAATGATGCGCAATTATTTGCAGTTTCATGGGGTCGGGTCAGTGAAGCTATAAAGGAGATTCGGGGAAATTGGGAACGGAAAAAGCTTCAAGATGCTCCCGACAGAAACACTTTTTGATGCGTGTCCTCTCTCGTGGTGTCCCAGCTTGCTGCCATCTCACGATGTAGTCGAGGACTCTTTTTTCTTCATTCTCGTTATTCCTCGTGTACAAGTGGTTACGTTGACCCAAAAAAAAAAAAAAACCCTGAAATATCCGGTGCTCGGTGCGAGTAATTTGTTTGTTGCACCATCCCTTGACTCGGTAACAATCTCGAGATTCGCTTCGCGATGCCGTGGCGTTGAATGTATCAAGCTCTGCGAATACCTTTTTGTCCCACTCTCGTTCTGGCACAGACAGGCCTGCATTTTGCTTCTAACCATCGCCTTCACCTTCATAAGCCAGGCTTCAATAATAATCCGAGATGACCAACTCGCCCCAGCGCCACTGGCCCAGGAGAACAGGCCGCCGCCTTCCCCCCCCCCTTTTTACACCTCACACCAACGCCCCCAAAATCAACCCACTCACAACTCATCCTTCTCGTCAACAACAACGTCAGCAGCAGCAGCAGTAGCAGCAGCAGCCTTGCCCTCCTTCCCCATCCCCTCTAGCCCCTTCTTCACCATCGAGCTCAGCACCTCGTACACGACCTGCGCCGCCGCCAGCGCCGTCTCCTCCCCGGCATTCTGGTACGCAGGGCTCACCTCCACCACGTCAGCGCCAACCAAGTTCAGGCCCTCGATGCCCCTCAGAATACGAATCAGCTCGCGCGTCGTCCAGCCGCCGGGCTCAGGCGTCCCCGTCCCGGGAGCGAACGCCGGGTCCAGCACGTCAATGTCGACGGACAGGTAGACCGGGTCCTCGGTGCCCAGGGTTCCCATGATGGACTTGACGATACCCGCGGTGCCAATGTCGTCAATGTCGTCGGCGGCGATGCGCACCCAGTTCTGCGCCGTGTCGTCCTCGTGGTCTGCAAAGTCGGTGCCCGAGAGGCGGGTACGGAGCCCCGCGTGCACCGAGGGCTGGTTTGTCGCGTTGGAGAGGAGGCCCTCGTTGCCGGCCATCCAGAACATGGAACCGTGGTTGAATTGCGTTGCTGTCCAGTAGGAGGGGTACTTGGCTGGGTGCCAGGTGTCTAGGTGAGCTGCGGTTCGTGATATGTGTGTCAGTCAACGCCATTCTTCCTACTCCGTATACGAGCTTTTCCATCCAGTTTTTTCACTGCTACTCTTTTTTCTTCTTCTCCATCTTGCCGTACGACATGTCAAAAGATGGTGGGAAGGGAAGAAACCATCCAGACACTCCACCGAAAGAGGACAAACGCGCTACCCACTCACCATCAAAATGCAACACCCTCAAGGGCGCACCGTACACCTCCCGGAGGGCCCTCAGCGCCGGCAGCGCGAGGCTGTGGTCGCCGCCGAGGGTGATGAGCTTCGGCCGGCTCAGCGACGACGACACGGGCCTCCTCTGCCCGAGCTCCTTGAAGGCCGCCGACATCTGCTCCACGGCGACGACGTTGTCCATGGGCGTGACGGGTATGTCGCCGCAGTCGAGGATCGTGGCCCAGTTGGCGTACGGGTTGATGCTGGCGCGCGGGTTGAAGCCGCGAAAGGACGTCTGTCTGCTCGAGGCCTGGCGGATGGCGCGGGGGCCGAAGCGAGCACCTTTTTGGATGAAGGGCATGTCAGTACGGCTGGTTTGTTGTACGTTCCGAGTGAAGAGCAATGGATGTGGTGATGGGGATTTTTGTGATATGTGGATTATGAGAAGAGAGATTGGGGTTGGGGTTTGGAGGTTTCCTTGCTCACCTGGCCTGTAACTAACTGCCGTGTCAAAGGGGGCGCCGATGATGGCGATGTCGTACAACTCGGACGGCGTCGTCAGGCACTTTACGTGCTTGAGATGAGCGAAGGAGCCGATGCCCGTGAATCCTAAACGCCTCGTGAGCCTCAACGTCTCCCTCGTACCCTCCCGCGCAACGGCGATGACTGACCCCACTGGACGATACTCGTTAGCTCACCATCATCTCATCAGAAGGGGGGGCTGCTTTGAAGATTGAATGATGTGCGGCGCCGACTACTCACCTCGAAACCCCATTTCGCTTCCAACTCATCCAGCTCGGCCTTGGTCCACTCCTTATCGTCGCCGTGGTTGCCGCAAGCAGCGGCCAGCAGGGCCGACGAGCAGCCCAGTAGCAGCGACGTCAACCTCATGACTGTAGTTGTATCTGTTCGTCAAGATTCCTCCGTAGCTGTTGTGTGTACCCCTTCCTCGTTGATGTAACAGTCACAAAGCAAAAGTGGGTGGAGAGAGAGCCAGCCGAATGCGCAAGAAATGGGAATAAGAGTCTCTCAATTTCGGGAAGTCTATCGAAAGGGGGAGGGGGAAGTAGGGAAGCAGCGGCTCGACAGCTTTAAAGGCAAAGACCGGGACCAAGAATATCGGGGACCGGAAGCGTAAACGACACCCCGACCGGCCCGGCGCGGGCTGCGCGCCCTGGGGGGTTGTCGTCCATGTTCGAGGCCAGACCGCCCTGCTCCACGTAGGTAATGTTCGGGAGCTTCTACATGGGCATAAAAAGACATGATCCGCCCGCTGGCCGCCCGCCGCGCAGTTGTAATTGGCCAAGGGCAAAACATGTGCCATGTTTCTTAACCCCAGACTTACGACCTTACCCTACATACATGGTCATTATCAGTTAGGACTGTCACCAGTATGACATGTTCAGTCAATTCAGCGGAGAACATCCGGAGTGGAGTGGAGGGCGGTCGTAGGTGGGGTTCGAGCTTCCCGACCAGTCGATAACGAGGTTTATCGTCCAAAGGAAGACCCTGCCGATGCCGGTAGACTGAGTGAGGAAATAAATTGTCAACGATTGCATTAGACTAGAAATGCTCGAGGTGCGCCAGCTCTCCAGGATGTAAACAGTAGCAGAAGGCGATTCGGATGGATTGGCGGGCAATGCGGGGTCGGTTGGTGTGTCCTGGCCGCCGGCGCGCGGGGCAGAGGACCGAATATGTAACTAAGCGGTATCCGATCAACGCCCGGGAATGGTATCCCCGTTAAGCTTAGAGACAACACCGAAACGTCCAATCGCAAAAGTGCGATCTTGTGTCATCTATCTATCATCTTCAGCGTTCCAAGCTATGAAGGGGAGAGAGCAGAAGAGGTCCCTGAACGCGTATCCGTACTCACATACAAAACTCGCTCCCCCCAATCCCGCACAGCCTTTGGACCTACCCCGACCAGCCTACCTAGATCTCCTCATTCTTGAACCACCCGGATCTTCCAATAATCCTCTGCCCACCTTATCTAAACCTCTTTGCCTTCTCCGCAGGTCCCCCAGGGAAACCCCATGACCGCCCTCCGTGGCGTTCGCGACGCGTCTTGAACATAGCCTCCGTAACGGTTGCGGAACTACTACGTAGACACAACGGTACGCCGGTACGCTGGGGGAAGGGGATAGATGGTGGGTGGCTTCGGAGGCAGGTAAGACAAGCGCCTCCTCCTGTCTCTCTTTTACTACTTCTCGCTCTCAGCCTCTCTCTCTCTATGTGCGTGTGTGTGTCTTTCTGTCTTTCTCGATAGAGAATGCACAGACAGAAGTAGTAAAAGAGAGAGGCCCGGGAGTCCCTGGCGTGAGCGTTTGAACCACCCGTTGGGATAAACGGCATATTCAAGTTCCTTACCGCATCTGTCTCGCATTGATGACCGATTCCATCGGATGGAAGACGGCGTGTCGAGCCTGCGACGTCATTCTTTTATGCAGTCCCCCCCCTACTTACCTTACGCGCCCTCTCCCCCCCCCCTTTCCCACCTCTTTAACCCCAGGCCCCTTCAACTGCTGTTGCCCAAAAGGGTCGGGCACGCTCAGGCAGGCGCAGCCACTGAGGGGTCGTGGTGGTCTTTGCACCATCGCGCGCAAAAGTCAAGTAGAGTTTAAGAGAGGGCGCAGCTGGAAGAAAAGAACATTCCACGATAAGATTGCAACGTCAGGTCTTCTGGGCAGAAGGAGCGGCGCAGCCCAAATTTGAGCAGGCTTTTCGACGAAGTTACTGCCCACCGTCCATGACATGCCGCTTCCAACATGCGCGCCTTGCCATCTACGCACTTCCCCTCCAACATGCTGAAGCAAAAGTGAGCAGATGGCGTGTACCGAGGCGGGCAAGCGGGAATGACTCGCCTTGTCAATCCGATGTTGGATGCTCTGTTCCGCCCACGCATTTTAATCATCAGCAGTCAGTGGGAGATGATCCCCCCGAGGTCATGCACTCTTGCTGGTCGGTGCTCGCTCGGCTCAATCTGCAGTCTGTGGCTGTGAACGGGAATGTGGATAGACACCTGGGGTTTCAGCGCGTAGAGAAAAAAAAAAAAAGACCATCGATTTAAAGTGCACTCCAATCGCCAAACTGTCCTATCGAAGTATTCCTGCCTGCGTGATGAATTTACCCATCCCTAAATGTAGAAAAGCAAGAAAGACCACCGAGATCCGGGCTACAGCAAGGAGTATTGGGGATGCGGGAGGGATGAGGGGCTGGGAATTGGTATGGGGATGTTGGGACGAGAGAGAACTTTGGGAATTTGTAAACAGAATATGGAAGGGGAAAACACAGCCCGTCGACTTGCCCACTCATTCTCCTCGCAGTCCCCGGTCAAGATGTGCCTAGAAGCCCGGACCGCCGCGGCCAGATGATCCAATTCAAATCCTCGCTGTCGCTGAACCAGGAAGCCCAATCCATTAGTTTGCGAGGAACGACCGTCCTTGATCGGTCCAATGTTGCGGTTGATCAAGACCTAGCGTGTCCAATGCCATGCGCGCTGCAAAAAAAAGAGGTCCAAAATGCCGTTCGAAGATGGAAACCAAGAACCGTTTGCGCGCGCATCTGGATGGCAAGAGAAAATGCCCCAGCCCGGTTCTCGGCTTTTCCGCTCGCCGCCAGAGCCAGAACTGGACAGGGCGGGAGGAAAGCAAGACCCATGCGTCAAGGGGTCCCACGATCAGAGAACAAGGCACTTGTGTGACTTCTTCTTCGGGGCGGGAGGCTCCAGAGCCGCAACAATCGCCTGTGTGGACGTGTCAGTATAAGATGACCGTGACTGAGGTAAATGGGACATGGAGGGAAGAGCAGATCCAACGGGGAAACCGTACCTCATCGAAGACATCCTTCAGCTTGTACTGCGTCAGAGCACTGCACTCAACGTACTTGACCGCACCCAGATCCTTCGCCATCCGCTCGCCGTCCTCTTTCCGTACGGGAGACATCTTCTGCTTAGAAAGCTTCTCGCGGACGCTGGGGTCCTCGCGCAAATCGACCTGGGTGCCGACGATAAGGCAAGGAACGCCGGGGCAATGGTGATGTACCTCGGGGAACCACTTCTCGCGGACGTTCTCAAAGGAGGCGGGTGATGTGACGCTGAAGCAGACGAGGAAGACGTCGGTCTGGGGATAGGAGAGGGGGCGGAGTCTGTCGTAATCTTCCTGACCGGCGGTATCAAACAGTCCCAGTGTGTAAGGCTCGTCACCGATCCTGCGTAAAAGAAGAAAAATACCAGCATCAGCGAAAAGGCCTACCAAGTGTTCCAGCAACTTCTCATCTCTTGCGGCATCTTTTTTCCTGGTGCCCTATTGCCCATTCATCCATCCGTCGATTCATCCGCCCTTTGACCATCTCTTGAAAAGACCCCTTTGCCTTGGCTTTGTAGAACTCGATCTTCAAGTGTGCGGGAGGTGCTGCAGGAGAGGACTCACATAACAGTGACGGCGTAGTTATCGAAGACGGTCGGAACATATTCGGAAGGGAACTTGTTCGTCGTGTAGCTGATGAGAAGGCATGTCTTTCCGACTGCACCGTCGCCGACGACGACACACCTAGAACAAGAGAGAATCAGTTTTGATGTACACAAAAGTAGCGAGTGACATGCGCGCTTTGATGGCTGCCATTTGCCGATCGTCAAGTCTGGATGGGCAACAGTAAGGCAAAGCCTCCTCCAAACCCCAAGCAACAGGTGGCAGTGGGATCCGGCAGCGACCACAACACTGCGGACAGGGTAGCAGGAAGGCGAAATAGTGGGAAGGGTGATGGGTGTCGGGAAGGAGGAAAGTGAGAAAATGAGGCATGGTGAGAAGCGGCTCAAAATGTACGCACTTGATAGTAGCGACCACCATTGTCTAGATCAATGAGGCTCCTGTGCAGGAGCAGAGACCTGTGGAAAGAAGAACGAAGACCGGTCTCTCAGTCTCTCTCTTATCGCGCGGCGCGTCGTGTCGTGTGTCTTGTCTTGTCGAGGTCGGGGTCGGAGTCGGGTGTGATTTCCAGGCGCAGGTAGTTGGGGGTTAGAGTGGCAGCGGCAGGAGGAGTCGGGTGGTAAAGTGTGGTAGTGGTAGTGGTAGTGGTAGCCGTTGCTGCAGGGCGGAAAGATGAGGTGGGTAGTGGAGACGGGGACGGGGTCGAGGTCGAAATGGGTGGGCGGCGACGAAGGGGAAGAAAAGCGTGGATTGGGTCTGGTGCCGGTGTGGTTTTTTGGTGGCAGGAGGTGAGGGAGGGAGGAGCGAGGTAAGGAACAAGGTAAAGGCGAGGTAAAGAGTAAGGCGCGGGTAGGGAGGAGCGAGTGAGAAGGAGGCGACGACTGGACAGGACCCAGCCAAGGCAAGGACGTGGGAGGTCACAAGTGAGATGTCGTCGGGGATTTTTATTTTATTTTAGCAAGGTAGCGATGGCGTCGGCGGTGGTCTCGACACGCGCTGCAGCGGTGCAGCGGCAGCGCACACGCGGGAAAGTGGAAACAGCAGAGGGAATAGAAGGGGGGAAGGATGTAGCAGCAGTAGCGACCTTGCGTTAGGGGCTTCGGTTTTTTATTTTATTTTTTAAAAACTCCCTTTTTCTAATTCCTTCTTTTGCCGAGAAAGGAGGGCACCCGGGTGCGAGAAGAGTGAAGGGAACAAAAAGGAGGGATAAATTAGTTCAAAAGACAGATAGAATTGACGAGTGTCAGTTGGTGTCAGTCAGTGTCAAGGCACGGCAATGGGAGGCTGCAGGAAGAAAGCCTTACACGCACCACGTGTAAGGTACATAGAGAGACAGAGAGAGGTGAATGAGGCATACCTTGGTAAGGTGTGTATGGTATACCTAGGTATGCGTGTCTCGACACTCTCAAGATGAAGACAGAAACGGTACGCATCATACAGTCATCGCTTACGCTATCGTTTCTGACTTGAAAACAAGGGAATAGAAGACAATATTTACCCTCTGTTGAATTGGTTCGGCCAACTATCCATCCGTCCACCCACACCCACATGTATTTACTCCCGAGCCTTTTTTGGGACTGATGAATGGAAGGATGAACAAAGACTTCCATGACAGTTGACAGGAAACTCAAGCAACAGTTGCAGCCAACCAGCCCCGGGCAACCATCAAGGGATGCAGGTGCAGGAGATACGGGGACGGGCCCTTCCCAGGTTCTCGGCAGGGACGTAAACTACGGATATACAGAGTACAGATACCTGTTCAAATCAATTCGCAATGCCTCACGAGGGTAGCAAATCCCAAAGGGTGACAGGGTCATGAAAAGGGGAGAGAGGGGAACTCCTCACCTCGAATCAATGGGCAGTGGAAAAGCAAGCAATACCAAAATCTCTCGTCTCATCTTTCCCTCATCAAAGTGACTTGTTGCTGGACCAAGTGCCTCATGCCCTGAGCCTGGCTGTGAGTTTGCGCACTGAGCATGACTAGGGGGATAGAGATTGGAGAGTGCCCGTGTCGGAAAGGGTCTTCCAGGTCTTGGGTCTGTTCATAACCACCACCACCGACACCACCGCCGCCGCCGCCTCCTCTTCTTGCTCCCGCATCGACGTGATAATTCGGTGTTTGCAAGGCTTGTCTTTGCAATGATTGGGGTTGGTGCCTTGTTGTAGACGGGGACCACGGGGTAGTCACGGTTCCGGAGGGATGGATGGCGCCTGATCGGTTGGCGTTGGGGTGCTTGAGGTGGCCTGGTGCAGTGCTAGCTGGAGGGCATGGCCTAACCCGGAAGGTCAAGAACGTCCAGCCATGTTCCCTTTGATTGTGCGGAAGACGACAGGGCCATCCGTAGGCACCAAGGTATCGGATAACCAAGGGCAGACGTGGTTCAATGCTGCTGGATAGCCTGGATTCTGGAACGAGTAGCCTGGTCGGGGGTGAGCGGGGCTTCTTCACCCATCTTCCACCTCGCCAGCTTGCCTTTAATTTGTTCGACGTTCACCTCAACTTCCAGGGGTTACGTAGCCATCGTCGGTGCCATGCCCCGGTCAATTCATCTCAGTTTCAATTGCCATTTTCGAATTTCTCCTCCTGTCCTTTCCACTCATACCAGAAGGGAATGAGATGCGGTGATATGAACGGGAGCGCAAGCAGACACCCTTCTGGGATCTACCAACGAGGCGCTAACCCATCAAGCGCTTGCCTTCTATACCGAGAGGTGCGTTTCTTGGTGTCATTGGGTTACCGATGATGCCCGGCACAGCGTACCTAGTCCTGCCGCCCCTCCGTACCAAGAACCGGCCCAACGATCCCCAGGCTCCCAGCGAATGCCAGCAAAGCCAGCCGGATCTAAGTGAGGTAGGCGCGCGGCCACGATGCTGATGAGTTGGACAAAGTCTTGGGATTCTCGGCTTACTGGTTCCGTCCGGCTCTGGTTCTGGCTTGGGGTTGGGGGCGCGGGGCATCGTAGCCTGCTCCTCCACTTGATCCTTCACCGCCCTCACCGACCACTTTTTTACCCGTAAACAGTGGATCGTCCGTCCCCCGTACTTGAAAGAGCGGCATTCGCTGGCTCGGGCTGAGCTGTGCAGATGTTAAGACCGGCTTCGACTCCAGCAGCAATGGCGTTGCGACTGCTTTGGTAGTCAAGGGCCCAATGCCACAAGGTGTTAAGCGACGAGATAGTGCCAGTTGTCTGCAGAAGTTGTGTATGCTTGGAGTGCCAAATGGTGGTGCGTCTAGTGTACCCGAATTGTCGAAACTCCGAAAGTCGTCCAGGTGAGGTACCGTGGAACCTTGGAGAGCCCGCGTCACTGCGCAAATTGGGCCGGGGGGGACTTTGGGCCTGAGGCGTTTGCATCCCGTTCCCCACCATTCATTCTCACTTCGCAAAATGCATGTGCTTTCAACTCCCTAAGGTATGTACCTGGTAAGCTTCGACGAGGAAGGGAGTTACGAGTGCACACTGAGGGACGGGAGGTAACTACCTGTCTTAGGTGCCTACCTACGTACACTCTATTCCGCGTACGCTTAATCTGTGCTCTTGGATGAATGTGTGAGGCAGGAGACATTGGATTACTTCCAATCAATCCATCGTCCAACCAAGCTTCTGCAGCAAGACCCAAGAAGCACTCCTAACACCACCGCCTGCTCTTGCCCCTGCACCCGCAAAGCACGAGCAGATGCATCACGGTCCTGGAATCACGCCGGCCAACCCGCACATCGCATTGGCCTTTTACGCTTACCAACGCACATCTCGCCAAGTGCCGTCTGTTACCGGCTCATATGTCTCCCTCGCACCTACCATACGGGCCATTCTCGTCCAACCTTTCACAGTGGAGTGGAATGGGCTTATTCGGGTCAGTGCGAGGCATTTGGAGACGCCCTCACACCAGACAATATCAGACGAGAATACCTTAGCCGGGCTTCGTGACAGTCTCTTGGGCGCATGAAAAGGGAAGAAATGCCCCTCCCTCATCAACAACTCAGCCCAGCCCGGGTATGTCCAGCAAACTTTTCACCAAACCTTGCACGATCTATTTTTCTTCACGCAGTCATTCCAAGGTTCTTCGCTCCCTAGATCCGATTCGTATCGACGCCTCCTCGTGTGAGCCTGAAAATCGTAAGTTTACCACCAACGTCGGCGACCTCCTGCCACTCGCGGCCTTCAGCGGCGGCCGTTTATCGAGATGGGAAGGGGCACCGGTCCCAGACCATACATCGTTGCTTTTCGTCAATGCTGCCATAAGCTGCGGGATCTAAGCTACTGGGCCCCACCGTCTCAGACCGACACTACACTAATCGGCTTGAGATGGCCTTCTCGGGCGGATCCGCCCCTCCATCAAAAGCAACGCGGACCCAGAATAACATGCCTTTTGATCTCGACTTCGCCATACGGTTTTTCTTGAAACATATTCGTCGATATCATCCGAGTAAGAGAGGCGTTCTTGCTACGCTGCCGTATGTCACTGGCTACCGAAACTCGACAACTTGGATTGGTGATCCTCGGGGGCGCGAACTGCTTGTGCGTTTGGTTCACTCACCCAGCAACTCACCTAGCAATTCGGCGGTAATACTTTCTTCGTCTTCAGCTCCACTCCACGGTCTTGAACCTCGACGTTCAACCCTGACACACCATCTCGTGGCATGCCGTATCAATTAGACTCCATCCCCTATGCAGCCTTTCTTCTGTAGCTTGCCGTCCCGGATGCTACCCTCGCTTCGCGCTGTCAAAATGGGCATCGAAACACCGCCAGGCCCGCGAAGTATCTCTGAGGTTGGACGATGCCTTCCAAGTCATAGGGACGACACGCGTTTGAGGTAGTCTCCCATGTACAGGGAATAAGTTAGACGGAAACCCGCAGCCTTCTTTAACGCTTCGATCCGTCCATGAATGCCGCACCTGGCGCGATGGCCCTGCTTGCTTCCCGTCGCACATCACGTTATCGTTTTTATTTTGATGTCTTCCCCGTTTTCATTCAAGTCCCATTACCATTCCAGGCTTTGGAACAAGAGCCAAGCACTCTGCTTGTCTATCCTCAGTCCCACCTGCGTCCGTCGCCCTAGGGTCCTGTATGATCGATCACCGGGATCACCGACATAAAAGGACCATCCCCGGCTCGTGCTCGACAGGTTGGCGTTGACAACGGGAAATACATCCCAATAGGCGGTCGGACCCCGTGGCGGCGTCAATCTGTGTGGCTATTATCCTGACTGTCACGTCTTCCTTCAGACGGCGGCATTCTTCCGTGCTGCGCCCACAAGGCAGCACTCGACAGCAACCGTCCCCATCAACGTCGAAAGCTGAAACATGAAGCTATGCCAGAACGGTTGCATTGGTACCAACGCATTACAAACAACAACCGACCCGACGGCCTTCCGAGAATAAAGACAAGGCAGGATCCCAAGGGGCCAAAGGAGACGGACAGGACCAATCCTCCACCTGTCTTTGTTCCGCTTTGTTTGTCGCCGAGCCTCGACATCGCCCCAGTCCTTTGTGTGCGTTTGTGTGTTCCATGCCACCGTTGCATTGCATTCTTGCACGTTGTTTGCTCGGCCGTTTTCTCTGTTAATTTAATCTTTGGGGAGCGTATCCGTATCTTGGCGGGTGGTATTTCCCGTTGGAATGTCTGGACCGCGGGATCGTCGCATGTCAGGAACTTGCCCGGGAAGTTATTTTGATTCATTCGCTGGGCTGGCGGCGGACAAGCTCAAAGTAGAGCTACTGTAGCTGTCGGTCCCCACTGTAGTCAAAGGGCACTATGACGGACGGACGCAATGTACTGCTACCCACTGCCACAGACTCGGGTCTTCCAGTCGCTAGCTCAGGGCTACCCCTGCATGAGGTGCCGTCCCTTCTGTGCAGATCATCGCTCAAGCCACATTTAATTTCCTACAGAGTACGGATGCACATGTGAGGCTACAGCCGACAATCAACCTCATGCATAGCCCTACGGGACCACCTCGTCTTCATCGCTCAGAGTCAGACAGCTCAGCTGCGTACGTGCCTTGGGTAATCTTGACGACACCGCGCCCTACCTACACACTTTGATTCTCTTCAGCCGCACACCTCAGCCACAGCAAACGATCCGCCACCACCCCCTTTGCTCAACTGTGCCCCGCCATATCTCACAGGCACAGCAACACGAGGAGGCAATGGAGACAGAACGCATCGACAGCCTCCTTGAGCGCTACCTCATCCTGCTGGACGAGTACACGACCTTGCGGGGGCGTCTCAGCGGGACTCAGGCCGGGATGTATCAGAACATTGCACGAGCCAACTTCTCTGCGGAGAGGGGCGTTCGATACGGGCCCGACTATTACGACGAGCGCATGCAAGCTTCGAGAACCCTCTCGCTGTCGGCGGACGACAGGGGTGTCGCCCGTTTCGAGGTTATCAAGCTTGCAGATGATGCTGTGACGGAGCCAATGGCGGAGATGAAGGCTACGGAGGCTGTGAAAGACGGGGCATCGGCGGCGGCGGCAACGGCGGATGGTGATGCTAATGCGGCCCCGGGCACAAAGCCGGAAGGGGTGGCGTCCGTTGATGAGGTACAGGCGAACGGACAAGCGGAGCGGGAGGAGACGGAGAGGGAGAAGGAGAAAAAGACGAAGAAGAAGAGCAATGATCCTCTTCGGTGGTTCGGGATCCTGGCACCGATGCCGTTGAGACAGGCCCAAACGCTATCGGTGCAGGCCGTGCAGGACATCATCCCCCGGTTAGTGTCGGTGGACGCCGAGATGAAGGATATCGAGATCGAGGTCCGCCGGGCGAAGAAAAGGCGAGCCAAGGCGGAGACGGCAGCGGCGGCAGCGGCAGCGGCACTGAAGAGGAGTGATGGGGATGAAACTGGGGGAATTGTTCGGCATGAGCCACACGCAGTAGTGGCTGTTGATTCAACGTGAATGGGGCATTTCTTCCAAGGGAAGATGAAATCAAACCCCGAATCATCCCGACTATCCATTCTCGTGTCGCTATAAGTAGCCCTTGAGTTCTCATCTCACGGGATTAATGTCGACAGCAGATTGCGACGGACGCGAAAGGGGAACTGCTAAATATTGAATCCGTGGTGTTGTTCAGTGATGATGATACCTGAATCTCACTCAATTTTGTGTATCCGGCATGCGTCATCGCCCGATTGAGGAAAACCCTACTCCTCCAAGATCGATCGCCTGCTCGAGGACGTGAACAACAATCAAGTTGTTTCTCGTGCAACATGTAGGTTTTGCTAGGATATGTGGGCTAGTTACGTTGCGTATTCCGGGCTTGATGGACACTGTTCTCTTGATGGGGCCAGCATTGTAGTCGCTGGCCAGAGGGAATGTCTGGATGCGAGAGTTTGCTCTCTAGGAGTCTGTTGCCTTGAGTGATTCATTTTGGGATTGCTTGTGAAGGAAGGGGGGCGACGAGGATGTGGGCGATGCTCTATGATTTGCCTGGCTGACATGGTGATGATGTTGCAAGGAACGCAACTGGAGTATGTCCGAGGCTCATTTCACCGCTCTGAGCGTGTTTGTGCCTGCGAGCAGCTTAGGACACCATTCTCGAAACGTCTATCACGGGAATGAGTCAATGCTGAGAGTGGCATTTCGACGGAGTATTCAGATGGGTGGTATGTTGCCGACCTTGGTAATCAAGACTTACTCCCTGCAAATCCGAGACGGCGGGACTCATCCAGCCGACGACCTTCCAATTCTACGTTGACCACTTCCGATTATGACATGACACTTTGATGCATGAACCTTACCAAAGTGAGAGGGCTCAGCTCAACGAATACGAAGACATCTGAAACAGCTGGCTTTCTATGAGCTGGAACTAGCGAAGTCTACCTAGTGTCTGAAGCACATCGTCCAAGGACTCTCTCAGCGGGCCATCGATGCCCACGTGCTTCTCGAGCTGCCCAGCTATGCCGAGTATGGCGCTGATCGAGTGTACATAGCGCCGGCTCATACCGTATGGCGCGCCCACGAGCAAAGCAGTTGTGAGCTGGAGAGCCGCGATCTGAGCCTCTCGGACGAGCAGGGGCTGCTTGGCTTCGGCTTCGAGGCCGTGCCAGGCGGCTACGGTCGTCACGAGGGCCATCCATTCTTCCCTTGAGCCGGTTTCCTCACTCTCCACGATCGGCAGCAGAATGCGGACAATCTCGATACCGCGCGCGGCTTCGCTTTCATCGCTTGACGTTGATGTGTGTTGAAGGATGGCCACGAGGTCTTTGTTCAAAACATCCCAGCCGTTGTGTGTTGTAAACTCTTCCAGTCCTGCCTTCTCGACCAGGATGCCCTCCAGACCTACCAGGATTGGTGACCGGAAGTCGAGACTTTCTGGAGAACTCGACTTGTAGAGGTCCAGGAGCATATCCGTTAGTCCTGCAGCTTCTTTTCTCAACAGGTCGTTATCATCCTCGCGAAGCCAGATAGCTAGGGTTTTGATAGCTGCCAGGATTAAAGGGTCCTCGTGGATGTTACTCTTCTTTGACTCCCAAGAGATTGTCATCCTCTTTCCCATGGAGGTGTCGGTCTCCTTCGAACGTGCGTCGGGGTGTAAACCAAAAGCACCTGCCACGGCCGCATCCCACCTGTCTCGTAGAAACTCGATTGCCAGGGACAGGGCTTCCGAAATCGTTCGGCGAATCTTCAGCAGGAAGTCGGGTGGCATCACTAGGGAAGCTGGCGATGAACTCTCATCGTCGAGGCTTTTCACCAGATAGCCAATGAAGTGAGTTGTGACATCAAAGGCCGAGCCCAGCCTCTGTGCTATGGCTGGGTAGGTAGGATCATTGAGAAGCTCCAGGAGGCGGGGAAGACTCGCTCTGGTGTCGGTAAGGAGAAGGGTAATGAATAGGTACGAAAACGGCTTATCATCCTTTTCATCGCTGATGAACAGGAGCTTTGATGCTTCTGAAGGGAATACCTCGAGCAAGGATGCAGCCGCAACGGTGTAGGCATTCCTTGCCTCTGGCGTAGGCCGGCTGGTGAGAAGTCTCTTGATGAAGTCGACCAATGTCTTTATCCACTTTGGATTTGAAGGTAGGGCCTGTTCAAGTGTAAGTCAGCTGCCTGTGTCGTCTCATGGGGGAATCTACCTCAGGATCCGAATTCCGCAAGAACTTGCCGAGGAACTCGAGCAGTGTGACACCATCCGTGCCAATGAAAGTCGATACGAGGGCCTGAATGGTCCCATCTATCCTTGACTCCAGTAAAACTCTCTCTTCTGCGAGGCCAATGCAGTTGATCCAAGCATAGGAAAAGATTTCGAGAGCAGATGGGTTGTTCGGGGCAATCTCAACTAGAGGAGTTACATCCTCGATATCGAGGAACACCTTTGCTCCTTCTGGAAAGGCGACAAGATTGTGGAGCGTCTGAACAATCATTTCAGATGTTTCTCCAGAGCTACAATTATCGTCAGCGTACATCGTGAGATTGTCTTGGAAGGCTATTGGCGTACCTTTGCAACAAACAGGAGACCAGTAGGGGTATTCTTCCATTGAGTCTCTTGTCTCTTCTCGCCTGGTCTGGTAGAAGCAAAGCGAAAGTATGAATCACCGATACTGAAAGGTCTAGCATGTTTTTTGCGTCCTTCTGACTGGATTGCGTAGATGACCCTGTCTTCAGCAACCGATCCAGGAACTTGGGGGAGATGGACTCCCAAAGACCCGAGACGGTGTCTGCATCGTTACGCAGCTCCTCCGAGTTGTCGAGTACGCTTTTCAACAGCGCTAAGCCAACAAATCTAGAAGTATCATCTTTGGCCTTCAACATACTCTGGATTTTATCGAGCGATGCGGTTTGTTGCGTTCCCGGCGTCGGTTGGGGGGCCTCAGAGGGTGCTTGCGCCGTGGCGGACTCTGGATACACTTGGTCTGCCATAACTAAAGCTCCTGGTTGCTTTTGTTTCTTATGTTCTGTGGTGACTCGAGGAGTAGCTGAGAGAATGCAAAAGGCTGGTGAGACAGCGTGTAAGTCGAGTGTTTCAACTCTTGGTTTGCAGGCCGGGTAGCCACCACCACCTAATGTGGAATGCACACTGCGATTTAGTAGCAAGAAAATAATGACCTGCCACAAAAAAGGGTGCAAAATTTGCAGGCTGTCAACGTTACAGGAAAGATAGGATGCCAAGATCAGATGAAATGATGCTGTGTGAAAAATTGCCCCGCGCAGAAAGACCCAGATCGCGGAAGGAACCCCCACAGTCAGATGCATTCCCATCAATAAGACCCCTGCAGGTGCTCCTCTTGGCCACTTGCCCCGGCGTCGCATCAGCCGCAAAACGGGCCGCCAGGGGGCCCGAGCTTCCACACCGAGTCAGCCACGCGCGGCTCGTCACCGAGCAGGTATCCATCCGGTGACGGAAGGTGATACTGTTTCTGTCCGTTTCAAAGACAACAAGATGGCTATGATCTGAGGATATTGGGAGCAGTGTCGTCAGATTCGCATCATGGCCGGTCCTGCACACAATGATTCGTCCGCCTCGTCCTCATCGCGTCCGCTAAACAATGCCGCCAGCAACAGCAATAACGACCCCGCCGACCGAGATGAGTTGGACTTCTGGAGCGAAGACGAGGACGTCGCCGATGTCCTGATCGAAGACCCAATCCACGAGGAACTCGACGAGCCCCTTTCCTTCAAGCGAAAACAGAAGCAGAACGCTCTCTCGACTGCGAGCCGCTTCCTATCCGCCTTCACTGGTTCGCGATCGGGCACTGCCTCCCCTCACTCCTCGCCGCGAGTGCGAACGCCGACCCACGACCCAAACCGATCACCTCGGAGGGCGGGCGCACATGGTGCTGCGAGCCAGACTACCAAAGATGGCGCGCCGCTGGATTGGTACGTGGAGGGACCAGGCAGAAGAGTAGGATACGAGGATCTGACAGCCATCGATTGGATTTTCGAATACACAAAGGAGCGTCAGCGTCTGCGTGTCCTCCACTCAGGCGCGCAAGGACTGCTTGGGCTATTCAAGCAGCTCGCAGATGCCAGTGAGGTCTGGATCATTCTGATTTTGACCGGCATGGCCGTTGGGGCTGTTGCTGCCGGGATTGACATAACGACCGATTGGCTTGGCGATCTGAAGACAGGGTACTGCTCTAACGGCCCGGAAGGAGGCGCGTTCTATCTGAACAAGAACTTTTGCTGTTGGGGTTATAATGAGATGTCCAAGTGTGCCGGTTGGACGCCTTGGGCGAAGGCGTTGGGGATTTCTTCGGGCGGTGGGAAATGGTTCATAGAATACTTCTTCTTTCTCATTCTCTCTGTAAGTCTCGCGCTCCCGCGGCTTCGCAGCTGTGTTCTAACGATTTGGAGGTCATTCTGGCATCAGCAGCGGCGATGCTGGTTCAGGAGTACGCAATGTATGCCAAGCACAGCGGTATACCCGAAATCAAGACGGTGTTGGGTGGGTTCATCATCCGAAGGTTTCTTGGCAGTTGGACTTTGATCACCAAGTCCCTAGGTTTGGTATGTTATCTGTCCGTTCTTCTTATCCCCCCATGTTGATAACTCCTGTAGTGTCTCGCAGTTGGATCAGGCATGTGGCTAGGTAAAGAGGGACCCCTAGTCCACGTTGCTTGTTGCTGCGCCAATCTCTTTATCAAGCTTTTCAACAACATCAACGACAACGAGGGTGAGCCAAGTCTACAATGTATACAATGTATAGTACTGATGCGATGACAGCTCGAAAGAGAGAGGTTCTCTCTGCTGCTGCTGCCTCTGGCATATCGGTGGCTTTTGGCTCGCCGATTGGAGGCGTGTTATTCAGTCTCGAGGTTGGTACGATTGGCCTGCTCTTAACCCTAGGCTAATCGCTTATCAGCAACTCTCCTACTATTTTCCGGACAAGACCATGTGGCAGAGTTTTGTCTGTGCCATGACTGCGGCCGTCGTACTTCAAGCATTCGATCCATTTCGCACGGGCCAGCTTGTCATGTACCAAGTCAAATTCAGTACGGGATGGCATGGCTTTGAGCTCATTCCATTTGTCTTTCTAGGCATACTTGGTGTAAGTCGTCCCGCCCATGGATGACGAGATTTATTGACAGTTTGCCAGGGAATATACGGCGGTCTCTTCATCAAAGCAAACATGGCCGTAGCACGATGGAAAAAGAATACGCCATGGTTACCAGGGCCTATCACGCAAGTCGCTGCGATTGCCCTTCTGACGGCACTCATCAACTACCCCAACCATTACATGAAGTTCCAGACTTCAGAACTGGTGTCGAACTTGTTCGTCGAGTGCTCCAAGTATGTCGACGATCAGATCGGTCTCTGTAAGACAGGAGCTGCATCAGCACCGACTATTGTTCTACTGATCTTTGGGGCTATCCTTGGATTCTTTCTCGCCACCATCACCTTCGGCCTCCAGCTGCCTGCCGGTATTATCCTGCCTTCAATGGCCATTGGGGCTCTGACCGGCAGAGCAGTTGGCATTATTATGGAGATCTGGGTTACGAACCACCCTACGTTTTTCGCATTTGCCTCCTGCGAACCAGATGTTCCCTGCGTAACACCGGGAACTTACGCTATCATCGGTGCGGCAGCTACACTTGCCGGCGTCACGCGAATGACTGTCTCAATCGTCGTCATCATGTTCGAGCTGACGGGAGCTTTGACGTACGTCCTTCCCATTATGATCGCGGTTATGCTATCGAAATGGGTGGGGGATGCATTCTCACGGAAGGGCATCTACGAAGCATGGATCCATTTCAATGAGTATCCGTTTTTGGACAACAGCGAGGAAATGGTAATCCCCGATATTCCTGCTTCCCAGATCATGACTCGTATCGAGGACTTGGTTGTACTCACGGCGACGGGCCACACCATTGCCAGCCTCAAGAACATCCTCGACACGCACACCTATCGAGGGTTTCCGGTCATTTCAGATCCCCGTGAAGCCATTTTGCTGGGATACATTTCGCGTGCAGAACTCACCTACAACCTGCAAATATGTTCGCAGCCACCGCGATCCCTTCCGCCGGAGACGGAGGCCTTTTTCTCTCACCAGCCTCTCGCGGACCCACGCACGACTCTTGATCTCCGGCCGTGGATGGACCAAACGCCCATAACCATGGCATCAAGATCCAACCTGCATCTTGCCGTCAGCTACTTCCAAAAGCTCGGCCTGCGGTACGTCCTGTTCAGTGACCGCGGTGCTTTACAGGGTCTCTTGACCAAGAAAGACGTTTGGTACGTCCTCAACGGCGCCGAGGAGACACGTCGGACAAGCGGGCTGTCAAGAGGTATGGGAGTCGAGACTGGTCTCACGAGAGAGGATGGCGGTGGCGAGCATCAAGGTCTACTGAGGGACGACGGGCATGAAGAGGGAATCGGCCCGGCAGAAGATCGGGGACCGATTTTATAAACTAGAGCATTATCTTGGGATAGTGAATGATTGTGTTTCAGATACACGCATGAATGGAAACTTTTACGACTCGAAAGCTTCGTTTTGTCGACCGACCCCACGCACTTGTGAATGTAACATTCGTTAGTACAGATACAATTGGGAAGCTGAGTGGAGTAAACGTCTGTTTCCACACTGGCAGGTCCTTGTAATCATAGGGATAAATATTGTCTCGAGTGGCTAGTATGAGTTGCAGACAAGATTGGGTTGTCGCCTCCATAAACATTGAAGTCGATTCGACCGGCAAGTTATCACCACAAGCCGGTTCCAATTCTCTCAAGACCCTTCTATAAGATCTACAAGAGCAGCAAGAAGGTGTTTCCGTGAGGGCCGTTCTAGAAGCATACAAAAGTGCCTGTGCCTCCCTTATCAAAGCAATCCTTTTATTGAAGAATGCTCCCCCATCGCAGACCTTATCGACGTTTGAATGCCCCCCCATTGCGAGTTTAGCCAACGGGTTCCACCCAGGCGCAATATTGTTTCCAAGATTTCAGGTACTTCCTTCCGATGCATTCACGTAGAGCCTCTGATCCGAAACCCATGCTTCTGTTAAAAGCGAAGCAATGCCCGGAGCAACATGACTCTATGGATGGAGTCACGCTTTCAGTACAGCACGTACTAACGGTGGAAATGGGCGAAACTGGGACCTATCTCATCGGAAAGAGAAATTTCAGATCTTAACAGCTTTTTGTGGCTACTGCCTTTAGGCCGAGTTATGTCGGAATCAATAGCGGCCTCGTCCACTTAATCTATATATAAAGCGTATGTTTCTAACAAAATTGTGGAGTGTAATGAAACCCTCTTATAAACATTAAAGGCAGTAATTAAATATAACTTCAATAAACTCAGATCCCAAAGTTCGTAATGTCCATTCCGTATTTCCCAAAGAGACTTCTTTCAAAACATGCCTCGCCTAGCCCTCAAGGGACAAGTGAGAGGGTTGGTTTGGGAACACGCCTGCTCACCACACATTTAAACACACACAAACACACGTACAAACATACCCACTAAGGAAGGTGGCGAGCACTTTCCAAATCCGGGCTCAACTTTCGAAATTCAGCCATCACGCCACTCCTTGCGTCTTTGTCTCATTGAGGTGCGGGATGGCCCTGCCGACGCAAGGCCTCGCACTACATGAAGATGGCTTTATTCGGATGTCCCGAATTCCTATCCCCGATGCCTGTGGCTACTATTTTTTGCGAATACAGGCAGTTGTGCCGAACATGTTTGTGTTACGGCATTCCCACGGTGGTCCCATTTACATTCCGCTTTCTGAATCATTTGCTCACAGGTCAAATTTGTCCAGAGGAAGAATCTTCCTACGCGGCCACAGATGTAAATTGGCTTCATCAGTGTTTACCCAAAAACCGAGCGAAAAGTGCGGACTTATCGAGGTCCGCAGTTGTGTTTCACATCAAGATGTTCGAAGTCACGACAGCTGCTCTTTAAAAATAGCATAACCCGGGGACATGAGGTTTCTCGGTCTGGCGAACCCGAAAGTTCAAGGACTAGGAAAAGCTTGTTTCCGTTGGCTACTATCATCCACATAGCTCATAAATGCACTCTATCGATAAAGAACTAATACAATTTGGCGGAACACCGCGAGTGTTCCATGACGCTAAAAAGAACAGAAAAGCCAAAGGGTATCTTGGAAATGCAGTCTGACCAGCCCAATACACAAGTCTTGAAGCTCATGCTCGCGGCAAAGACACCTCTATGCCCGCAAGTGGCGCGCGTGCTGTTACCGTCTCTCGCCTTGACACGTTGTGAAACCCGCCTCCGGAGCCGCCGTGATGCCCATTTCTGAGCGGTCCCGGGCTATGCTGACCCCAGAGCCATGATACACCACTGCGGTGGAGTCCAGTCCGGGCACAGGTCGCGAACGGCCTTCATCGCCGCCTCCATCTGCCTCGCCATCTGTTGCTCAAGCACGCCGTGTGGATTCGCGGGCAGCAAATCGACCTCGTTATCGTAGACCGGGTTTTCGTCCCGGGGCACGAAGACGAGTTGTTCCAGTTTCGGCATGCGGACGCGGATCTGCTTGAGGACCTCCACCGTCAGGTTGGCGGCGGTCATGGACTGGTACATTGCGTCGACCCAGAAGAGGGAGTCGTTGATGGCGAGACGGCGCACTTCTGAGATGTCTTCGGGGTCGCAGAGGGCCATTACTGTGCGGAACTGCGCCTCGGAGGCCATGTAGCCGTCGCGGGCGCCAAAGTAGAGGATATCGTGGGCGTTGTCAAAGAAGATTTGGCCGGGGTTGCGCGTCATGCCGAAGCTGAGGTGGTACGATTTTTGAGCCTCGAGGCGGGATTCTTGGCAGGCGTGGAGGTTGACGGGTAAGGCAGCGTAGGACGTACACCCGCTCGTCGACGGCCTTGGTGACTGGGCGTGTGAGGCGAAGGAGAGAGACTTGGCACCGCACCTGATGGGCACGACCCGCGGTGGTGGAAGGTTGAAGTTCCAGATCTTGAGGCGGAGTTCTACGGGCAGCCTTGAGAAGAGATGCTGTGATGGCTTCGGTCAATAGGGCTGGACGCGGATATGAACCAGACGGGAGATCGACGGAGCTAAACGTACAAAGTGGTCCAAGGGCCGAGGTGGTATCGCTCGCGCGGCGCAGCCGGTTGTTCGCATTCTCGGAGCGTACGTTGTTGTGATGGTTGACATGATCTGTATGACCCGGGGAGGACGGCGGCGCAAGACTCTGACGGTGGTTTGCGACGTTGAGTTCGCAGCGTGGGAAGATGCCCAGAACGAACGTATGTGTTGTGAGGCCAGTGGGGGACACGATGACGGGCTGACGGAGGGGTGGCAAGCGTGAGTGGTTATTATATCGCCGCGACGCCGCGGCTACCAGCGCTATCCCGGGCAAACGATACAAAGGATAAAGGATATGCCTGCCAGGCTGTGTCCCGCAAGGTCCAAGGCGACTCGAGACATCATTAGACTTCTTTGACAAATACCCAGCCCCGGTTCTCCTCACAACCAGAACACTGGGGTAGGTGGATAGCTGTGTACACAGCAGCTTTTTCGTGATTCATGACCACTCGACGAATACACACCCCAGACTGCATATGTGCGTCAGGGAAGAAAGTGTGGCGGCCCAGAACCCGAGGCCTTGGGTCGGGGCGACCAGGGGTGCTCCTGTTCGTAGGATTCTGACGGCCATTGCTCCTTTTCAAGTTAGAATGGCCTGGATGACAGGGTGCTCAATGTAGTCGGAGAGCTCGAGGGCGGGGTGCCGACCCAAGGGATGGTCAACATCCGTTTGCACGACAGAACTGCACAGATGTCGGCATTGCCAATGAGCCACAGCTACCGGGACTTCGTTATTACAATGACACTGTGCCGTATGTGAGTCAATAATGTTTGATGTACCCTTGATGATAGCATATTTGTTCATCTCGATGGGAGATAAGAGTGTGAGAAGTTCTCTGCAATGCAGGTGAAAAGTAGAAGCCTTTGGAGCCTCGAAGTCGAGTCAAGGGGTGCAGATCTGCGGGAGTGCTGTTGGGGAAGCCAAAGGGGTGCGAATTGTGATGGGCCGGATCCATCAAGCACATGTGAATATGTTGCGGACAGACATGGTGGGCTTGTTTGGCCTGGCAAGAAGCCTGTAAGGATTCCCGTCCGCTACCTACTCTACTTTCCTGTGCCTGTCACGCCTGTCTGGTTATCCGGATGTCGAAAGAAAGGAATTTGACCGGCCGTAAGCTGGTCTGTAGATCCATAGAATGCAATGACGGGTGACGAGCGCCTGGTTGGTTCCAGTCGGTTGGGCTGAGCCAGGGGTCAGGGGTCTGGACAGGGAATGTCTCGGTGACCGCTGCAGTCTGCTTATGATGGAGTCTGTGTGTCTGTGTGTTGAACCAGGGCCTCTCTGATGAACCATTGGATTTGAGTGGTTCTATATCCCTCGCTTGGCTGTAGCCAATCTCAGCTGAAGCGGAGTAATTACGTACTGGCTGGTCCGGACTTTTAAAGTTGCTATATTGGACGACATTCAGAGGAACCTTGCTGCAAGGAAGATATAGGCCATTGTCTAGACCGAATGATGCTCTGCTGGGTATTCGCAAAGAGAGGCAACGAAATCTCCTGTCCGCCATGCAGGACACGGATCAACGACTGCCTGACCGGCTGCAGTGCATCTTGATGGTGCAACAGGAGTCAACCCGAGCATCTGGGACACTCAACCCGGAGGGATGGACATGGGAGCCGTGCCGCACTGAATCCCCGTGGCGCCACGGTGAGACTCGAGTCGGCGAATCGACCTGTCACTTCGTCGTCGACTTGATGGGACTTGACGGGACTTGACGGGCGAACCGTCACCCCACAGTCTCTGGCTGCCGAACGCCGAGTATTAGCCCATACTTGCAGTAGGCGAGTACCTATTGCTGTTGTTGGCGGCCTTGAGACCTTTGACTTTCGCTAATATGCCCATGGCTTGAACGGCATTCCACACCCAGTGGACGTTGAGGGCCAACCACCAAAACTCTCGCTTCCTCTGGTGCGCACTCACGTCTGCCAAGTTCGTCGTTCGTGAACTGAAGACTGGTTCGCTAGTCTGTCCAAACTATTCTGGCACCTGGACGAGCTGGGGCATCAGCTAGGTTCAGCCGCTGGCCCGCTGATTTGTCCGCTCATGGCCCGTCGACTAGTGCACACATTTTGTTGACATGCGGAGCAGTCGGCCCTACCCGGCGGGCGCCAATGTCTCTTCCACCGGAAGCCAACAGCTAGGCCGAACTGGGCCCAAAGATGTGGTCGTCCTGTCCTACCTGTATGAGAGGCTGGAACCACAAAGAGCTTCCTTCGTCGGCGACAAACCGACAGGGAGGTCGGGTCAGTGCTCTGTTCGATGGCCGCTTACCGAGTCTAGGGGCCTGGTTGCTGAAGTCTGAAGAGTTCTGACAGCCCCGACATCAGTTTGATCACCATAGCCGGCTGCATGGGTTGGATAGCCTCATCTGCAGGCCTGCTGTTACTGTTGTACAATTGCCTGCTTACCTCACCCTTCGTGGAGGGGTCTGATACCCTGTCGTCCAGACGCCCCTGGTGATGTGGAATCATTGTCGTCGCTCTGGGAAGGTGGAAACGCCATTGGCTGAGCGTGTGCTGCATGTCGCAGCTCAGACATGAGACACACTCGTGGTCATGGAGAGTTCATCGCAATCCAGCCTCCAGGGACGAGCATATCGGACAACGTTGCAGTGGCCACCAGCTGTCTCGTCCAATTTCCGTGCCCGTACGTCCGCAACCTTGAAGCTCCGTGTCCGTACGTGTCGTCAGGCCTCAAAGAACATTGGCCACAGCAGGCTTGTTGGGCAGCTTTCAATCAAATCCAGCTGGAGAAGTTGGAAATTGGTTTGCAGACACGAAGGTGCAAGTTTCTTTTTCGGCGTAGGCGTATGCGTGGGATGAACGAATGAAAAGCCCAACATTGGCTTATGGGGAAGAGCGAGTAAAACTTGGCTTACCAGCTGGCATAGCAATTCCCCGGGTGCTCAAGGCAATCCTGCTTGCTTTACGGATACCTACCTAGATAAGCCCAATAGTATGCAGCTGAACCTGCATCACATGTTCACCCCACTAGCTTGCGGCACTTCCCGTCTGTCAGGAGGGAAAGAAGCTTACCTAAGTGGACTGCCTGGCTCTTAACTTAGATCATGGGTACCAGGATTGTTCTTCACCTCCACCCTTCCCGCTTGACGTGAGCTTATTCCTCGGATTGCTTCTTTGACCGCGGGCGCGGCAAATGAGAACCTCCATTATCCAAAATCTATTATGGCTGACTTGCAGCAGCCTCGAATGTGACCACATCCCGGTCGGCGAATTAGCGTTCGTGTTTCGGTTCAAATGGAGGTTATCTGCATCTCATCATTGGCCTTGGCCATGGCCTTCCCGCCTTTAAGCGCTGGGAATGACCGCCAATGAGACCGGCATCAGCAGGCTTCTGACCAATATGAAGCTCGCCGCCTTTCCATGGTGCTGACGATCGCCTCCCTCGGGGCTCCGAGATGTCGCAAGCGCGGCTATCTTGCATCGGCGCAACGCTCGTCACGATAATTTTGGACTTTGCCGTTCTTCCCCAGACGTAGTCAAGATTACGTGCCGTGCCCCGACACGGCACACGGCGCGTATGCAATCTTCGAGCCAAAGTAGGTATTTGTACGCTCCATGGCGCCCTTTTTGTAGGTTTGTGATGCTGGAAAACCATACAACAACTGTGTGGCTCCCATCCTTCCCCCCCCCTTTCTTACGTATTTTCTTTCCCTAGGATTATTTCTTGCGTCTGGCCAGTCTTCACTTGTAATTGCACCTCATTTTACGACAATATTCAACGATTTTCTCTACCGCCATGTCTAACGAACCCAAGAACATCACGCAAACTTCGGACTTTGAGGTTGACTCCGATGACCTTCACTCCGTTTCTCACGCACGCCTTCTCAAGGTAGTTGACGCCGCAAGAGTCAGTTTGACGGCTCTAGCCCTCCTCGTGGGTATCACCATCCTTGGCACATCGGCAGATGCCCTGGCTGTCTACGATGCCACCCATGTACCAGCCGGCTTCATGCTTCCACTTTGGCCGGACGCCTTCGACCTGCGCCCGACAGTGGCACTTGTCGTTGGGAGTTCCATTCTCATAATCGTCAACATCGTCTCTCTCCTTTTCAGTCGAGTCCAAAGTGTAAGTCGAATCTGCTTCACAGCACTGCACCTCTGAAGAGTGAGTTCAGACTGACATCAAACAGCTGCGTGGCCAAACTCTCATTCACAACTCATTGGCGGTGGCCGCTCCGTCAATTGGGCTTGTGGCATCGATTATTGCCATGACCTTCTTCTACAGCATCAACGCGTCGATCACGGTCGACACCCTTCAGAGCTGGAGCTGCCGCTGGTCTGACGTGGTGATGATGACGAGGCCGCATTTCGGCACCATCTGCAAGCAAAGCAAGGCGGGCCTCTACTTGTCCATCCTGCTGATCCCGATCGAGGCCCTCATCGTGGGAATGGGCGCATATCAAATGATTCTCGAGCGGAACGTCGGCAAGACCAGCAGAGTGGTAATGGAGCAGCGCAAGTCTGGCAGCCCGGTGCCTTCGTCCGTCCGCGACGTCGAGGGTAATCAACACTAAGAAGAGTAGGAAGGGGACTTTGGGTTCGCGCGAGGGAGTCAACGTTCGTCACCTACTTTGTATCCACGGGCTGGGTCGAGGGATTAAGAAGGCGCCGGAAACGGAAACGAAGGTTATTCCTTCCTGTAATGAGGAGTTAAGATTTGTAGTATTAGCAAAGAGGGGAGCCGACTACGTCATGCATCAACGCAGGTATCCAAATTTCAACCTTTGCAAGGCTTTGCGAGAGAGTTCCCTTCCGTGGTCTGCACCATTGGATGGATCAGCTGTGTTCCTCGACCGAGGCCGCATGCGGCATTCACCAAGATCCGGCGAGGTGAAGCTTGCAGCCACCAAGGGATCTACGTGCCGCCACTCGAGTGCCCGCTGACGCAGGTGTATCCTCGTCATGAATCCAAGTAGTTGAAGTTCCTCCTGTGCAACCGTTTGCGGACGAGCAGTTGCAGCAGTGCAGTGGCACGAGTGGATAAGGGTCCACGGAGCTGGCCCGCTCCGGCTCCGGCACGGTGTGCCTGGCCGCCCCTCTAAGCGCTATCGGCACCCATATCATGTACCGGTAACCTCTGCCCTAGGTTAAGGGGTCAGGCAAGGGCTTCGGCCATATATCAGGTCCAGTGAGGCTGCATCGGGCGGGTAAGCTTTTCAAGTAACGCCTCTTGCCAGCCATGACCAAGTCTCGCTCAGGCACTTTGGAACCCCTTGATAAGCTACCGTAAGGAGATACTCAATACCACCGCACTACTACGTTGAGCATGCCTCCTACGTTTGAAATTCAGTGAGACGCCCACAAGCCACTAAGTAGACAACCCAACCGAGCGAGGGTCGTGGTAGGGGACTCGGGAGTTGATGCGCCAGGCCAGATGCACCATCGAGGACCCCGGCTAGGGCGGCTAATGGCTGCCGGGCGACAGGTCGATGCGGAATGATTGGTCCGAAAGCACTGGGCGTGCCTGGTGCTGGGATGGAACGGGGTGAGCGCCGCTTTGGCCCTGCACTAGGTAACATAGTAACCTACAAAAAAATAGGTACCTATCCTTGGCGCACCCTATCTTCCATCTTTTCTCCGGTACGTACCTTGCCTATCGGCAGTGGAGTCTGCTCATGGATTCACATTTCCCATGGTGTACTTGGTAGACTCCCCGGAAACATGGCCATTCCGTCCCATCTTTGCCAACTCCGTCAACTCCAGCAGAAACATCCCCGTCTGCCGCTAATCATTGTCTCCAGTATATTGACTTGTTCGTCTTTGCGTCGGCCGCGTTCTTGTGATGACGGCGCAAGCAGGGCCCAAGTACGGAGCCAGACGGACTCGACGGCCAGTCCTTCAGCCTTCAACGTGCCCAGGAAGTCCAGATGGCTGCAGAGGAAGCAGACTTTACCCCCACAAACCACGCGGTATCAGCAAACAACTTTTTCTTCTCTTGTCAGCGCCATCCGGATGTTTTACAGTCCGCGATGCGACTGGCCGAGCCGCTGGCTGCGGCGTGCCTGTGGCCTTACCTTTCCCGCTCTCTTTTACCGATATCCCAGGCACCACAGGCTACGGTAGACCGAATTAGGCGCTTTTGCATTCCAATGAGGCCCTCGCGTCGTAAACCCTGAATTCATGGTATCTAGACTGCCTTCGACAATGTCTCGAGTGACCCAGTCCATGCCACTTTGGCACTGACGGTGGCGTGAAGGCTCCAGACCTGCGGAATCCCAAACAATCTCTCTTGTCGCAGACTTGCAGCCTGGTAAGTCAAGTGCCGCAGCGGGAAACACGGCCGAGAATGGCAGACGTAAGGTATGAACGAAGGCACGGTAGGATGGATGATTGCGGGTTTCCAGGTCTTCATGTCGTGTGCCACGCACACCCAGACTCCATGGTCGCAATCAACGGAGATCCCTGGCAACGCACACATTGCAGCCCACGCGTAGACAGTTTCGGTAACACGACCATGCCTCCTTATGTCGCGTGGTCAATCAACATGAGGTGCAGCCTATATTCACTCTAGGAAAGGTAGTTTGTCACCTAGCCCGATAAGTTGCGATCTGCTGCCGAATCTTCCATGCCAACTACTAGATGAAGCAAGTTGCCCTACGTAACGTAATCAGAGTATCGAGGTGAGGCAAAGAAGATGTGAGCTTGGGCAAGCTTCGTCCAGTCCAATCCAGTCCAGTCCAGCCCGCTTTCTTTCTCCATCTTTCCTCCTTCCGTTCGTACTGATCGACCTGTCTTGCATTGAAACCGGGCTCGTCAAGTAGGAAGAAAGGCGTATAGTGCGCATTTGGCCTTGGCTCTTTCCGTTTTCAACCATCTACTCGCGTTTCTGGGCGACTAACCGCCTCTGTATCGATTCCGTCCCAACGACTCGCATCCGCGTAGCTCCCCTGGCTGACAACCAGCAACAGCTAGTACCAGCCATCTTCACCTCATATAATAGTCCCCCGAGTCACCAATCAGTCAGTCTCGCTTTTGCTCGTTCGTCCAGCTGTTTGTTTCCCGTCGAACCCCCTCGGAATCACACCGTAACCCGCTCAGCGCGTCTCCTTGCCCCCTCTTGTAAGATCGGCGACACGACTTCCTCAGTGGCTGGTCCTTTGCATCGACCTCTGCACCTGTATCATCCTTTCGGTGACTCTCTGCAGCCCTAGCCGCCTCGAGTACAAGAGACTCCGTGCGCGTCTCCCGCTCGACCTATCTACACTGCAACCTTGACAGCTGAACATATTACGCCAAGTTCAAGGGGACTCTAGTCGACCAGACTCGCTCAGTTCGCCAGCATCACTCGACGAAAGCTGTTGGTATTTCTTCGGTACGTGTTCGAGCTAGGTGGTTTCTGGGCGATGGGCGACACTAACACGACCGCTACTAGTGAAAGACGCCGCTCCCAGACAGCCACGTCTGATAGATCGGCCAATTCTAAGCACCGTCGAAACACCTTTATCTCAGCTTCGGGCCTTCGAATATAGTTGCAGAAATGGCCGACCCTATCTCCCCGCCTTCTTCTCCCCCCTCGGATTCTGTCACCCCTAGCACGACCAACGAGAAGATTCACTCTCATCCTCCCGTCACCCCCGAGAACAAACGTCTTTCGCAGGTTGGTGGTCTATCCTTCGCTGAGAGAAGGATGAGTCGTCGTCCCTCCACCGCACCCACTCCTATTGTCGAGGGGGATGGTCTTACCAGAGACGTCATTCACTCTCTGCCCGGCGACACTCGCAACAACAATAGAAAATCCAAGACACAGGCCGATATGGCTAAACGTCGCAGCTCTTATTATGAGGAGGCTTTCCAGGGCGACAGGGAGTCTAATATGATCAAGGACCGCGCCCACGCGGAGGCCATTGTGATGGCAGAGCTCCGCACCAACGTCATTGTACGTGCTAGTTGCTCTTCACGAGTATAGGATCCTGACTAATATTTCTTGAACAGATCAATGACGAATTCAGCTTTATCACGGACTTTTCATATCAGCTGTCGGTTAGGTACCAGCGGCCGGTAACTTCGATCGTGGTCAACCTGCAACATGGTGCTTGCATGCTCTTTGGAGGCACCTTTGAACCGGCCTACACGATGTCGATCCACGCACTACCACTCGAGGTTGGAGTGACCAAAAACAAGAGAAACACGGCTCTGCTCCAGAAGCATCTCCACGAAGCTCTTGGTGTTGCGCCCGTTCGTGGATTCGTCAAGTTTGTCGAAGTCCCGGCAGAAAACATGGCGGTCAACAGCAAGACTACTGCGTCTCATATTGCGGAGATGACCGGCGAGGAAGAAGAGACCATTGCCGAACGTCGTGGTCGTAATCGTAAGAGTATCAGCGGCAAGGTGTGTACTATGAGAACTGCTGCTCAACATGAAGATGCTAATACAACTGCAGTCCATGTCAGCTCTGCGCCATGGCTCCATTGTTGGAGGCAGGAAGGGCTCTGTCTTTGATTTTAGAAGGGAATCTGTTGCACCTCGAAAAGATTCAGTCATGCCTCCTCCCACCGAGCTCACTCCTCCGCACAGCGCAACCGATGCGCCCCCAATTCCTCCCATTCCTGAGGCTCACACAAACAACACCACGGCCGCGGTTCCTGATGAAAAGGCCGATGCTCCTATCAAGGAAGTCGAGAAGGCTCCCACGAACACTCAAGCACCTGCCAAGAAGTCAAAGGTGACAAAGCGCAAGAGCAGCTTCGTTTCTTCACTGTTTTCTCGCTCTCCCAGGAACACGCCCGCTCCTATGCCTACCGTAGCATCGTGAACGGTAACCTGACTTCTATCCCCCTCCTGTTTTCTTTCTCAACTTGTTTTGTATTGTGCTCGCAATCGAGTTTGGAGCAGTGGTCAAATTGGAACTTGGTGAGGTCAAGAAACAGAGCGTTGCATCGATAAAAAGGGAGACGGAATTCTGCATTACAGCCCACTAGGGCATGCTGGAGTCATAGTCTTGGAATTCTATCTTTTGTAATCGTATCTGCACTGTCTGATAGTAGGAGTCATGATTGAGAGGCAGACTGATCTGTATTCGTCTCAATTCAACTCATACATGCCAAACGTAGGCATACACTAATCATATTATCCGTATCATTAATCCTTAGTTGATCAACGTTCTTGAATTGTGCCTTCTCATACTAGTTGGGTTCAAATGAAATATTGGCAATGGTAGACTCCCTTCAGTACATACTCGACTGGAATACTCATTCCTAGGCTAGTCACTGTCTGTATCCCTGTCGCGAAATAGCAGGATGAATTGCGTACTCAGAGAGGTGGTAGTGAATAGAATCAACTGAGCCATTGATGATGAGATGAACGGGAGAGAAACCTTTCCTCCTCAAGTAAATCAAGGCAAGCTAAAATGAGTACCTGGGTACCTTACCCTGGGACCTGGAGGGTGGGGTATCACTTAAATTGCGTGGAAACCAGCAAGCGCTGGGCCAACTCAAACGCGCCCAGCACGTCTCTTTATCTTATCGCTCCGCTGCACCTGCATCGTCATTTTCCCTATCCAAGGTACGGTCTACCTTACCTTACCATCTTAGTGCTTGTCTGCCTGTTGCCTCGGTCGCCGCCCACCTTGCCCGCTCCACAGGTCCGATACTTTATGCAAACACGATACCGTCACGGCATACAGATACGCACCCGGTGATAGGCCAACGGTACCTCCAGCACATTGTACCAAACGGAGCAGGCTTCTTTACTTCTCTTCAACCGCTGCCGGAGGGTCGAAAAGGGTTTCCAAGTATCTTCGAGCGCGACACAATTTTGCACACTGTGTCAGGTCCAAATCTGGAAACGAGGGTCCTATCAGCGGCCGTCGCTGTGGAGTGAGGCGACTGACGACGACCGACCTCAACGACTAACCTGTTCGACGGCGGAAAGCAGGGAAGACTCGTTGACAAGATAACAAGAAGGGAATTGCAGAGTTAAGGGAGTTTCAGTGGAAAATGGAGGTGAGTTCTTCGAGTTCTTAATGTCGTGATCTTTGTTTCCTACCCTAGCTACTGCGGCCTTGTTTACCCTCCTCTTTCATCCACCCTTTACGCTTCTTTGGCGAGGCTTTGACAGACAAGCCCTGAATTTAAGATGAGCGCATCTATAAGGCTTCCTGTGACGAGTCTTCTGAAGGCTCTTGGTTCGAATGCCTGGCCGCAACCGCCAGCTCGTCCTAGGGCACACATCTACTCCTTATACGGGACGGAAGCCCTGAGCGACTTGGATGTCATCAGCATCCGCAGCCCGTCGGCGTTCTGCGCCACCCCAGTGGTCATGCCGGGGAGTCATCGGACAACAGGAGCTCCAGCATGGTTCGTCCGCAGGACGGATAGTCAAGTCCTGTCCCTCATCAGACCAAGCGGGAGGGCTGGCCACGGTGTCATGGATGATGTGGTGTTTGTACGACACTGAGGTCAGCATGGAGCCAAAGCTGGTTCAACCCATATGGGTCTTCTCAAGGCCGCATAACGCCGACTTCTCAACTTGCCCCTGCTTCAGCCACGTTTTCTTTTACGAAGATGCGCAGACCTCGTGCGGCAGATCTCCGCTGCGTGTGCCCGTCGAAGGCGGTCGTATCTTTTCGAGGTGTTCGGAAAGCAAGCTTTCAAGTTGGGTCACTTTAGGGAGCCGCAAGCAACTTGATACGAGAATTCGGTGGCAGGCCAAGGGAGAGAGGAGAGAGAAAGAAAGAGAGACAGAGCTTTTGGGGTCTCGCTGGCAGCAGCATTTGATTGTGACACGGCTTGATTCCCGTCACGGATCGTTTTCAGGCTTGAGTTCCGGTCGAACCATCCAAGAACCCGCGCAAACATCGAGGGCCCCCCGGTCTGTGGCATCCATCATCCCGAGACACCAGCAAACGAAGAAGTGCGAGCAGTCTACAGCGTGGCAACGAGCCCAGCGATACTATTTCTCGTTGCCTGTCTTCGTCCAAGAGTCATGCTCCCCAGACAGCTAGTTGTCATTCGGCACCATCCCTCGAGTCACAAAATGGACAAATCTCCCCGTTCTATAGATTCTATGCTGTCCCAAGCGGTCGATGGCTTGGGTGTTTCTCCCCATGGTGGCTCTTTTCAAACAAACGGTCGTTTAAGTCCAGCGAGGCTAACACTGCAGCGTGTCTATGATCAGAGCCAAGGAGTGCAGTCGCAAGATGCGAGCAAAATGGTGGAGATGCCTCCGGGCCCCCCTGCAAAGGGGAAGCCCAGACTTCTCCTGATGGGTCAGAGAAGGTGTGCCTCCCCTCCATTCCGTTGCCATGAGAGCTTTACACTGACTGCGATGAAAGGAGCGGCAAGTCATCAATATCGAGCGTAGTCTTTCACAAGCTTCCGCCAAACGAGACGCTTTTCCTCGAGTCGACAGCTCGCATCCAGAAGGACTCCATGGCGTAAGTACTATCTATGGCTGAGCCCTTCCGAAAAGCAACCCATCAATCATACTGACCGTCTTTCTTAGATCCTTCATGGACTACCAGGTCTGGGACTTCCCCGGCCAGATTGACTTTTTCGAGAACCCAAACTTTGACATGGACGCCATCTTTGGCGAGATTGGCGCCCTCATCTGGGTCATTGACGCGCAGGACGACTACCTCGAGGCCGTAGCCCGCCTCAATGCCACTGTGCTGAATCTCCAGCGTTTCTACCCAAACATCAACATCGAGGTCTTCATCCACAAGGTCGACGGCCTCTCGGACGACTACAAGCTCGACATCCAGCGCGACATCACCATCCGCATCCAGGATGAGCTCTCGGATCACGGCTTCGAAAACGCCCCCGTGACGTTCCACCTGACGTCCATCTACAACCACTCCATCTTTGAGGCCTTTTCCAAGGTCATCCAGAAGCTCATCCCCCAGCTGGGCACCCTCGAGGCCATGCTCACGAACCTGTGCCGCACGTGCCGCTTCGAAAAGGCCTACCTCTTTGATGTGCTCTCCAAAATTTACATCGCGACCGACTCCGCCACGGCCGACATGGCCTCGTACGAGATCTGCTCCGACTACATTGACGTCATCATCGACATCACAGAGGTCTACGGCTCCTGGCCGCGGTCCGACGGCCAGCGCAAGCGTCTCGAGGCTGAGCCCTGGAACGCAAAGGTCGAGGATCAGGTCGCGTGCAACTGGGCCGAGAGCTGTATGGTCTTGCACGATTCGCAGCGGCCCATCATGCTGCGCGAGGTCGATCGGTATCTGGCGCTCGTGGCCATCATGAAGGAGGACTCTTACGACCGCATGCCGCTCGTTAACATGAATGTGGAGGCTGTCGTACAGGGTGTTACAGAGTTTTTTGAGATTACAAAGTCGAGGAAGTGAGCGGGATGATGACTTCGGGGTAAAAATGGAATCATGAAAGCTTGAGTGATTTGAGAAGCCTGAGACATCAAGCATCAAATATCGACTGCAATGAGACACAGGCTGAGCAAGACCCAATGTCGTGTAAATAAGATCTGTTGGCGGCATAATATCAAAGTGCTTTTGCTGTCTCAGTACTTGGGAATCCCCCGTCCATCTATCCGGCCCATCACGTAGTATTTTCCCTATTCCATTCTAACATGTCTATTCTCTATGGAACAGCTCATCCAGCGTGGCGGCCTCCAACCTCTGCATGTCCAGCACAGCCATGCGTTTCTTGCTGCGCGGCGTGAACCGCTTCGGCGGCACCCTGAACATGTTACCCGGCGACAGGGGCACGGGCGTCTTCTAGTCGCCTCGTGCGGCTGCCGCCTTCGCCGCCGTCTTTCGCGAAACGTCGTTGCCGTCACCGGGGCCGGATTTGAGGCTGAAGACCTTGTAGACCGAACGGTTGGCGCCGAGGAGGCACACGCGTGCCGGGACTTCGCCGCGGGTGTCGGTGGCATTCTGGACGTCCATCCGTATCGGCGTGAAGGACGGGTCTTCGGGGAGTGTGGTTGTGACGAGTCCTGTGTGGATTTGCTCGGATATGGGCGTACAAGGTGGCAGGGTGCCCTCTTGGTAGGTGACGTACTTGATGTCGGGAGACTGGATGGGGACTATCACGATATTGGCGGGTTTTCCTGGCGCGGAATCAGTACCTAGAGGTGATCCTGCTGGGATACGGGATGGTAAATTTCAACATACCTTGTCTGCTCAGGAGCAGAACCAGTGTGGTGCTGTTCATGAACTTCACCTCGGTGATCTTGCCGTCGTCTATAGAAAGGGCAGCAACTGTTGTGGCGACGCTACTGCTGATACCGTTGATGATGCGGATGGATGTACGAAAGATGAAAACTACCAAGCTGTTAGTGTGAGGTACGACCGGATGGCGCAAGGAAGTACTGACACTCTTGATCCCGTCCTTCTGCGGTCACAGCCGTAAAACTCAGACCATCGACGTCGTCCTGCAACAGAATGTCAACCAAAGTCACCAGCAACTTTGATGTTTCAACACCTACGTCTCGCCTTTCCGAGCACATGGTGGAGTCGATTTTTGAAATTCTCTGACCCAGTCCAATCTTTGTCGGCTGACCAAATCGAACGCTCCTCTTCTGTGCTTCGGCAATGTCCTTGAATACGCCATTTGCGCGGCTAGTAAGATAGTCGACGAGGAAGCCTACATTTGGGAAGGCCTTCAGATACGCCTGTCCCTCCTCTTGGCGCTTAAGCTGTGTGTCTAGCTCTTCGAGCATCGATGTTCCGCTTTCAGCTCGTTCCCAATTCGCCGAGTAATCGTCTTTAGCCACTTCGTCGAGGAATATGGCCATCGGGCTCTCGACAAGGTAGCGCTGCACGTAGACAAGAACCTTGCTATTCTCCATGGTAGCCTCCTTCTCTGTTAATTCTTCGGTCGCCGAGTTCGGGGCTGCAAAGCGGTCAATTTGGAATCGCATCCATGTAGAAAAGGCATGAAAGAGGTCGAGTTCATCCATCACGTTCAGGAGGATCTTGTGTCCAACCATCGTAAGGCAAGATACAATGTCCATTGCACGGGTGATCTGAGCAACGGAGAAACCAATGTCGTCGCGTGAGTCGTAAAACTGAGCGAGGCCACGGAGGCGGCTGAGAATGATGGCGCATCTTTCTAACGACGGAAGGAGGTTTTCATGGATCAACCCGCGCAAGTTCTCCAGCCCAGCAGTCACGGCCTTGTCCCATCGCTTGTGGCCCTAAAAGAATTATCAGCAACAGGGTTCGGAGCGAGGATAGCCTCTACTTACGCGCTCGGCTAAACTGTCGACCAGCCATTCTCGGAGGGGCTCATGTGCATGGCCAGTGACAACTGTGTGGAAAAGAGCTTGAACAATGTTTGTCGGCCCATGTGATATCTTTTCTAGGTCTCCCTCGACACTTCGTAAGAACTTGGACGGCAGTTCTCTCGTGTTCTTATACTCTACTTGCATGTGGAGCTGCGTCTGCTTCACATAACGTAGCAGCTTCTGCAATGTAGTGAGCTTTGACGCCAGGAGAGAGATGTTGATTGGGGATGAGGGTATGAAGGGCAGATCCATGGGAACCAAGTATACTGCCTGGTCATCATCGGCTGAGGATTTGAGGAGGAGAGTGTGGGTGGAAACCTCTGGATGAGAGGCATGTTGGATGAGCTGAAGCACGCCTGGTCTGTACATGGAGCTGGGAAGTGTGTACCGGAAGTCGCCGATGACGAAGGAATCATAGATGCTGAGATGGAGGCGACCATCGCTCGTGCCTACTACCATGACGAAGACTTGGTCGCTATCCTCTGTGTTGAAGGGCTGGAACAGGAAGTCTATGCCTGTTCTCAACGTGAACACCAAGCCATCTTCGCTGGAGCCACAGTCAGCAATCAGCTCTGAATGAGGGGAGAGCCAACCCACCCTGCTCCGGCACTTGAACTAGGTAGAGGACTGATCTTCGGCAAAGCAGAGTCCACCTCCAAGAAGGTGAGTTCTCGGGGAAGATCCAATGGGGCCGGGCCGCCTGGGAGATTCAGCTCGTCTGACATGAGCTTTTGCCATGGTTGCACATCGGGTTGCCGGGTTTTTGGTTGCGATTTGCCTACGATGTTACGTGACCAGCCGATATGAGTGATGTTTGGCGCCGCTGTATCATCTCCACAAACGCGAATATGATGTGCAGCCTTGTTGTTCTCCAGGCCCATCAACCTCACATAACCGTCGCTCCAGCCCACAGCAAGGAATTGGCCTGTGGTAAAGTTATAAGCTATTTACTAGGGATCTCGAGAGGAAATCTTCGTACCATCTGGTTTCCACCTGACAGCTTGGGGCTCCGGAGCTTGTTGGCCGGGTTTCGCAAACTGGTGGATTTTGGACACAACTTGTTCCCTAGGGCGGTAGATCAGAAGATTCTTCCCTTGTGCGTCCCAACTGACCGAGAGATCAACCGTTGGATTGCTGCAGGGAAATCCTTTGGCGACACGGTGGTCGAACTTGGTATCGCTGTAGTGCCCTAGCTGCATTGTTTCATCCATTGCGAATGCACGAAGCTATCCGTATCGACAGGGGAGTGGTGACTACTCGAAGGACCATTGCTAGTCCCGTGGGACGATTTTGTGACGGGAATTACCAGGTTTCTGGTTGTTGTGTTTCATTAAACTGAGCTGTCCAGTCTGCAGCTCAAGTAGGTCCGGCAGTCCTGCTTCGCGCAACCGACCCTTGTTGTTTGGAAGGTTCACGACTTTCACAAATCTCGAAGTGTGAGTTGAGATAGGTACATTAGGCAGGTACTCTGTACCTTACTTTCACGGGCCCTTGCTCTGCCCAGTGGAAACTGCGCCCAACCGAAGGAGCCTTCACTTACCTTAGACTTAGCCAAGCCCGGGCTATGGCGCCCGGGGAACGCTGCCAGTCACTGTAAGGCGTGGCTGAGGTGGTCCCGTACTGTGTGGATCTGCACCTCAGACGAAATGGAACACTAAGTGAGAGTAAGGTGTACTTCACTGCAGCAGCAAAGCCAAGGGTGTAAAATGATGTAGTCAATAAACGGCTTCTTTTACTCGGAGCTTTCGCATCCTTTAGACTCTAAGATACGTTTCATTTCATGCAGCCAAGTATTATGGCCATTTCCCAACATCGCAAGTCAACCCGCTGTTTGGAAAACTCATCAGTTGGCCCCCAGCTTTTGCTACCCCTGACAATCCCGCTTCAATCTCAATCTGAAAGCAGCTACGTTCTATTCGATTAAGAAGTTGTCTGCGTGACTCTTAATCTCCTTTGAGAATGTGACCTCCTCGTCCTCTTCAATCAAAGAGACAGAGGTAACCTAACATGTATATTAGCTTCTGGGTGAATAAAATTGCCGAGCCGCAACTTACATCGACATCTATGAAGGGAGAGGTCTTTGAGAACCTGACCGTCATTGGGAAGAAGTCGTTCTCATCGTTAGTCTCGGCCTCGAACTCGAAAGACCCGCTGGGGTTCTCATCCGAGACCGTGCCAATGTTCCACTCCAGTGAGTCGCCAGAAACCTCGTATGAGGCATCAAAGCTCGATACCACAGGTTCACTAGACTGGTAGGGGATAATCACGCTAACATCCTTCAACGTGTCGCCGCCCGTGAGCTCGTACTCGACCGTCATGTTGTACTTGTCTGCATCCTTGTTGATCCAGACGGTGAACGTAATGGGACAGGCGCTGGTGTCGTCTGCCTTGGCCGTTGCTCTCCAACGCAGCACACCGACTGACTGGTTGGTAGGGAAGCCACGGGCGGTGTTGCTCATCTGGATGGTCTTGGAGCTGTTGAACAGATTCTTGTCGACGTTGGGGTGCGTGCGGAACTGGGCGCCGTGGGAGGCGTTGGCAGTCAGGTTCAGCTTGACCTTGGTCAAGCTAGGGTCCGAGATACGGAGGTTCAAGTCACCAGTTATCGCCAGGGAGTTCAGGGCGCCCTCTCTCGACAACTTGGCACTGATAGCTTCGTTGACCACGATGTGAATAGCGTCACGGTCAAGGGTAGAGGAAACACGAGACTCTGCCGCAGGCTCGGGAACGTGAGCTGGGGTTGGCGTAATGAGGGGAGTATCGTCCACTTCAGCCCCCATCTCGCCTCGAACGCGCTCGAACATATCGGTTGTCTTGGACTTCTTGCCGAGTTGCATACCCTTGCCCTTCGGGGCGCTCAGCCTGCGCATATTAGCCGTCGATCACCGCCACATGCTATCTAGAAGCTACTTACTTGTTGAAGGTCTTGTTCTTCTCAGCTTCGTACGAGTCGTACGTATCCGTCGGGGTCGGGCGCGTAGGAGGAGTGTAAGTCGGGTAGTTGGGTGTTCTGGGCATTCCACCACCGACGCGGCCGGCTCGAGCCGATTCTTTCCGCTGCATCTCCAGCTGCTTGGCCTTTCGCTTGCGCTCCTCTGTCGCCTCCAGTTCCTTGTTCTGTTTTTATGATTAGTACGCTGTATTTCCAGGTGCTGGGTATCGATCGAACGGACTCGTGCGATGATCTCCTGGATCCGCTCCTCGTGACTCTCCATCTCGAGGAAGGTCTTGATCTGGCTGATGGTCAAGTTCTCGCGGTATCCCAGTGTAACAAGCTCATCGAAGGCGCTGAGAAGTTCGTATGCATTCTTCAGGATCTCTCTCTCGTCGAGGCTCTTGCATGTGCTGGTCACAACCTGAGCGAACAGGTGCAGGGAATCGATGTCTTGGAGGATGTTGGATTGGCGGTTGGTAATGAGAACCATATAAAGCTCGTCCAAGGGCTGATAGACGAATCGCACATTGTCTTGTTCGACGGTCGTGTGTTGAGTACCGCTGTCGGCGAGCTTCGGGAAGGACGCGAGAAGGGCCTCAATGCGGGATCGTGGCATCTCCCTGAACTGGCGGGAGAGGACAGCTTTCCCGCCACGGGTGCAAATCGACGCTGCGAGGACGACCTGAGAGGATTAGCATATCGGTACGTAAGGTACCACTGTCGTAAGGCTCCTCTTACCATTTTGGCGGAATGTGGTGACAGGTATACGGCGAATTGGAAATGTAGGAGGACTGTCGCAACTCGACTTCAAGATCCAGGCCAAAGGAGGGACCACACTGAGAGCTTGAATATTGAGGTCGGAATTGTGAATCTGGCCAGTGCACGGACCATACGACCTTACGTACAGCAGCTGAAGCTAATCCATATATGGTAAGGCGGTAGCTGCCTCCAGCAGGCGCGTCTACCTGCGCTTGCCTTATGGCACGTACCTTAGAGGGGTGGCACTTGGACCTCTCTTTTTTTAAATTCCCACGCGCCTTGATCAACTCCACCCCATCTGCCCTGTTTGGCCTCAAATCGCCATATCCATACTCTTTGTTCGACCACAGCTCCCTTTCTTCACTCACCTCATACGGACGGAGGCTATTTTCAAAGGACAACATACAGCAAACCCAGAACTCTTCACACACGAACTACTCTCGAACCAACGTCTAGCTGATACTTGACTCTGGCTTTTGTCAACGTCATCGAGCGGACATCCGAATTCTCACGACCCGAGCCTGCTAGACAAAGAGACAGACACACGTCCCAACAGAGGCAACGAAATCTTGACCGCGGGACCAAATACCGGCGTCCGACTTCCCGGACTGAGCAGGGATGGCGGCCGAAGCAGCTCCAGTCCTGAGCCTTGAAGGTCAGCAAAACGAGGAATATATCGACTATTCAGAGGACGAGTCGGCAGCCCCTGCCGTTGTCACAGAAGACTCCAACCACACCTCATTTTCCGCCAACGCGCATTTTGTCGCTGACGAAGTGGAGTACACCGAAAAGAGTATCTTGGAGCCGGATCATCAGACCATCGACCTACAGGTCGATGCCGAGATCGATGCCATCTCTGTAACCGCGGATGCACCACCACAGCGCGGTGACCTAGACTCCACTGCTGGGCTTGATATTGAAGGCGTTCATTCTGTTAGCGCACTAGAAGCTGAAGACTCTTACGTAAATGAAGATGAATCCCTTGCCGACGCCGAAGTTGCCGAACCTGAAGATGGCTTGATCGTTGAGAATGAGATCAGTTGGGAAGACGGGCCTGTCAATGAGGAAGACGCAGCTCAGGAAGACAGCAACCAGGACGAGAATCACATCGCCCTTGACAAAGATGAATGGCAACTGGTGGAAGAGAGAGAGGGTATCCCACAAGACGGCAAGAGCCCCGCCAAGAGTGCAGGGGAATATGAAACGGAAGCCCACGAAATCGACCAAGAGCTTGCGGACTCTTCGAATGATACAAAAAACGTGGACACAAACCCGGATGCGGTTGACATTACCAATGTTGATGTTGACCTAGATGAGCAGGAAGCTGCCGAACCCCAAGACGCGGAAGTCAATGACGAGCGCAAGATAGACTTCCACGAGGGCGACAGCGTGGCAACCGCCGATGGCATAGTGGATACCAGTGATACGCAGTTAGAGCGTCCTTCAGACTATCAAGAGACCGACGACAATTTCTCGACAGAACAGGATGCTGAGCATCATACCATAGGCGAAGATACCGAGTCGCAGCCCAAGCGAGAGGTTGAAAGCGACATGGCCGCTACCGGTGCTGACCAGATCAATGACGAGGAGACTCAAGGTGGGCTTATCGAAGCCGAAGACTTCGATGCAGTTGGTGAAGACTTGTCTGTCCACGAGCACGTGGAGTTTGATGACGAAGTCCTTGACGATGCGCGATCGTCCATTTCGGTTGAGACGCCGGCTCAGGAAGAGTTGGAAATTCCCGATGTCACTGTCTCGTACAAAGGCATCGACTATCCCTTCTTCTACGGTTCCCCGGACAGTCAAGGCAAGGAGTGTTTCTTCAATGACTTGTCTCTTTTGCACTGCAAAATGGAGGGCGTGTTGGCAGGCTTCCGTCAAGAGCTTGCCAATGAAATAGGCCCTTTTGACGAACTTGTGTTCCAAATTGACGAGCTTGGCCTTGAGTTTGCCGAAGTAAGTTCTCGTCCGACTGAAACGCAAACCCTACTGACACATTCAAAGTCCAGCCAAGCAGAGGTCTTCTCGGACATCACTTTGGGTCAGATCATTTCCGTATTTGACTCATTGGTCAAGAACCAGGATGCTGATGCATCCAAACCCCTCTATGCATATTTGACAACGCGGCCTAACTGCAAGAAGCGCTGGCTCTCACTCGTTGATGATGCCTATAACGGCAAAGGCCTTGATGAAATTAGCTATTATTTCGCGTCGCGGGCGCAGAGCGAGGCGCCCGAGATCATGGACGATGAACCTGACCTGATAGGAGAAGAAGACAACGCTGATGCTGCTGCATGGCCGCAATCTCCCGCAGACAGCGGGCATGGTGAGCACAACTACAATGAGGCCCATAGCGAACATGCGGATATCAACGAAGACGACGATGTGGGCGATGGTATAACCGGCGAAGACGATACACAGTCGCAGAACGCAACTGAGAATGCTTCCTCCCAACCGGATGAGAGCGCTGTTCCAGTGCCGGATACCGAGGCCACCATGTTTGATACCGAGGCTTCTCTGATGGACGAATCCACCGCAGTTGCCGACATTAGCACTGTCGAAGATGCCGACGTGGAAGATGCAACGGAGGATCAGCAGCCCCAAGAGCACGGGGAGGCAGGTAAAGGCGACCTTTCTCAAGTTCCTCTCTGTTTTTACCCTGGTTTCTGTCTTTGCGCCGCGTGCACTTCAACCTTTGTCGCAGAGCAGATGGCAGAAGAAGACAATTTTCGATTAGAGTCCTTGGTGCGAGTGACCAAGGAGTCTGCTCCACAGCGAGGGCCCTCTCCTTTAAGCCATTCGCATTTGACGCTTTCCGAGGGACGGCTTCTGCAAAGAACGTTCCGCCATTTGCATTCTCATTCAGATACCAGCATATCGTTTTCTTCAACCGCAGACGCTGACGCCCAAACCCAAGCTCCAGAGATCAATGAACCCAACCCACTCGCCTGGGAAACGCAAGAAGCAGTTGCTCTCAGCACTACTGCTGACGCACATGACATATTTTACGACGAAGATACTGCAGTAATTGCAGATCAGATCGTCGACGGCGTCACTGAAACCTCCGCAGAAAAGGTAACTCCTAATACCAGTGCCACGTCGACCTTGAACGGCGACGAAGAGGTCACCTACGAGAATGAGCTTGATCTCAACGCCGACCTACCTGAAAACGAGGACGTTGGAGCTGAGGTTGTTGCCCAGAACGAAGGGCTGGCGGAGATTGACTGGAGAGAATTCTCCGGGCAAGGGGATGATGAGATTGCCGTAGAGTCCCCTTTGGCCTCTGGCAAACGCCAGAGGTCGGATGTGGACGACCTGCTGGATGAAGAAGCTCAACAAGGTACGATCAAGAGGCTCAAAAAAGTGTAGAACATGCTGAGCTAACTTTGTGCTAGACGTCAAGCGTCGTCGGTCATAAGCTTAGGATAACATCCCAACTAACCCCTGCTGGTGTGTCACTCGACGCGACCGAATCTAGGTCCAGTCCACTGGGCTTCTGCCTCCCGAGGTAGACAAATCCGGGGACTAGGCCACAAAACAGACCGATTCTGTGAACACCGACATTTCGAAGACATGGATGATTTACCTGGCGGTAGAACGTCGCAATCGGAGCGACCAGATAGCCCTCAAGGTAGGTTTTCAGAATTGTTGTTCTCACTGACTTACAGCTTTCCCAACTTCCGACCACTTCCAGCCGGTGACCTGGCAATTCCATGGACGACATACCCTTAACGCCGACCCCCCCTGGATCTTCTTGATACCCCGTTTGTTCTCTTGCGATATTGGTGGATTCTGGCGTATAACGGGGCTAAAAAGCGACGCGATCACCTCGTTGTCATGCTTGATCTTTCTTGTACGATAAGTCGTTTGCGAGCTTTAGGGGTGACCATGACTTTGGTCATTGAGAAAGGCCTGTTCAGCTAGGTGAAGTATGCTTATCTTTCTGAAGAAGGAGCTGGACATGATCAACATCTGCTGCACCCTTTGGGATATCTACTTGATGATCAGTCACTTTTGGGCTCTGGCTTGGAGGGAGATATTTCAGGGCACCGAGCTTAGGTGCTGATTTTCTCGAAAAGAACGGCCTACATAGTTATACCTTCCTTACCTGATGATGAACACGGACATTTTACTTGACTCGATAAATAGGGGTGGACCTGATTTGTGCTGCAGTCAGACATATCAAGGTTCTCGAGCTACTGTGTAAAGCAAGTGAATGCTTTCGCGCATAAGCCTCGGCATGCCCGGGATGTCATCACGTGAACAGTCTTACTATTTACCGAATGGGTGCGTCTAGATGTCTGGGCTCATCCGACGTCAGCCGTCAAACAGGACCTGTTTGATGCTATAAGCAGATGGTGATGTTCCAATGAAGACATTACGGCTGACCTAAAAGTGAAGATGGTCGCGCCGCGGGTTCCTGCTTGTTCAATGCTAGTAGTGTTGTTGCCGTATCTTCCAGTTCTCTGCCCTTTCGTCTCTGCCCTTTCGTCTCATGTTGAGCCTTTATGGGTCTCGAGACTTTTGAGAATCACTGTAGACAAGAGCACGAGAGCATGAAGATGAGCACGGGGATGCAAGCAGTCAACCCTGCAAAGGCAGAGAGCTTCGGCTTTCTGCAAGCAATCGAGAGCTGGTCACTGGGAAAGTCTACCACGGTTGGACAACTTGTATTAAGTGGTGATTTAGCTGGTAAGATTAAGGCCTGTCAGCGATGGAAGTATTTTCACCCGAGGAACTTTGTCTGTGGCAATACCCTATTTAAGACTCGACGAGTTGAGTTGGGCGTGTCGATCAGGTACAGAGTATGATAGAGTTTCCATGGTGGTTTGTTGGCTCTCCCCCTGAACGGAACCAGACGTGGGAATCCCTGCCGTCCTTTTCCCCTCTGGTTTTGCGACAAACGCCCGTTCTTTTCATTCCTTAAGAGGACACATAATGCCAGATACCAAAGCAGCCGCACCGAATTTTGGTGTGTCGTTTCGACGACCGTTCGTGCTCATGCAACGCTCGCTCGCCTCTCTGCCGTGGTTGCCGCATTGCTCAAAGGACCCCCCCTCTCCACATGTCTCCCCCTTCCAGACCATTAAATGAAATTTTGGGCGGCTGGGGAGGAAACGAGCTGTCAAGGACGGGTTCTCTGGATGTTTTTTTTTTGGTTTCCAACGGCTCGGACGGGGGATCCGGGGAGCGAGGAGGAGCGAGGAGACAGGATCTGCAGTACAAATTGACCAGGGGGGAACAGCCGGGCGGCTTGCCGTTGCGTCTACCTACGTAGGGCCGATGGTCCCACGTGAAAAGAAAGGCGTTGGTCACGAGTTACGGCATAGTATTGCGCCTTTCATTCCTCTGGCCATGGCATCTTACCTAAGATATGGTAAGGGAAATCAAGGGTTTGACACGGAGAAAAGGCTTGGGGGCCTGGGATGCATGAGTGGGCAAGCAGAGTCGACAGAGGGCACTGTTTAACGGTTTTCTGATAACTTATGTGAGCGTGTGTCTCTCTCTTTTTGAACAGAGATATGGTCCACGGATACTCGAGTCCTGGACGGTGTACAGTCGCCGGCGTCGGGCACTATCGGCAAAGCGGGCTCTAGATGTTCCCGTCAGCTGGGTGCAGGAGTGACGACGACCACGACAACGACGACCACCGCAGTAAGGATTTGCGGTAAGGATGCAAAGAGCCATATGGTGGCTGTGGCTGTTGGTTTAATTAACGAGGGCCATTTGGCGTCGTGTCGAGACTCGTGGGTGCAAGGTGGGTTCGGGGGGTAGGGGGGTGGTAGACGTGGTGGTGTCAGGGGAGGGGGAGATTCGAGAGGGAGGCACCAGTCACAGTGTCATTTGTATGAACCTGTTTCAATGGGACCCCACATGGGTTGTGAGAGAAAAATAGAAATGCCGATTTCTTTCTTGGATCGGATCTTCGTATGGAGATTTGCAGGGGGAAGAAGCACTGACTGTCTGTCGACTGACTGACTACTCTGAGCCTCGGAACCGCACCCAAAGGAACCACGCCTCCCGCCTTTTTTTCTTTCGTATAGGCCCTGCTTGTTCACGGAGGGAGAAGGGCGTTATTCTTGCACAGCACCGGAGAGTTTATACTATACCATTGAATGTTCATCGACGGTAAACTCTGCCATGTTCTTGCACTGCAGCCCGGTTCGTTCAGGGGTTCATGGGCTCAGCGTGGATCGAGCCCCTCCGGACTGACACTCCAGGAGGAGGAGGTCTGGAGACTCGGGGAGACTTGGGGAGACTTGGGGAGTCTGCTGCCAACCACGGCCCCCTGCGGACAGAGGTGGTGTCCTACTTTGGCGCCCATCCCACCCCTGTCGGAGTCGAGTCGAGTCAAGGGACGGTTTTCCAGTTCTGAGCCCCTGCTGCCTCTGCGATGACCTCAGTGAGAAATTGTGTCGATGCAGTGATAATGCTTTTAGGTATGGTGAAGAGATTGCGAGAGGCCTGGGAGAGCGGATAAGTGGTGAAATATGATGGATGTACGGACAGGTACATAGAAATGAAGGAGAGGAATAAGAGAGTTTGAACAGATGAGAAGAAACGGTACGGACGAAGAAGCAACCAAGTCTTGGCGTCCCTTCCAGGAAATCGCCTTCCGTCCAAAATCGCATGCGAAGCCTGTTCCATCCTCTGGATCTTCTGGATTCCGTCCGACATCCGTCCAAGCCTCTTGGTGTATACCTAAATGTATGCTCAATTGCGGTCGCTGGCCTAGGTAAATCGCTGCATTTTGCAGCATACCTTAGCAAGATGGTAAGTTTGTACATCATCGTCGTCAAGGATCCAACCCAAGTCGGGCCAAACCTACCAGGTTGAGGGTCTGTAGGTGACGATTTTTATTTTTTTTTATTTTTTTAGTTTCCCCTTCTCGATGTTCCCAGGTCCAAAATGATGAGCTTGGCCTAGCCCTCTCTAGCGGCATTCGTTCCCCGTCTGGTAGGCGCTCAGCCCCTCGACCCTCTCCCGTCCGGTCGACCAGAGCCCACAGGCAACCCCACCCGCACTCAACAAGTCTGGCGTCCGCGGCCAAGTTCGTTCCCGTCCTTTCGTGCAGGCCCGTCTGGTATTTTTAGGGACAAGGCCACCTTTTGGGTTTGGATTCATACATTCGTACAGGCACCTCTCGATGCTAGCACTAGCTGTCCCCGCCGTCTATTCCAGCCACCATAACCACCCCAGCAGAGAAGCACAAGGGAAAGGAAGAAGAGAAAGTGCGCTATCGTGAAGAACGCGTACGCTCTCGAAGTCAAGATACCCCCAGTCCAGGTCTGTCAAGCAGGAGATAGATACCCGTCGGGGGCATAGTATTCCTATCAGGTACCAAACACTCTGTATGGATCAGATACCTAGGTGACCTGACCTGCTTCACATTTCGCTGCAGGGCACCTCTTCAACCCTTCCCAGGGGCCTCTGAAACTCAAACCTGTCCCTATCTGGCTGGTTGGCATTCCTCGACACGCACCTACCCACTGCGAAGACAGACCAGACCACCTTTTTCCTGCTGCTGTCGGGTACCTAACTACCTAGACCGCCCACATCCCACAACCCGCCTCTCTTACCTAAAGGCACCTGACGTATCGACGTACCAACACAGCAAAGGTACCTTGCCATTTCGTTACCGCCAATACCTTGCTCGCCTTTGCATCGCCTCGCCTTACGGTATTGTCACACCTCAAGCACCTTCAAGAGGTACCTGATCCATCTCAGTGCTGTCTCCGAACCTGTCACGCTACGTACCGCTCTCACAGTTTTATCTGCAAAATCCCACGAAACACTCTCCCTCCCCTTCCGGCTTCCCGTTTGCGCCAACCAACCATCCCCGATCCCGACAGTGACACGAAGTCCACGAAGACTCCCTCGACTTGCTTCAACCCCCTCCACTCGATTCGACGACGACGACGGCCACGAACCTTCACGACCTGCCCATCTCCTCACTCTTCAACTGCGACTCCTGACCATCTAGAGTCGTCCGGGTCCAACTTTCCATGTGTCGCTGCTGACGAGGTTCGACGTACCACTCCAAATCTCTCTCTACCTCGCCCGGCGCGAGCCTCGCAAGCTCCCCTTCACGGGCCACGACACTCTCTACCGCGACCGCACTCGCCTCGGCGCACACCTCTAATCACCACCGACACTCTTTTCGCTGCCCGTCGCTGTCGACGTGCTCGTTTTTTTTTTGGGCAAGATGATGTTGGACGAGAAGTACGTTTGCGACCCGATCGGCCTTCTAGTCACCCTCCAGAACCCTACCCATGCGGCCTGTCCACCTGGCCTCGGGACCCGAGTTCGCTGACAGTCAACCCACGCAGATACATTGGCCTAGGCCTCGCCATGGCGTCCAGTTTAGCGATTGGTATGTACTCCTATTCCAAGTTCTCACGTAGGCCTGGCCGCTGACAATGCTCGCCTCACAGGTATCAGTTTCGTGGTTACGAAAAAGGTACGCGACTCCTACCCACTTGAGTTGCCCTTTGCACTCGACCTAGAATTGCCCTTTCGATGTGTCGGGACTAACCCTCGGCTATAGGGTCTCATGCAAGCAGAAGAACGCCATGGTTTTGAGGGCGACGGCTTCGTATATCTTAAGAGTCCGGTCTGGTGGGCTGGTATCTCAACTTGTGAGTCTGCGTCGGTCCTCGATCGAAGGCGGCAAAGCCGCTAACATGTGCTTAGTGGTTGTTGGAGAAATCTGCAATTTCGCCGCCTATGCATTCGCGCCAGCCATTCTCGTCACGCCTCTCGGAGCTCTTTCTGTCCTGATCGGTGCCGTTCTGGGTTCATACTTCCTCAAGGAAGAGCTTGGTGTTCTGGGTCGACTGGGCAGTGCAATCTGTCTAATCGGCGCTGTCATTATTGTGCTACACGCGCCTCCGGATGAAGATATCCAGACTGTTGACCAGATCCTGCACTACGCCATCCAGCCGGGTATGTCTACGGCTCTCATTGACGTTGCGACCGAGAACTGATCCCGTTCCAGGCTTTTTGCTGTACGCCTTCGCTGTCACCGTCTTCGCTGTCATCATGATTTACAGAGTCGCGCCGCTCCACGGAAAGAAGAACCCGATCATTTATCTCTCAATTTGTTCAACCGTTGGATCCGTCTCGGTCATGTCTGTCAAGGCCTTTGGAATCGCCCTGAAGCTCACATTCGCCGGAAACAACCAGTTTAGCCACCCTTCGACTTATGTTTTCATGATCCTCACCACTGTTTGCATCCTGACGCAGATGAACTACTTCAACAAGGCTCTTGCTCAGTTCCCCACAAACATGTAAGTCGAAGAACGCCAAGTCTATACGTGCCAGGTGACGCTAACTGAGGACCATGTAGTGTCAACCCTCTTTACTACGTTACCTTCACGACCATGACTCTATGCGCCTCTTTCATCCTGTTTGGCGGTTTCAATACTACCGATACGGTTAACACGATATCCCTCCTCTGCGGCTTCTTGGTTACCTTTACCGGTGTCTACCTGTTGAACCTGTCGAGATCGGATCCGAACGGACACAAGATGATTGCAGGCAGCGGCGGCGATGATGCTACCGGCACGGACATGATTTCTACAATCCAAACCCGTCTGAGTATGCAGGCACGCCGGAGTCAAGACCCCCACCGGATGAGCATTGGCAGCCGCCACGGCGATACAACGGGGCTGATGAGGGCCTACGACGAGGAAGCCGGTGCCGAGTTCGGTCTCACTGACCTGGCCGACGAAAGCGACGACGAAAATGACCACCACAGAGCGAACGGGTCCGCCAACGGCCACTCGAAAAGATACAACGAGACAATTGAGCTTCAAAATCAGAGGTCCGACAGATGAGAAGCTAGGAGGGTGCACCGTCTCTTTTCTAGTTATCGGCAGACGCCGAGGCGGTGATTGTCTTTTTCTTCGAAGCATTTCTTACCAGGGGCCCGATATGGGGGCAGCATTGTACATTTTCTCGAAAGCCATATGACTGAGAAGTTTTCCACGACATGATCGGATTCATGAAAGAGGCAAAGACCCACGGAACAAGGCGCACCCCCGAGTGAGGGGAGGGGAAAGCACCGGGGGAACCAGAATTAAGCTTTTCCCGTACTATTTCACTTCTGCCAGGGCACGAGGAGTATTCACTGGGCAACGGGAGGGATCACTACTTGGGGGCGTTTATCAGGGTTTCCAATGGATACTGGGTGTGCGGAAGCACCTCTTGTTGTACGATTAAGTGGAAGGCGAAACGGGGAAGGTGTGCAGGTGGGATAGAGCGAGAAGCATACCCTGGTTCGCCCGGAGGATGGCATCTTCTGTTCACTGTCCAAAGCATTTGAAACCCACCATAGACGTAGGCCGAGGCCAAGAGCCTCGCGAATTGAGCATCATGGACCGACTGCAAGCTGCCATCCTTTCGTAACAATGGTGCTTGGTTGTTATTCAGAGACTAGTTGATTGACGACCAAGTATGGAGTGTATGGAAAGACGGTGAGCACATACGCAAGTGATCCCATGGTTACCTTGGGCAGGAGACTCCTTCAGAGGTCCGTCGGTCATGGGTGATATCACACGGTGGACACTGCAGTTTACTTGAATGATTTCGTTGCTCATTTCATGGTTTGTTCTACCATTACAAGCCAGTCGCAACTATCCGAATTCCCTTTCGCAGAGTGATGCAAATGTTGATCAAGACGCCTGAGTAGTTATTCCACCCCCGTCCTCCCTTTTTTGCTGGTTTTCGCGCGAAACACCCCGTTTTTTTGTATTCCCCTAGTCTGGTATTGGAAGAAAACTAGAGTGAACTAGAGACAGAAGCGTGCGAAAAAGCAGACTCGAAAATCCCCCCCCCCCGCGCTGAGCAATCTTTCACCAGCCGGCAGGGCTGAGAGAGTCAGCCTCGACAGAAGAAACCTGCGGCTCGGCAGCCTCCTACGACTGAGCCTCGGCCTCCTCAGCAGCCTCGGGCTGCTGCTCCGCTTGTTGCGCCTCGGCGGCGGCCTGGGCCTGGGCGGCCTTGGCGCCGTAGTCCTGGGACATGGGCTGGACGACGCTCTGCTCCTCCTTGGGCTCGAGGATGGAGACGGCGTCGGGGAGGGTCTTCTGGGGGCCGGCCTTGCCCTCGGGGTCGGAGCCGCGCATAATCTTGACCTTGATGCCGAGGACACCCTGACGGAGGAGGACGTGGCGGGTGGCGTGGTCAATGAAGTCCTTGGCGGGCTGACCAGAGTGGATCATGAAGCCGTCGGTGAACTTCATGGACTTGGCGCGAGCGGCGCGGAGCTTGCCGGAGACGACGACCTCGCAACCCTTGGCGCCGGACTCCATGATGAAGCGGAGGACACCGTAGCAGGCACGGCGGACGGCGAGACCGTTGAGGAGCTTGTAGCGGAGGGACTCGCACTGGGCGACGGCGGAGAGACCACGGTTCTGGACCTTGGCGGCGTAGAGGGAGACGGAGTTCTCGGGGAACTTGAAGCGCTTCTGGATGAGCGAGGTGAGCTCGCGGATGCGGCGGCCCTGCTCGCCGAGGACCTCCTGGGTGTGGGTGGCGCGGATGATGATGTCGGTTACCGTGGGGGTGACGCGGACCTCGACGCCGGAGTAGCCCTCCTCGGCCAGCTCGCGCTGGAAGAACTCGTTGAGCTCAGCGTAGAAGACGCCATCGGCGACGAACTTTCTGCGCTTGGAGCTATATGGGTAAACGAATCGTTAGTAAAAAATTTGATCCTCCAATTCTTCGTTCGACTGAAAACACTAAATTCGAGATTCGCGAAATTTGGCGATGGCGGGGACGGTCTCGAAGAAGTCTTGCACAGCACACATGAAAACAGAGGAAGGACAATTCTTACATCTGAGTGCCTGGAACAGCCATCTTGACTTTCGTGTGCCCGGGTTTGTCGAAAGGGGGGATAGTTGGACGGGTTGTTGGAGTGTCGACGGTATCGTTCGGCGGAGGGGCGGAAGGTTGAGAAGTGAGGTTGTTAGAGTAGTCCACATTTGCCCAATCGTCGGTGCCCGGGTCGATTTTGCGCTGCAAAAATTGAGCAAATTCTGTGTGCCCTAGAGAGGCGGCCGATAAGGGGAAACCTTTGGCCTTGTGGTCTGTGCTCTCTTCTTATCGGACGCGCCAGGCTGATGGGAAGGCGGGCTCCACCTGCCAGCTGTGGTGACCTGCCAGGCGTAAAGTGCTTTTTCCCTGGCCAGCAATCGGTACGTCTCTCAAATGAAAGGTCTTGCACGTGCTGAACTATTTGGCTGGCTGATCATCGGGCCATCGGGAGAGAGAGCTCCGTCGGCCGGTAGTGGGGTTTCAAGGGGCCAGCTTCGGCTTGGTGGGGACCAGAGCCGTGGGAATTTGGAGGTCCCCTGTTGTGTTGTGTTGCAGGCTCTCAGCGTGCTGGCCACGACAGTGACGGTCACAGGGGAGCTGAGAGCGTCAGGTGAGTGACATTTGATGTTAGGAATCCAGACCAAACCGCGATTCATTATCCAACACTTTGCTGTGCTATCCGTTGGTGATGCACCCAGCAGATAGATTTGATCTGATATTATTCACGAGTCATTCAGCCCTTCATCATTAGACTAGAAGCAACTACTTAAATCGATCTTCCAGCTGGCATGTAGGCCCTCGAAAGCGGTGGCATTAAATACGTTTATTGCCAGTTTGGAGGAAGGCACCCAAGCACTGACTCTGCAAGCCGTGACGTCGGCTCTCTGCTCTCAGCCCCGCGCTAAGCTAAGTGACGGGACCAGGTAGATGGTGTGGATCAGCCGTTCCTTTGCCTTCCTGCTGCTCCTGCTCCTGCTCTTTGCGACTGCCCAGCGACAAAATCAACCGCAGACAGCCGACCTCCAACCTGACAACCGGAACCGTCCCTCCCCGCGCTACGTGACCTTGCCTCCAAACCTTACCCTGCCCAATCCTCTGAACTCCAACATCGTGTGGTTGCATTGATTTTCTTCCTTTTTTCTCTTTGTCCTATCCAAACTCCCCGCCCTCACTGAAGCTGCGCAGCTTTCCTGCTGCTCTTCTTCCAGTGAACTTACTCACCTACGAACACTCACTTTCCGGGCCTTCCGCATACGCGCGCGGCCATGCTTTAGTAGCTCAAAGCAGCATCATCTTCCACATTGCACTTCATGATGGAGGCCAGGAAGGCAAGTCACGCGCTCCCCTTGTACTGACAGCATCTTGAATTTCTTTGCGCAATATCACATCAATAGGAAATAGCTAACCGTGTTGCAATTTACAATATACAGGTAATCGAAAACGTTCAGTGTATCAACGGAGGACTCACCTCGGTCGGCACTTTGCGCTTGACCGATTTCCACCTCGTCTTCTGCGCGCCACCTCCTCCCAAGAACCCGCCCATCGAACAGGCCGATCAACCGCCCCCGAAGCCCAGAGAATCATGGATCACCTATCCTATTCTGTCGCAGTGCACACTCCGGCTCACGCCTCCAACCCACGGCATCCTCAGCTCCATTAGAATCCGCTGCCGCGACTTCATCTTTGTTACCTTCACATTCGAGGACAACAACGTTGCTCGAGACGTCTTTGAGTTTGTGAAGCTCAGAACCTGCAAGCTGGGCACCATTGAACGGCTCTTTGCTTTCAGCCACAAGCCCTCCAAAGTCGAGCGACAGGTCAATGGCTGGAAGATCTACGACCCCAAAGCTGAGTTTCGGCGCCAAGGCATCAGCGAGAAGTCGTCGGACAAGGGATGGAGAATCACCAATATCAACAAGGACTATACCTTTTGCGACACCTATCCCGCCGTCCTGGTGGTTCCTTCTGGCATCTCCGACAACGTTTTGAAATACGCCAAAGAGTATCGTTCGAGACATAGAATTCCGGCCCTGAGTTACATTCACGCAAACAATAACTGCACCATTACCCGCAGCTCGCAGCCTCTGTCAGGCATCACCAGAAAGAACAATGTGCAAGATGAGAAGCTGGTGTTGGCTTCTTTTGCACCTATCATGCCCCGAACCAGCATCGATCAAGACCAGCCTCCGCGCCTGAGCCAGTCAGATATCTCTGAAAAGTCGTCTATGGATGGAGAATTCTCTGAGCAGATTGCTGCCGACGACGAGCCCAAGATGTTTGATGAAAACGGCAAACGTCTCATCTATGGCGCCCAACAAGCCAACATGATTGTCGACGCCAGACCTACCGTGAATGCCATGGTCAATCAGATTGGAGGAATGGGTTCTGAGCCCATGGACCGCTACCCGGGGGCCAAGAAAGCCTTCATGAACATCGAGAACATCCATGTGATGAGGAAGTCGTTGGAGAGCGTCATGCTCTGTCTCAAAGATGCCGACCTGTCCCCTCTGGCCCCTGATCAGAACGCTTTGGCTGCCACTGGCTGGCTGAAACACACGCAGGCTGTTTTGAATGGAGCTGATATAGTCGCCCAGCAAATATGGCTCAAGCAGTCACACGTCCTCATTCACTGCTCCGATGGCTGGGACCGAACCAGTCAGCTAAGCGCTCTTGCTCAGATTATGCTGGACCCGTTCTTCCGAACCATTGAGGGGTTCATTGTACTCATCGAGAAGGACTGGCTTGCCTTTGGCCACATGTTTAGGTTGCGATCTGGCCACTTGAACCACGAGGACAATTTTAAGGTTCAGAACGACTCGATGGCAGGGTCAACCATTCAGCCTGGCGAGAATGATGGTCGCGCAGATGCCTTCCAGAACGTCTTCACCGGTGCCAGACAACTATTCAACCCCAGCAAGGAGGACAAGGCTGAACTTGATGCCATCACCGAAGGTTCCACTGGAAAAGTCGCCAAGGACGAGGCCACTGTCCCTAAAATGATCAGCCCAGTCTTCCATCAGTTTGTGGACTGCGTCTATCAGCTTCTCCGCCAGAACCCGACCAAGTTCGAGTTCAATGAGAGATTCCTTCGCCGACTCATCTACCATCTCTACTCCTGCCAGTACGGCACATTCCTCTACAACTCTGAGAAGCAGAGACACGAGGCTCATGCCTCTGAGCGCACTTCCTCGGTCTGGGACTATTTCTTGTCGCGCAAGCCGGAGTTCACCAACAAGGACTATGATCCGACCTTCGATGAGTACGTCAAGGGTCGTAGCCGGATCATAGTGCCTGAGATGAGCAACATTCGCTGGTGGCACCAACTCTTCAATCGCACCGATGAGGAGATGAATTCGCAACTCAACGCTGTGGCGACTGCTGCAGCCAACAGAGCCACGGCCATGAACGAATTGCACCCAACCACAGAAGATTATTATGCAAACAGCCAGCCTGGTACCCCGCCTCAAGCCGCCGCAAGTCCCAAGCCGCCGTCCCTCACCAATAGCCAGTCAGTTCTGGCATCTGTAGAGACTGCGCACGCCACGCTCACGCCCAATCGTCAAGAGCGACAGGCTCCAATTCTGCGTCGAAGTGTATCGGCAGAAAACTCCAATGCCTTTAGCGCAGTGAGAGATGGAATTGCTGGCTTGAATATTGGCAAAAATGTCAGTGGAATGCTCAACAACTTGGCCGGACGCAACGGCGGTCCTGCTTCCGCTTCAAGGGTTACAAGTCGCAGCGAGCAAGAGCTCAGAGAGATGACATAGGGCGTCATGTTCGAACGAATGCACGAAGCGCCTTACACCATCGAGGTGACCAACGCTACAATGAAACTCGACGCCGAGCTCTATTACCAGGAGAACTGGGCTGACTCGACTTACACGCTTAGTAATTGGGGCGATCCAACGGTCTGGGAATGGGGCACCAGGGCCGTCATCAACTTGAGCAGAGACTGGTCAAACTTGACCGATGGCTTGGCCGAGGACACGCCCGACGAAGATGCTTGTGTTGACAACATCACCTGCGACGATGATGGCGTTTGCATCAATGGAAATGCGTCAACCGACATTGATGCTTGTTCTGAGGCGTCCTCGATTCATTCTCTCGAGCGTGTCTTGGCGGAGGATGTCACCGATAGCAGCTTCTTCATTATGGTGGACTCTAGCATGGAGGACCTGTCTGCCGAGAACGGCGGATCTGTGGTTTCCAACCACTAGCCACAGAACACTTCCTCGATCGACATTTCAGGAGTTTGGCATAGGTTTGCTGCATTTTCACCTTACGACTACGAAGGGCGCGAAAGAAACGGGGCCCCTCAACAGACGCAGTACCGGAACTTTTCTAGGAGGAGACGACTGATTTACGGCTATTCATGACAGCGAGCCGGAGTTTTGTACAAGTATTACGACCTTTTTTTTTTTCTTCTTTTGACGCATTCGCCCCTTTTTTATTCGACCTCCGTCATGCTGGATATCCAGCACTTTTGCCCGCACTGCTTTCCGGCGTCCAAGAGGTGTGGTTGAAGACAAACTTTGCGTCCGAGACTGGTAAATGGTCCAAAGCAGGAAATGGCGACGGAATGGGTTCGTTCAATACAGCAGCAACGCGGTTTGGAGTGGCACAGGCAAGAGAAAAGTTGGCATGAATGGATGCATGCTCAGAGAGACAGAGGAGAAGTAAAGAAGGAGAATGAGAGACGAGAGGCTTGGGGGTCCGTTATATAGATCCACTTGGATTTTCGAACTCCTGTACTCTCGGTTCCATAATTCTAATCAGTCTGAAGTTACCTCTCGTTCTCATTGTGATTTGTGTCAGACATGTCACAGAGTATTCATCTGAAAAGCGGCCGTGATGAGCGTTTGTAGGTTGTCAAACCGAGCTTGGCTTGATAGAGCGAATGTTTGCCACGATTTGTGCAGCTTGGGCTTCCTTTGTTTAATTTTTTTTTCCTCGTGGGTTGTGTCAATTGCTTCGTCAAGCTAGGTCTATATCCGACCGCCTTACGTCTAGCTAGGCCTTTCTTTTATTTTTTGTATTTGTCCGTAGTAGCCATTCGTCATGTCCATATCCCGTCATGCTTCATCACTACAAGAAGACCTCGAGGTTGATCTCGAGGGTGCTCACAGGGTATCTACCGCCAAAGTTAGCATCGGATGGTCTGGCTTCGTAAACAGAAAAAGGGGAGGATGGGTTGGTAATACCTCAAGTCAAACTTCTCCAACACGGTAGGGTGCAAGATGCCAAACTCGCCAATGCGCGCCTCCTTGCCACCCAGACGCAGGTAGATGGCGGCTGCGTGGCCTGCGAAGAAGGTGGGCTCGTCAATTTCCTCGATCCAATAGCCGTCAGGCTTGCTGGGGTTCTCGACGACCTTGAAGTCGATGCTCTTGGCTGCTGTCAGGCCCTCGTCGTGAGTGAGGAAGGCGGTACGGAGCATCAAGAGGACGCGATCGAGGAGGCCGTGGACAACCTCGAAACCACTGGTCTTGCCGTACCAGGCAGCGGCGAAGTGGCGCTCGTTGCGAGCCTTGCGCTCCAGAGACTCGTCCTTGAAGACGACGTCGGCTGACTCGAAGATCTTGATGGGGACGCTGTGCTTCTTGTTCTCGCGGATGGTCTTGAGAAGACCAGGGACCAGGGATGTCCGTACAACCTGGTACTCGGCGGTCTTGGGGTTGGCGAGCTTGACAGCGGTCTTGCCGTCATCCTTGCGATTCAGCCAGCCAAAGTTCTCGTCGTGACTGCACAGGATCAGAGGCATAACCTCGCTCCAGCCAGACATGGCGGCCTCTGTCCGGACAATGTCGGCGAGCTTGTTGATCATCAGTGGCGCACCAATGGTTGCGCTCTTGTTGGGAGAAGATCTAGGAAGGTTGTTGTAGCCATAGCAGATAGCCAGGTCCTCCATAACATCGCACTGGTGGAGTACATCGGCACGCGTGACGGGAATTGACACGCTGAGGAGGTTGCTATCCTTATCGGAGGGCTTTGCGATGTAGGCCATCTTATTGAGGAGCTTGCACATCTTCTCGGGGGTTTCGCTGAGGCCGGTGCAGGCGTTGAGGTAGTCGATCTCGACATCGATAGTGCGGGGAGCGAGGGTGGGTGTCGTTCTTGATGCGCCGTTGTGCTCGGAGACAATCTTGACAGGCTCGACGGTGAAGGGCTCGGAGCAGTACTGCGAGAACATGGTGACCATCATGTCACAGACGATATCGAGCTTGGTGGCGTCCGTAGCCGTCATCTCGATGAAGACGTTCTTGGTGTTAACAGTAATCTTGGAGTGGTCGCCGTTGATTATGGGCGGCAGCGAGCAGACGACTCGGTTCTTGTCGTAGATGACAGGGTATACAGGCGAGTCCTTGATGATGTGCAGGTACTTGCCAAGATGCTTGTCACCCTCGTAGAACTGCATCAGCTCCTCGCCGTTCATCTCCTTGGTCTGGTTCAGGGGTTTGAACTTGATGTCCTTGGCCGGCAGAGCCTCGTATGTGAAGGGTCCTTCTATCGTGTCGAGGTCATGGGTTCCAATAGCCACCAACGTTCTTTGTCTCGCCAAGTTCATGTGCAGCTTGTCCTGAAGGCCGATGAAGGAGTCGTAGCTCTCCTGCGTGAACTTGATATTTCTGAGGATGGCACCGGCGACGAGGGGTCGGATCTTGCTGGTGTCCTGAGCCACGGTGATGACCGAGGCTTCGGGGTTCTTGGGTTCTACAACCTTGTAGTTGGGGGCGGCGACCTTTTCTCTGAAGATGTTGAGCATGAGCGCGATACCCTCGAAGCACAGCATATCGTATCGGTTGGCGGGGATCTCGATCTTCAGTTGGGGCGGCTCCTGCACGCCATTGACAATCGGTCGGTCGTCATTCTCGGTGTCCTCGTCGAGCTCGATGCCGAATTCGAAGCAGAGGTCTTCAAACTCCTGGGTGGTGAAGCTGTGCGGATGACGTTCAGCAAAAGGGAGTCTGGGGATGGCGGGGTCGAGATGTGTAGATCGGGGTTGGCGGTGCCAGCGCGGCGCAACTCACTTTTGGCCCAGGGCCTTGTACAAATCGTACTTGTTGACGGATATGGTAGGCATGGTGAGGATTGGCAACAGTCTCTCGAGGATACAGAGGTCCGGCAGTCGTCAGGGGCAGGAGAGGATCCAGGCAATGGTCGATTTCCTTCTCCGATATGGCCTTGAGTCACAGAAATTTTGGGGACACTCGGAGGTGAAGCAACTGCATGCACGCATGGAACGTTCGAAGGCGGGATGAAGTTGCTGCTTTTAGAGGTCGGTGGGAGTCATTTCGGCTTTGCAGCACGCATTTGAGGGGCTGCGGGGTTGAGGGGCAGCAAAAGCAGCGGTCACACTCGGCATCTCAATTTTCCAGGGTCCGTTGTCAGAGAGTGGTCCGTGCCAGCCCAAACCGGGACGGGCAGCAGTGCAGCACAGCACAGCACAACAAATAGAAGCCGTAAATCGACGTATGCCTCTTCGGTGCAGGATCCGTGCCAGCTGGCGGCCAGTGCATCCAGCCGTGCGCACATTCCAGCGACGAGATGTTTCGCCGGTGCTGGAAGGTGGGAGGGACATGCCGCCAATACCTGAGCTGTTTGTTGGTGAAGACTTGACAGCTACCTCACTGGCAGCTCATAGCTACCTGCGACAGCCTACGCCGGTCAACGTTTTGGGAATGTGACAATAAAGGCAGCGCTGATTAAATTTTATCTCATTGTCATGCGTTTCTTCAAACATTCAGACTTGGAACAGTATTGAACATGTGTAGCTGTCCCATATCCTCCCCTCCATGAACGTCGTTGCGAACCTAGGTAGCTTAGCTGCATACTGAATGACCCCTCCTCGGCTGGTCACCCGAGGGACATCTCAGCAGATCTAGAAGGAATGGACCAGGACTGGATAAGTTAGATGGTTTAGTTTGGCTATCTGGAGAGTGCCATGGTGCTGATCGCATTGGCGACAGAGGGCACGGAAAGTTCCAAAGAACGCGAGGAAGTAGGGTACGTGGAAGAGGGATACGTCAGTACTGCAAATCCGCTCTTCAGCTGTTTAGATGCAGCAGGCAGCCCCTCACCAAGAGAAAGAGCACCACCACCTTACCTCACTCTCCTGCACCCCTACCTTACGACATCTCCCACCTGTAGTCCCGGTACGTACCTTACCTCCGCCCTGCCAGACCTTGCCTAAGGCGGTCACAGATACAGGGCTCGTAGGCGCCTACCTCAGAAATGACACTGCCCATCACCTACCGGCCACCGCAGCTGATAATTGAGGTGCGGTAGGTACCTTGGCCCAGCCCATTTCTGCTCGGGTGGGACAGGACTAGGAGCAGAAGCGAAAGACGAACCTCAGAAACGGCACGTCAAACTTCCCTCTCCATGCCTCGTGCTGCCACCATTATCCATCTCAAATCAACACCCGACCACGCTTCTCCTCCTCCACTGCCACACGAACCTCAACACGACAACTAGCTGTGCCTCTCGCCAACCTGACGTCGGATCGTTGGCATGGTCTGCATGCCCGCAACCTCCTGATATTATCTACCCAACACTATCTTGGTTGCGTCGTCTCAGATTTTAGAGCCCCCCAGTCCCACAACGACCACCGCTCGCCCTCAGCCAACCCATTGCATCACTCGCACGCGATCCACTCCGATCGCTCACAACCACGACGTCGACTTTCCTAACATCGCCCGAGCCCCCCCATCGATAAACGCGCCTGCGCAACCTCGCTCGCCATGGCAGACGCGCCGAATACCCAGGACGAGCTTTACCCCATCGCCGTCCTCATCGACGAGCTAAAGGTATGGCGGTGACTCTGCCTGCCCAACCCCGACGTCAGCTTCAGCCGCCAGCGCACACCAGATTGCTAACCTTTCGCAACCCAGCACGACGATGTCCTCTTGCGTCTCAATGCCATCCACCGCCTCTCCACCATCGCCCTCGCCCTGGGCGCCGAGCGCACGCGTGAGGAATTGATTCCCTTCCTCGACGGTATGTGTCGCGCATCCATCCCACTGTGAGCCAATATCTAAACTTTCAATCAGAGTCCGTCGAGGACGAGGATGAGGTGCTGGTCGCTCTCAGCGGCGAGCTGGGCAATTTCATCGAGTACGTCGGAGGCGCCCAATGGGGTCATGTCCTTCTCTCCCCCCTCGAGAACCTCGCTGCCATCGAGGAGCCCGTCGTGCGGGATAAGGTAGCTAATGCCCCCTGCTCCACCCGCAAGTCACGTCGCCTAATCAGAATAGGCCGTCGAGTCTCTCAATAAGATCTGCGAGGAGCTGTCCTCCCAGCAGGTCGAAGAATACTTCATCCCCTTGACCATCCGACTTTCAAAAGCAGACTGGTTCACCTCCAAGGTGTCTGGCTGCGGTCTTTACACATCGCCCTATAAGAAGGTGTCCCCGGGCATTCAAGAAGATCTCCGGAAGCAGTTCGGACAGCTTGTCCACGATGAGACACCCATGGTCAGACGTCAAGCTGCAACCAATCTGGCCAAGTTCGTCAAGGAGATGCCGGCTGCTATTGTTGTTGAAGAGATGATACCCCTTTTTCAACACCTCGCCCAGGACGACCAAGACAGCGTCCGCTTACTTACCGTCGAGATCCTTATTTCCATCGCCGAGGTCGTGCCCAAGGAGCAGCAGTCGAGTCACGGCGTCCTCCTTACTTCCCTGCGCAACCTGATCGAGGACAAGAGTTGGAGGGTTCGGTACATGATTGCGGACAGATTTGAGAAGGTTGGCAGGAATCTTCCTGTTCGTGTGGAGTGTCATGCTAATGCGCGAACAGATTTCCAAGGCAGTTGACGAGGAGGTCGTCTCAAGAGACCTGGTGCCGTCTTTCGTCAAGCTCCTCAAGGATAACGAGGCTGAAGTCCGGACCGCGATTGCTGGACAAATACCAGGCTTCTGTGCTCTGGTCGACCGGACTGTCCTCCTCAACGATATCATGAGCAGCGTGGAGGATCTCGTTTCCGATACCTCCCAGCATGTCAGAGCTGCTCTCGGCACCCAGATCAGTGGTCTCGCACCCATCTTGGGCAAGCAAGAGTAGGTTCCATGACCGATGCAAATTCGCACCAGGTGACTAACGTGTCGCAGAACCATTGACCACCTTCTTCCCATGTTTTTGCAAATGCTCAAGGACGAATTCCCCGAAGTCCGCCTCCACATCATTTCCAAGCTTGAATTGGTCAACCAGGGTATGTACCAGATCATGGGTAAAAGTACTTTGCTAATTCCTTCGTAGTCATCGGCATCGACCTGCTTTCCCAGTCTCTTTTGCCTGCCATTGTGCAGCTTGCCGAGGACAAGCAGTGGCGTGTGAGACTGGCCATCATCGAGTACATTCCCCTCCTTGCCAGCCAGCTTGGAGTTAAGTTCTTCGACGAGAAGCTGAGCAACCTCTGCATGAGCTGGTTGGGCGACACCGTCTTCTCAATCCGCGAAGCAGCGACACACAACTTGAAGAAGCTCACAGAGGTTTTTGGAGTCGAATGGGCAAGCGAGGCGATCATTCCCAAGGTTATGGCTATGGGCAACCACCCCAACTACCTCTACCGAATGACAACTGCCTTTGCTATCACGGTAAGCCATACTCTTTGCTTCACTTGTGCCAGAAGTGCTAACGATTGCAGACTCTTGCTTCGGTTGTAAGCCTTGATGTCATTGCTGACAAGATCCTGCCCATGTTGGACAAGCTTGTCGATGACGAGATCCCCAACATTCGCTTCAACGTCGCCAAGACATACGGCGTTCTGATCGACGTCCTCCGCCGTTTGCCCGAAGAGGGTACGATTTACTCTCTGGAGAAGGAGGGTGGAAGCTTCACCGCGTCCCCGAGAGGCATGGAGCTGATCCAGACACGCGTCATCCCCAAGCTCGAGAAGCTACAGAAGGACGACGACGTCGACGTGCGGTACTTTGCGACAACGTCTGCGAACAGTGTGTCTGGACCTTCTGCTGGCGAGCCTATGAATACATCACCATAGATGAGAGACGTAATGAAGCAATTCCCAATCTATTTATCAGGGCCGTCCCAAGACTCTTACCTTGCATGCTTCGACCAAACGCTACACTATTTAGGGTGCTACTCTGGCTCGCATGTCAGGCTCTGCAAGGGGAAAAAATGAAACTAACTAGAACGAGAGAGGCGAGTTTTTCACTGGCGGTTAACATCAGGAGAGACTGCTCCGGGATCACGGAAGCACCCATAGATGGGGCACAATGGAGGAAGTGTGTGGTTGAGCGTAGGTGACGTTGCCTGACATTCCTCCATTAAAGAAACACATTGTATGATATACCAAAACGAGATGCAATAAAGAGGAAGGTTAACTAGTACCGTCGTCAAAACGATCTTGTGTGGGGTATCTTGAAGGTCTTGTTATTCATCCAACGCGTCGCATTATGGTCCATCTAGCTACGCCTGTCTTTGGAAACACAAGCTGCTGATGGTCTGGCCCTTGGCGCCGCCAAAGGTGAAGCTAGGGTAATCTACCTTGCCCACGGCAACAAACTTGCCAGCATCTCCCTCATTGGAAGGGCCCTCGAACCATTTCCTGAGCTCCTCCTCAGTCCAGTTGCAGCTCGTGATGAGGAGCAGGCCGGCGGGCTTGACGAGGCGGAGCGCGCGGCCCCTGTATCCCTCGCAGATGCGCCGTCCCTGCCCGTCTTTTTCGTCGCTGAGGCAAATGGCGTCAAAGGTGCCCTTGTCGAGCACGACGTCCCATCCCTCCACTTGGGGTCCGTTGAGAACGGTCTCCCACGGCCCGTTCAGGACATCCCACTCTTCGAACTCGGGCTCGTTGGCTTCTGCCTCGTCGTCCTCTTCCCCGACGGGCGGCACGTCAGACATGTCTTCGTCCTCCGTGGAGGTAGCCTGCTGCCTCTGCGCCGCGATCCGCCGCGCGAGCTCGACGCTCTGCGGGGCGTAGTCGACGCCGAGGGCGCGGCCCGCCCAGCCCTCGTCCCGGAGGGCGAAGAGGAGGGAGCCGTTGCCGCAGCCGAGGTCGAGGAAGGTGGCGTCGGCCTGGCGGAGGGAATGGTCGAAGGGGGCGGACTCGGTCAGGTCTTCGAGGTAGGTCAGGAGCTTGGACTCGGCGTCCGAGTCGTCGAACCAGACTGTGCCGCGGTCCTCTGGGTTCTGGGCATTGTTTGTGAGTTCGGTTGTGTAGAGGGATGCCCAGCTGTTTGGGTTTTGTGCGTTAGTTGGTGGGCGGTATATGCGTTGTTTGGGGGGTTTTGGTGATGGATATTATCCATGGTGGGGGAGGGAGAGAGTGAGTGACGAACTATTCTTTTGTTCCGAGCTTGGAGGGCTCCAGGTGTGCTGGAGTGGAGGCCATTTTGGGAGGGGCTTTGGTGGTGTCGGGCCGAAATTGGATGGGATTTTTAGGTAAGAAAGGGTCTTTGTGTCGGGACAGCGCCAAATTTCATCTCTTTTTCAACCAAGCATCAAGATCCGTATCCGATGCCATCGCGAAGAAGTTTGGCGGGGTGTTGTGCCGTTTGCGACCTGGAGTGGAAGGCGGTGACATGTCTTTTTGCTGGTGCGGGACCCCCCCACTTCCTATTCTCTAAGGTATTCTGCTCAAGGTGCTGGGGATCCTTGCCCTGGCAATGGAGGGGTCAATCGGTACTAAGTTCAAAGGTCGGCGGCATCTGGCAGTTCGACATTGGTTGGTGGGTTGGATCAGAAAACCCAAAATTGGGTTACGACAAAAGGAGCAAGCGCTTGGGGGGGAGGAAGCTGGTGAGAGGGGGGTGATTTACTTTTCTATTGGCGAAATTCAAACGGCGTTGCTTCGTCACAAAGGACACTGGTTTGTTCACTTCCTCTTGCATGGAAGGGTCTGTTCTGAGAGCGTTCGAGAGAGGCACAGAGTAGAGAGATACCTGGGAGCATTGGGCGTTTCCGAACTGGCACTGCGGTGCAAGTAGCATATTACAATTAAACACAAGACAAGCTACTGCACATACACGAGCCCCTTCTTCCCCCCGGCTTCGGTCTACCACCTTATGGTACCTCGCGGCAAGAGAAATGCAAACCCGTTTGGACGACGATAGGTTCCACGTGCGGCGAGGGGAAATAAGAATATACATGGAGAGGACAAGATGGGAAACACGCACTGCCTTACATTGTGACTTGTTTAGAGAAAGTTGAGGAAAGGGAGGTCTGTGTTGCGCGAAACCCGCGTGCCTGGTGACCAAGTGACCCTCCAATGTCGTTTCCATACAGAGGAGGCATCGCCACACATGTGTTGTTTGCTGTGATACTTTCGTCCCAATTATCTATGTGTAGAGAGCACGACCGTGAGCGCTGACAGAAAGAGGGATTGGGGTAGGGGAGGGAAGGGGAAGGGGGAAGGAGGTGACGTTTCGTCTGGAGTTCGTGAGGTTCGTTCGTTTAGATAGACGACGCACCGCACCGCAACGCATCATCTTAAAACCCCCCTTCCTCATCCGTTCGTGCTCTTCTTCTCCTCTGCGGCTCGCGCCGACTCTCATTGTGATTTCGACAGAGTCGGGTTTCGACGCTCGCTCTACCACGAATACGATCATCACTAGTCAGATCCGCGAGATTTCGCCTTGCATCGAACAGAACACTTCAAGAACGAAAAGTAAACCAGGCTCAGCGTCAAGACGTCTCCACGACCGTAGCCACGTTTCCCGTACACAAAAAAAAACATCATGTACAACGCCCATTTACTCTTCGGCTTCGCCCTTCTCCTTCTCCTGGCCCTCGGGGCGAGCGGCGCTGTCCCGGCACACCACGTTGACCCCCGCCAAACCCACCTCGTGGCGCGACAGGCGCCAGGCCAGGATGAGACCAGGACCAGAGGTGTAGGTTTTCTACCAGTCCCGAGTGACACATTGCCTCGGTCATGCTGACGCTAGGTGAACATAGACGTGTACGCAGATGAGTAACAAATGCAACTTGGCGGGACACGATGCCCAAGTCTGTCCGGCGGACTATAACAGGGTCTGTTTTCTCCTCGATCATGCGGTGATGCCACGGACGTGACAGTACCTACACAGTAGCACCAGCTAACGTCGACCCGCAGTGCCCCTTTGAAGGTGCGCCATGTGTCCTGATCGAGCCAAAGGGGGATTCCAGCCGCAAGCCTGAAGTGCGTTGCGGGTATCTGGGTAGCACAAGGTCATGAATTTGTACTGTAATTGAATGGTTTGTCAGAGAAACGGCAAGAAAGCAGGCAACTTGTGAAGGTACGCTGGAGACTATCTAGGCTCTCTGTTTGAGGAGAGAGCAAGCATCCAAGTATTCCTCCTGGTATGAATGTGAATCTTCAGTCATGAGTACCGCCCCTTCCCACCCGCAATGTTGATGGTTGACTCCTTTCCTCTCTCTTCCGGGTGAGGCCTTTTAATCAATATTGATCTCTGTCCACGCTCTCAACGCAGTAAACTCAAGTGGAAATCCTGCTCCTCTACATGGAATAATGTAAAATCGCTCACTCTCGGCACATCCGAAGCACTTTCAAAGTGCCCAAACAGTCGCCTTCACAAGAACCTGGCGACCCCGAACTTCCACTACCGGGAAGCCCGCAAGCCGCACTGTGCTGTTGTCCTTGGGTGGAAGAGCTGAAGGAAGAGCGGCATCAGTACTTGTGGGAACAATTGACGACGCAGTGCTGCCCTTGCGGCCAGCATGCGGTCCACCGCTGAGTATGGGTGTGAACATACCGCTCTTGGTCTTGTCCGCCCGCTGGTTCTTGCCGCTCTTGTCCTTGTCACCTTCGTCGGCCTCTGCTTCGCCCTCGGCCTTTTGAATCTCCAAGGGTGGAAGCGGCGTCTTCTCCACTTCCATAATGTTCAGTTGAATTGGGTCTCCGGGTAGGGGATAATTGATCGCAACATCTCTGCTTTCCAGCGGCAGATTGGCTGCAATGCCCACTGCCAACTCGACAATCATGGATGCGCTGCCGTCTACTCCAGCCGGTGGCGGGTCCGTCATGTACTGGAAAAGTGTCGCCGTGAGATTCGACGTACACATGCGAGTGAAGTCCGCCCTATTATCTGCACTCTCTGGTGAGTTCAGAACTCTCTGCAGACCCTCCAAAGTAGCCATCCGCCAGCTAACAACCTTGTTTGTCAGGGCGTCAAACTCTTCCTGGCTGCTCATCGTGTACGAGAAACGCCGAATGTTGAGCTCGATCTCCTTTAGCTGCCGACTGAGCTCGAAGTTAAGGCCAGGGTGGAAGCACTTGTTGAAGATCTCTTCTACAATCCATCTCGTAATGACGGCACGACCAACGGCTGTCATTTCCTGCTTTCCGGTCTTGAGCGCGTCAATGCTGACGAACATATCTAACCACTGCGGTACTGTGCGCCAGTCTTTTCTAATATTGAATGAGAGGTTGTTGATAGCACCATTAAGACGGCTAAATCTTGTTATGTACTCGCTGTCGTCCAGGGCAGTGCGCGACTGTGACATTCGCTGGTTCGCAACTGCATTTTGCAGCACCTCAATCTGAGAGTTGAGGTTGTCGATCTGTGTCTTGCCGTCAAAGTACAATCGCTTCACGTTCTTATACTTGGTTACTGGAATTTGTTAGTACACTGCCAGCATAACACCCATGCACTCCTTACAAAGCTCCTTGAATTTGTCGGGATCTGTGCCATCGCGATCAGGATTGGAGGGCTGTGGGCTGTTGCGGCCTTGTTCTCCGGTGGCGCCTTCGAATTGGCGCGAGTCTGGGGCACCGCCAGGTCGGAAGGCAGTATTGGCGCTACCAGCGGTAGTAGGCATGGTCTGGCTCTGTCTGTAACCTGGGGGAGGGCCTGCAGATGCGTCGACCTGACTGCGCAATGCTTTCTCTGTCTCTTGGGATCGTCTGTTCTGGGGAGGGCCGCCAGGGAGAGGGGCCATATTCTGCTGTTGGGCTTGAGGTCCTCCTTGTTGTGCAGGGGGGAGTGTGGGAGGCAGCGGGCTGTCCGTGGTCTGCACAGCGTACCTCACTGCGGGAGAGTTTTGGTTGGAATGTACGTTTGCCGACAGAGCGTCTGAATCAGTGACGGGTGATTCATGCGACAACTGGGACACAGTCTCGGGATTCTGATGCGAATCGGCACCCAAGTGGCTAGTGTAGATCGTGGGCGGTCCAGCTTGGTACTGACCAGGCTGCTGGTTGGAGTATTGTTGTTGGTACTGCTGCTGTGAAGGGTCGTAAGCAGGCTGCTGACCGTGTTGGTGTTGTTCCTGCAATGTCGGGATCTGCTGTGGCTGACGATCTCCGTAGTCGGCTTCTTCGTAGGGGGTATTGTCGAAGTCGATCGGGACGTAGCGAATGGAGTTGCGATTAGATTCGGGTTTCTGTAGGCGGGGGTCTCTGTTAGGGTCTTGTGCAAAGTGGTGATCCTCGGTCTCGCCGACGCCCTGTAAGGGTGAGGGTTGTTGATGAGGTGCCGGAAGTGGCCAGTCGGCAGATTGCTGGTCCAAGGACTGCTGGGACGGCTGCTGGGATAAAGTAATTCTTGCAGGTGGTGGGTTGCTCACTCTTTTGGACGGTCGACGAGCAAGACCACCGGTGTTATCGTAGGAACTTGGCGGGGTAGATTGGGGGGGCGGGGTGTTGTGATGATCGCGGCCCGATCCGCCCAAAATGTTCCTGAGCAGCTTTCGTGCGGATCGCTTCTCGGGGACGGGCTGTGGTTGCTGGAGAGGCGACGTTGCTTGAGGGTGAATGGGAGCAGATGAGGTGCTGTTGACGGACGCTCTGAGGTTGTCGACGGAGCTAGATGCAGCACCAGGTTTGGCGTTGTTGGAGTAGGGGGCCACACCGGGCGGGTAGCGCTGTGACTGGGAGCGGGAGACGGAGTCGGTGTAATCCTGCTGACTCCTCTGGCGCAAATCGGCTACAGGTGGGTTGTGCTGCTGCAAGAGGAGGGAGTTGCGCGAGACAGCAGCGGCGGCTGCGGTCGAGGCAGGAGGATAATCGTGGGGCTGCAGTGGAGGTGGCCCTTGCTGCCCTTGCTGCTGGTGTTGTTGAAGGAGTTGCTGTTGCTGTTGCTGTTGTTGTTGTTGTTGTTGTTGTTGCTGCTGCTGTTGTTGCTGCTGTTGCTGCTGTTGCTGCTGCTGCTGCTGCTGCTGCTGCTGCTGCTGCTGGAGCTGGAGCTGATGCTGTTGATGGGCCAGCTGGTTTGGGTGGATGTCAAAGGATTCGCTGGAGCTGAAGGCAGTCGACGAGGCTGAATGGGGGGTAATTTGGTTATTAGCGCCGGCGGCGTTGGTTGTGCCCGCGCTCGAGGCAAGAGTGAGGGAGGAGTGAGAGTGAAATGAGGAGGAAGGAGCACCGGCGGCACCAGCAGGCCCGGAAGGCGGCGCAGGACCAGGCGTGGGATGTGATGTCGCTGAGCCTGAACTAGCAACCTCGCCGCCCGGATCAACAAGTGCTTGCTGCGAGCGGTTGTGGTGCCTTCCAATGCGACCGAAGGCCGGCATTATAACTGCGATGTCGTTGTGCGCAGCCGCCGCAGTCCAAACTGGTTTTCTTTTTTTTTGTTGATTGGTTTTTGATCCCTTGTTGCTTGTTCGGGACGTTTCCCCTGCACTGGACTGCGAAAAGGGAGCAAGCAGATCGATCGCCCTATGCCCAACGGCACAGCCCGTGGGTTGACTGACTGAAAACGAGAAAGCAGAGACAGAAAGATACACAAGACCGGGTGGTGGACCGAACGTGCAGCTTGCTTGGCTCCGGGGGCACGCAGCAGCGTAGCGGTATAGGCTTCGCTTCAGCTCAGCTCGGCTCAGTCAAATGTCGGCTCGAATCTTGTCTGTCCGTCCGTCGATTTGCAAGGTCGAGATGCAGTGGCAGAGGCAATGGCAGCCAGCAACCAGCAGCAAGCGAGAAAGGGAAGCAAGAGGATGACAAGACGAGAGATTGACCAGCCCGTCCTGCTGGTCCCAGTTCCTATTTTTTGCGCGCCTGCGCCTGCGGTTCTGCGTCTGCGAGACCCTGTCTGTCCACTTCTCACCCAAGTTCAATCTAACGTACGTGTGCAGGTGCCCGCCAAAGGAAGCAGCACCAGTAGAGCAACAGGCAGAAGACCAGACGGATTGGTTCGGATTGGCTACCCAACCTGCAGAAGCGGATGCCGCCCTGGGTCTGGGTCTGGGTTCCCTGGAGGGGCTGTCTTGGGGCTGTGCACAAGTCAACCCAGGTCGCCGTACGGATACTGCTCGCGAGCTGGATTCGCTGATGGCTTGGTGCTAGGGTGGTGCCGATGGCTGCTTCGATGGAGGCTGTCTTTCTGTCCGTCAAGTCCTGGCGTGCAGCGCTATTCCAATCTCGACCAGCAGTGGCAGGCCAAACACGAATAGGTGCAAAAAGGGTTGGAGAGATGCGTTGTCTTGTCCGTCGTCTCTCAGACTCTGTCTCTTCTCACGCTGTCTCTACAAGCCGGGGTTACCTCTCTTCAGACGAACAGCGGTTAAGGCTCGACGCTCGCGGGGGACGATGAGCGACACGCTACAGCTGCTGCGGGGGAGGGATCTGGGGTCGTTTGGTGAAACACAGGCTGGTTTCGATCCGCGTCGCCAGGGGTGGTCGTTTCGAGGTCTTCTCATCGGCAACCCGAAGATAAAGCCTCAAAAACCCAAGCGCTGAAATGGCAAAGAGAGACGACGAGCGGTAGAACAACGAATCGATAACGGGGCGAGAGTCGTGGGTTGGTCAGTGGCTTGTTGTGGATGCCAACGGTGGATTCGATTCAACCCGATGAAATTGGGCGGAATGTGGAAGAGGGAACGTAATCGGACTGAGGAGAGGCGAATGGCGTCGTGTTAGGATCCCGCTCCAGGATAGGGCTGATCAATTGCCTTTTCGCCGGTCGACCATATCCCCACTGCGAACGGATTACGGACGCGAGATAATACCTCACAAAACGAAATATCGGACGGGGCACTTTCATATTCATAGAAAGCCCCGAGAAAAACGACCAAAGAAACGATACAAGATCCTACAGCTTACTTACATGCCGTGTTTATCCCCGGAGCTCGCGGCAAGCAGGCCAGGTCAAAAGCTACCACATGCTTGCCATTCGTCAGCACCAGCGATGTGCTCGCGCATGAAGATTAATGAGATGATGGCTCGGGCTCGAGCATTCCCTTACTCGGATCATCTGAGGATTCGACTCAAGACTGGATGTTGTGGACTCAAACACTGTTGGATGGCACAAGCTTCGTCCAAATTCCGCTCAAAGCCTCATCCGTCTTCCATCAGCAACGGCGACCCTTTAGCAGCAGCTAGATCCTCGTTCTGCCTTCTCGGCCATTCGGTAATGCGGGAGAGCTGCTGCCACCCTGCCCCAAGCAGGCCAAACCCGGCCCAGACTAGCCCGCCCTTGGCCAGCATCCCCGTTGTCAAAAATCACCGACCACGCAACAACGCTGCGGCCCTGCGGCTGACACCCAGCCCCGGACAGCATGCGTAGACGGGGAAAGCGGACCACCCGTCATCCGCATGCTGCCCGCGCCGAGCGATGCAAAGCAGAGCAAAGGGAGAAGGGGCAGAGAGGGTACCAGTTCCTATGGTTTTCACCCAGGCATTGGGCTACGATAGTCCCTACGGCATTGAGCACTCGCCCACGTCTACCTTGCCTGCATGTCGGAAAGCGCACGTCTTTGCGGCCGTTCTCCGTCTCAAAGCAAGCCAGGAGATAATGCGAACCCTGTGTCTTGAAATTTGTGACAGATTTAACATACTTTGGCACTTTATTTTGGAAAGCTGGGAAATGACGACATTTCACAGCAAACAACAGAGTTTGAGATGGGCATCTAGAAATGCTCATCTTGGAAGCCAGGTAATCAAACTGAGTACCTTATCCCCGCCGAACAGGCGTAGCTCGGGCAGCTCAGCCCTAACGGAACCTTGTGTCTCCCCTCTGTTACTTTAACTGCAAATGAGCAATGTGATCTCTCTCACCTTATTCTCGGCGAACGCCTGCCCGTGTGGCCTCCTCCCCTACCTCACGATGGTTTGTCCCGCTTCAGTATCGGACGGCCTCATGCCCCAGGAGCTCCATACACAGCAGAGGTGGTATGTATCAACAAGCATGGCGCTTATAGCGATGAGTCCGGTTTGGCATTCCTTAACTACCTCGTGTTTGCAAGAAACTAAGCTCCAGTCTATCGGTCGCATCAAGATGTTTTTCAGTTGTTCTAGTCCTCGAATCGATTTATGCATCATCGGCGATGGAATATCCCCACTAGACACGCAGAGCTATTTTCAGGACATAATCAGGAAATGCGGTGGTCATGATAACTTCGATCTTTATTGCAACTGACAAAATTAACTTCATAGCTAGATGCTGTGTTGATGGCCGAGCAAATGAGCTCTGGCAAATAGACAAACCTCGGCACTAAAAGAGCTCAGGTGGACCCGTCTTCAGAGCAAGAAGAAGCTAGTAATCGACCTGCCGAGAGAAGAGAGGACAGGGGCCAACAGTAAGCTCAGTAAGGTTCTTCATGTTGATGAAGTTCAGCTCCCGGCAAATTATAAACACGTGTGCTTTTGCAGTGAACCTGCCGGGGGGGTGAGTCATGTTGCGTCATTTGAATTGAATCGTGAGAAATGACAATCTGTTGTACATGGAGTCTGCAAAGTTACTTTGTAGCTCTGGAGCAACGGTCGAGCACCAAACCCGTGTCTCCGGATCGTCATGTACTGATTTGAGTGTCATCCAGTGCAAGTGTAGAGGGACTTTGCGATACTACCATGCAATATATGGCATATTGTCACATTGTCTTTTCTACCCTTGGCACTAACTGCCCTTTGAGGTTGACTTTCTGCCATCCAAACCGTCAGGCTGGGCAGCTGTTCAGAGGGGGAGGCACACTCTGCTGGGAAAAAGCATGCCGACTGCCGGCCAAGCGATCCAATATCAACAGGGGTTTTGTACAAAAATGGGGTGTGGAGGGTCCTCTGCAAAAAAGTTTGTTTGCCATGGCCGTGGTCTATTAATAGCCCTCGTCGTACTGAGAGAAAGAGAGGGGGAAAGGGGGTCCCCAGACTTTTAAAAGGGCGAATCTGAATCGTCCATTCTGGACTCCTAGTTGAGGGCGCTCCCCTTGGTGGTGGGAGACGAATCTCTCCTCCTCATCCACAACTGGACTTGCATTAATCAGGGATGGCTCGGACTCTTCCAGCTCACCTCACCTAAAACAAACGAAAGGAGGGGCAACAGGAGGGGTTCCACCTGTCACTCCATGTTGACAATAGCTGTTGGGATGCAGATCTCGCCGCCACCCACAATGACACGACACCGTAACGCCATCTCACCTCTATGCTGATGATCCCGGGAGAATCAGCAGATCAAGTAATTGAAGAGCAAGCAGTCTTACATCTTTCCAGGAAAAGCTGGCTTCCAAGTTGGGAGGCGGTTGCCTCGGATGACATTGAGACACAATGATCGTCATACCGGAGCAGAGCAAGCTCTTCGTGAGTCGTGGCAAGAAAGCCTATGAGAAGCAATGAGTGTTGGACTTTTCGTCAGGGATCAAGGTACTATCTTCCATACGCACCATGCAAGGCTGAAGTGAATGCATGCAGGTAATCGGCATCATGGCTGAGTCCAATAAAGCCGGGATCTCGGCCGAAATATTGGTTTATCTTGCAGAAAAGCACTGTTCCAGGGCCAGGACCGCAGGAAAATACGAAGCATACATCCTGAGCCTCCCATTCCTGCTTATATGATTGGCATACCAGGATCCAATGGCGCTTTCCAGTAGTTGATGCCGCTTCTCGCGAATCCCCGGAAGCAGGGCGTACAAGTGATGTGAAAGTCGATACTACATTAACATGCAAGGTAAGAAATCCAGAGCGTCCACAACTACGACCAAGGGTTCCTCCTCGGATTATCTACTATTCTGTCCAATCTTGGCCCGGTGCTCCGCGGCCTGCGGTTACTCAGCGGCCCCGGAAGCCAATTCTCTTACAGTCCGTCAAAGGAGCTTGTCATCCGCACGAGACTCTACTCATCAAGGACGTAGCTGCGTGCTTATAGTTGACGATATATATCGGCAACAACGACCTCGGTAATAATTTACTTCGGGGTATCAGGAAATGAGCCTCCCAATAAAAAGATATCGTAGCGAGACATACAGCTATTGAAGTCAGTTGCCAGAGACTGGTGTGTTTGGGCATAACATAGCGACGCAGGTCATCTGGTTGGCATCGAGAACCTACGGCAGCTGTGAAAGAGCATCGCCTCTGAGTTATCCCAAGAGAGGGTGTTTGTGGGAAAGGGCCAGTCCCCAGGGTGAATCTCGAAGAAAGAATGAGCACGGCCAAGTATGGTCAGCTGCCGTTATGGAGTCGACTTCACAAGGCTCTTGTAAGCTTCGTAGCAAGATGTAGCGACGGCTGGGAAAGGAGGTCAAGCCAGAACGGGAAAGTGAATCTCCTGGACGAGGGCTATGGTGGTCTACCTTGAGTTCGACAATACGATAAGTCCGCTTCTTCTGCAGCTCTCTGCTCGTTTTACAGGCCGTTATCTCGGTTGTGAGTTCACGCACTAGATGAGGAGTCTGACTGTACGATACTGGGGACAAAAGGTGGGCAATGAGGCTCTTTGCCCCACAGGGACGAGATGTTTGTTTTTCTAAGTTGTTTGAGCATATTCATGGCGATCCTAGGGAGAAGGAGGCCGAAGTTTACTTCGCTCTTTCCGTTTTTTAAACAACCAGTGAGTTTACTGAAAAGTTGATGAGGATTACGGGCCCCCTCGTACTTCGTCTTCACATACATGTTCACGAGCTGCCATAGCCTCTCTCAATACAAACTCATGAAAAGAAGAACAAGGATGATTCTGACATTACAATAGTGTACATATAAGTTGAATGACATAGTCACAGGCTATGCTCATCGCTCTGGTCATATAGTCATTTTGGTGGTTCCAGTTTATCAGCAGAGTGGGATCGCCGCCCAAATTCAGTAGATGCCTCTTCGAAATTCCGCAACTCAAGTAGTGATACATTAGCATCCTCATTGAGAGTAGTTATGTCAATAAACATCCATCAACAGGTTCCACTTCGACTACTGGACTGTGCTTACCTTGATGAAGAGATTAAAAAGCTTGAGACATTACTCTTGGCTTCCCCAGTCGGCTAAGCATCATCTTCTTTCAGCCATACATTGAATTCCGGAAGATGACGGTCTCTTACAAGGTATCTAGAAAACACAGCGGGGACAGATGGCAATTGCCTCGGTTTCATCACAAATACCCATACCTCTAACCGCACGTAGACGCTGGTAAATTCCAAGGCGTCATGCAGGCGTTATTCTGCGCGAGGTCTGTTTAACCTCTGCTAAACTGCTGCTTCAAGCCGCCCAACATCAGAAACGTCGTCTGTCGTTGGCCTGTCACGGCTAGAGCCGTAACAAAACTAGGCCCTGTGCCCAGATACCACCGTCCTACCTTCAATCCTTGTGGCAACAGGTCCTGTTGGTTCTGGCCACATCGTGGCCGGCGACACGAAGCCTAGTTGCTTGGATCGTTTCTCTGAGCAGTTGCATGAACCGGTAACACTTATCCTCTGCACAGATGCCGTGATCACCTCAAGGCATGGCACATCTTGTAGTTGACACAGTTGTGAAGAGCGGTGTAAGTGCTTCTGGAAAATGAGGATTAGCCTTAAAAGTGAGAATAAAAAGTTTTGTTAGACATGATATAGTGTCGTCGACTGCCATGCTTTGGGCCAAACAATCAAATACCTAGTCAACGACGCCTGTACTGCCTTCAACGGCTTCACCTCGGAGATCGACAAAGTAAACACTACAAGCTGTTGCTAGAGCCAGCCTCGCGTATCTATTGGATGTCTGAACAATCTTCTCACCGCTTGATCGCCGCCGCTGATACCCGAAACGGAACCATCAAGCGAACCCTGACGACAGCGTCGAAGCCCGCGAGCGGTAGCACGTCAAAGATGCGTTGGCCACGAAGCGACATTCTGAGGCTCGCTACTCTCTCGGCAGAACCGCGCAGTATCAGTTCAACTTACTCGATTCGATGGAAAGGGTGGCCAGATTCGGCTCTCTAGCTCGCTCGTGCCAGCCCAAGGGCGCAGCATCGTCAGCTGGATAGCTGCAGTTGATCACGCTACTGGCTTGCATTCCCAGGAGACTGGATATGCTTCTTGTTGGGGAGCCGATGTTCCGTGATTTTTAGAGGTGGACGAGTCAAGAGCGTCTTCTCATGCAAATAAATACTGCGGCATCTCTTCCGCTGTCCAGGCGAAGTGATACGAGAAGGGTAGAGAGGTAATTTGCCGTCCCGGTAGCACGAGGGAAATCATCTGTGATCTGCGGCTGCATGCCTGCAATTTGATTCAGTAATGCCCCTTGGCCGAAGTCGCATGATATCCTATGGGAGATGTACCATCAACACCGGCTAGGCCTGGTACATATTTTCAGATACCTTCTAGTGGAGGGGAGGCAATCGTGTCCGCGGGCCGAGCTGGCACGACCTTGAGTTGTGACAGGTGGTGGAGCCTTGATACTCCTGAGCGGTCTTACATGGTCATAGATGTTCTCGTAGTTTCCCATGTGTTCGTGTTGAGAATCTTTCTTCCAGTGCCTTCTGCCGCCTCACTTTGACGGCAGAAAACGGTGATCGACATAAGTAACCTTTGTAATTTCTATCGCAAGTGCTGTCGTGAGCGGCCATCTAGACCTGCCGTAGTGTAGTGTAACGCGGACAACTTTCTTTTCTTGCTATAGCACATTTTTCATGAGAAATGGTAGAACGATGATCCAAGATGAACAGTGGCCGAAATGGGCTTGGTCACATGTCCTGATTCTGGTATCTTCCGCATCGGTCAGTAAATGTGTGGTGATACCGCCAGCTTTATTTGACAATAGTTGACATCTCGTATAATCAACAATCGTGATGGTGTATAACCGCGCACAACCACGGATGCTCGCACCGGGCCGCTAGGGAATATCGTCGGTTGCTTGCATCATGCTCCCTCTTTGATGGCAACGCGATTCAGCACGGTCAGAGCATGTGACATGCCACCGCCAACATGGCCAACGAAGTCGTCAACGGCGATCTTCCCGAGATTCTATAAAGCTCTCCCAGGGACTCCCGTCGGTGCTGCTGCCACTGCCCCCTCCCAAAGACTGGGCCAAGAACATTCGACCTCGCAAGTTTGCAATATCTCGGGGCATCCATCAGAAAATTACCTGTTTCCAAGGCCCGTTTCAAGGGTAATCATGACATTCTTCGCATTATTCCAGTTGGTGTCTCTGGTTTTCCTGGCGGCAGCATTGCCAGTGACGGAAACGACAGAAGCTGCCAAGTTCCAGTATCCATGGAAAAACTTCGCCCTGAGCAACCTCGAGTCAATCTGTCGTAAGCTGGACGGAGGCGAGCGGTACACTTGCACTCTCAAATGTGAGTAGTAATCCAACTCGTTGATCACCCAACCATACCGCGCGGTGCGTGGCCGCTTCCACACGTTTTGAGGACTGACTTCCGGGGCGGTCCCCAGTCGACGTCTACGACTTCAACACGGAGGGCGTCGTGGAAGTAAGCGGAGCAAATTGCGGCGCGGCCTGGCAATGGGACGGCATCACCCCAAACCAGGGCCCGGATAACAACTACCCCAGCGACGGCGTCCTCTGCTGGAGCGCCGGTTCAGACGCCTTCCAGTTCAGGGTGGCAAAGTTTCGTTCCGCCTCGAACTTTGAAATCTACGTCAATCACTTTTACAGGGACATGCGGTGAGTGACTGACCAACCGAACCTTCTTCGTTCTCGCAAGTCACCATAGAGTTTACCGTTCGTTCGACTAATGAGTCAAATTCGACACCGTGTAGATACTTTAAACCGCCCTACGACGGGAGAAAGGCTCTGGTCAACATTATCATTCCGGATGCTCATCCTCTTCCACCGTTGTCACCATATGTGCCTCCCGTGAACCAATTTGAATTCATAGCAACGGCAACGATCTCGAGGCGCACAGATGGTTTGTCATAGCGCAGTGTTGGCATTCGAGGTACCGCGTCAGTCTCCCTTTACAAAGCTATGTCGGTTCTTCATAGGGCACACGGTCGGAAGAACTTTCCGTCGTGTTTTAGAGCCGCCTCATGTCGTAAGAGTTGAGATGGTTTGTCAATCCTTGCCCGCAATTATTCTATAGTTTAATGTCTAGGCTGGCGAGGAGTCATAGGGAAACAAGAAACAAAGTATGCACGGAAACAAAATAGGCATCGTTTGCCCTTCCTGATGATGATAATTCAACGTGCGCAAGGTGTTCATATTGGTAGATGTGTTTTCTCCTCCTCATCGATGAAGGGCGTCGAGGAATGAAAAAGGGTTGGCGTCAAACTTGAGGGTAGCTCGGACTCGTGATTTCCATTTGCCGTCTACCGTGTTCCCAGACAAGCGGCCAGGAAAAGGTAAGTAAGCTCTATGAGAGAAAGGAACAAAAGTTTCCCCCATGTTGCATGAACATTCCGTTTCCGAAATTTGTCGGTTTGATGGGTTGTTGAACGAGGCCGTACGCGCGTACGCTATTAACATGATCGACGGAACTAGAGAGCAGCTCGATTGCTTAACCCTGATAATTTGCAGATTTGCTTTTCAATTACAATCAATAAGCTTTCTGGGTTCGCCAAGAGATGCAACCTCATGTCTTGTTCTCTCTTGGCTTGTTTGGAACATGACGCTGGCAATCGGTTCAAAGAAAGACACCGCGTCCCCCACGACAAGCATGGCCAAAAGGAAAGCGAAAGATACGGCGGTCATGATTCGGAGCGGATGATCGACAAATCATATGTACGACATTCGGCGGGCACTACACACTGCTCTGAATCAGCGCTCCTAGCCCATCACAAAACTCAGACTCAAGGGTACCTGCCTAGACCATGGAGTTCCAGGATGATGAATAACGGGCAGCCTACGACGACCTACTGGGAATTTGCGTCTTGTTCGTCAAAAGAAGGTTAATCGTTGTGGCATAATCTCTGCCCTGACTAGGTAGTACTCTTCCCGCCGACGACTTGTGGGGACGGGTAAGGGGCAGGGTTCGTGTGTTGAAACGTGCAGATTTGCAATTGTTTTGGAAACATGTAACCTAAAGTCGGATCAAAACGCGAGCAAATGTTGGGACGAAGAAAGCGTGCGTTGTGAAATCCTACGACAAGTTCTGTGACAACTGTCGCACGTGTCGCAGCAGAGCATGAAGTTCCTCGAGGGGAGATGCAGTTCCCGGCGGTAAGGGAAACTTTCCAATGCCCGCCGAGTCTTCCAACTTGGCGAGACGGGCATTCATGTAGGCTCGAATTACTCTGTTGACTCGTGATCATTTCGTCCCAATCTGTCTCTGTGTCCCTCAGACGTTATACAACTCGTTCCCGTAATCCACATGTGCTTCTACGTCCTCTCCTCTCCATAGCTGGGCTATCTGGCGTTTCTTCCCCGCGCAATCCCATCACGTTCGGACCTCTGCGCCTCTGCGAGACACGAACGATCGGCGCTCGATAATATCATCAACCATATTCGTGCCCTCACTGCAATAAAGGGAAGGTCGACCAGAATGGCTCCTCTCAAAGCCCTTCTGGCCCTGACGGCTGCCTTCGCCGGTACCGAGGCCCGCCTCATGTCCAGGGCCGCGGCGCTCGCCAACGGCGTCCAGATGAGGAACATGGCCACCGACGACCATCAGATCAACCTCCAGATCGGCATCAAGCTGCAAAATATTGACAAGTTGGAACCCATGCTTAAGGATGTCTCCGACCCGGACAGCCCCAACTACGGCAAGTACCTGACAGCGGCTCAGGTCAATTACATGTTCAAGCCGGGTGAGGCCTCCGTCAAGGCCATCCAGACCTGGCTCAGCAAAGAGAACGTCACCGACGTCTTGTACACCGACAACGGCCGCTTCGTCAACTTTGCGACCAACGTCGGCACGGCGAACAAGATGCTAGGCGCGAGCTTCGCGTACTACGACGTCCAGGGCACCATGAAGCTGCGGACGACCGAGTACTCCCTGCCGAACGCGATGACGGAGCACATTGAGCTGGTGACGCCCACAACGTACTTTGGCAACATGAAGGGCGATCCAGCCATCACAAACGCAGAGCTGCCGGAAATGCCCGCGCCGCTCGCTCGCAGACAGGGCACCCAGCCCAGCGCCACCGCCAACTGCTCCAAGGTCTTCACGCCGGCGTGCTTCGAGCTGTCCTACAACTACGGCGCCTACCAGGCCGACCCGGGAGCAGGCAGCCGTGTCGGCTTCGCCAGCTTCCTCAACCAGTCGGCCCGCCAGGAGGACCTCACGACCTTCCTGACCAGATTCGAGCTGCCATCCCAAAATTTCACCAGCGTCCTTGTCAACGGTGGCCAAGACCACCAGGACTCAAAGGGCGACATCGGCGAGGCCAACCTCGACGCCCAGGTCATGGCCGCCGCCGTCAAGAGCCTCCCGATCACGCAGTACCTCATCGGCGGCAAGCCGCCCTTGATCCCCAACCTCCGCACGCCAATGGAAGCAGACAATCAGAACGAGCCGTTCCTCGAATTTTACCAATTCATGTTGACACAGGAGAACGACCAGATCCCGCAAGTGCTCTCCGTATCATACGGCGACGACGAGCAGACCGTCCCCATCGAGTACGCCACGCGGGTCTGCAACCTCATCGGCATGATGGGCCTGCGCGGCATCACCGTCCTCGAGTCCAGTGGCGACACGGGCGTCGGCGCGCCGTGCCGCGCCAACAACGGCAGCAACGCGGCCCAGTTCACACCCCAGTTCCCCGCGTCGTGCCCGTACATCACCGCCGTCGGCGGGACCCAGGCTAACGGACCCGAGACCACATGGGTCGCATCCGGCAGCGGCTTCAGCAACTATTTCAAGCAGGCGTGGTATCAGGAGACCATGGTGAACCAGTACCTAGACACCGGCATCTCTGCTGACGTGAAGGCGTACTACCAGCCTTTTGCCAATTTCACCGGCCGCGGGTTCCCTGATATCGCAGCCCACTCCGCCAAGCCCCCGTTCGCCATTGTCAACGCCAACAAGCTCGTCGGTACCGGTGGCACATCAGCATCTTCCCCGTTGATGGCCGGCCTTGTCGGACTTCTCAACGACGCCAGGATCCGCAACGGACAGCCGACTATGGGCTTCATGAACCCGTGGCTATACAAGAGAGGATTCAGGGGCCTCACCGACGTCACTGACGGTGTCGCCCAGGGCTGCGGCGGTACGGACTTGCAGTCGGGCAAGCCGTTGCAGGGCTCTGGTGTCATTCCCTTCGCGACATGGAACGGCACTCAGGGTTGGGATCCCGTGACGGGGCTCGGTCTTCCCAACTTTGAGGAGATGAAGAAGATTGCTCTTACTAAATAGAAACGCTCGCCTCCTCTAGGGTTGGAATAATTTGCGCTTTGGGGTTCATTTCAGAGGCTGGCTAGCCTAATCGTAAATACACTCGAATCACTGTTATCAATTCATTGTTTGTGAAAGGAGCGTCACTGCCATTCAAGCTCCGTTTGCGAAGCATGTTGTTGATACATGACGTGTCAGCCTCACTGACGCCGGATAGAAGGGCTGAAGTATGGAAGCTAAAGTATGGAAGCTTCACTACGAGGCCAAGTAGACTTGCAAACTTCTGGTGGTCTTGCCCGCGTGCTTACACCGCGCTTACGATGGATCTCGACTAACGCTGGGCTTGTGCGAGCCGTAGGCAACTTCGCCGGACCATTCGTATGTCGTGTCTGCTAGCCGCTTGGCCATGGCCGACCAGGCCAAGAATAGGCAGAGAAAATTCAGACGTCCATGATACAGATTCTGATTCGTCAGAGTCCAACGAAAAGGAAGCGTTGCTCAATATAGGGCTGGGAAGCTGGGGATCAAAGACAAGAGAATAGACAGAATGAAACAGAACTTTCTTGCTCGACTTCCCCGAAAAACCCTAGTACCAAGGGTCCTGCGATGCTGTCCCAAAACCATGGGAAAGGCTTGACGGATTGATTTCCCGAATTTGACTGTAGGTCGTCTTCGAGTTTCGATAGCGTGCTCTCGGCGCGTGGCAAAGTCCGAGCCACGCGCCAGTCTCGCGGATGGCTGACAGCTGAAGTTTTGGCGCCAAAATAGAGGCTTTTCAGGGGTAAATTCGATTCTCCTGTGGCTCCTCTGACTTCTGAAGCTTGGAGTGCAAAAATCTTCCAATACGGCTGTCTTTTCAGCTAGCCTTTCCGGATATGGAGGGGTTGCCGTCCTCTTTCTTGCCGAACGGAATAGACCACACCTTTGAAGACGTGGCAGCGCTTTGTTGATCCGATTCCCCCGCGTTGCTACGACGGAGGATTCAGCCAGCTGCCAAAGTCCCTTCTCAAGAGCTGACACTTTGGCGAGATGCAAGATTGCTTTTCGCCATGCTCATCGTGTCTTTTGCTGGTTAGAGGGGATTGGCAATGACCGAGAACAGATTCCTAACCTGCTTCAGATGCAGGCTGATGCAGGAAAGAGGCTGCTAGAGTGACATAGCCGATGTGTTCTCAACGATCCAGACCGGATGGTCACAGAAAGCGGGACCAGCCTGAACAGCAGCTCAAAACCAACTCGTCTGGGCGGCCGCGTTATCAATGTGATGAGCTCGTTCTTGCTTGTACCGCCAATGTCGGATTTTCCTGCTTTCGTTCGGGTGCACTATTTTTCTCCCGCAAGGCTGTTCGGTATTTCTTCCGAGATGCAGACATTTTGATGTGACTGTGTTGCGAATGCCACCGTGGGCTTTTTTCGGAGAGGGCAGTGGTCCAGCCTTGGGCGCCAAAAACCAAAAAAAGAGTAACCAGTGAATCCTGCAGGGTCTGCCGCTTTTCGAAGTTTCCATGGGCGGTCTCGTTGAAGGTCCCAGCGTTGCTAGTTGCCGCGCGCCCGGGTCTCGACCTTTCGACGCATTCCGACGTGGGACCAGCCAAGGTCTGAAAGAACGAAGCCTGCTCTGAGAGTTCAGGGCTGCAACCCTTGCAATCTTTCGCGATTTACGGATACTGAACAGCTGCACCGTGTACGCCGTATGGATACGGCAACCTGAATCTGTCTGGCTGAGAAATAATATGAGTTCGTGAGGTTGGCGAGACGGGGCGGTACAAGGATTGGATTGGATGATTAAGGGGCGGAGATATCGTGGCAAGGACAATTATATGCGGGATGGCAATAGTCGAAGACGGGATCTGCGCAGGCTCAGGGGTTGGCTAGATAGGCAGTGTAGACACGCCGAAAGCTGAAGCTGACGCAGATGGACGGCTGGCAGGCATGCTATGCGAAGAGAGGGCATCCGAGGCCCCCATCTTCATTTCAATGGAGATACGGATACCTATCGGTGATCGGTGATCGGTGGAAAGCTGGACCCTACAGAGGTTGGAAAGTCTTTGCTCGTGAGTTGAGACTACTATCGCCGGGCTGGGAGTCCTGTCGTCTAGGTATTGTCAAGCAACAGACAGCGGACGCCGAATACAAGCCCGTCCTGGGCAGCGTCGATCCAAAAAGAGCCCAGAGACTTGGCCCTTTTGGGGTAGACCGCCGACACTTGCGTTTCTTGTTTCCTTTCAGCAAATTCAGCGTCTTGGAGCTTTTCTTGTCGAAGTCGCTCGCGTCTTTGTTGGTGGTGACTCGGCCCACCTATTGTTCAACTTGTTCGGACTGCTCAGGCCGCTAGCGCGACGGAATGTCGCTGGGATGGCGAAACGACTGCATAGACCCAGCTCGAAAGAGAAGGCGATGATACCCAAGTGGAATTGAAGCAGCGGATGCCATGGGAAAGACCGAAAAAGCGCCACCGTCGGCATGAATGGGAATTGGCGCGACAGAGCTTCAGTACAATATTTTTCCTTGTGCAGCACAAACTCAGCTGAAAAATCGAACTTTGGACGTATCATTGTCGAGTCTGGTGCCTAGAAAAGCAAGATAGTCGAATGCAGCCACATGGTATCTGCAGCGTTGCAGTGCGTGTTGCGGGCGCGAGATTTGGTCGTTTGATTGTCGAGACCCGAGGCGAAAAGGACCAGTACCATAGGTTACACGCCGGCCGCTTCCCGATTGGCCCGATAGGACGAGGTGTCTTATACCTGCTATAGAAATATTCCACTCGAAGTACATGGGTACACTGGATCACGTCATCCAAAATGGCACATGTCAGGCTATCAATGTGCAGCTAGACGGCACAAGGAGATATCCGAACAGTGACACCTTCGTTTCTGCAAGGCACAGGCGGGAAGGAGGGTGCCGGTGAAGGATGCCGCGCCGGCGAAGCAACCAAGACAATCTCATCTAACCATATACGGAAACGCCGTCTAGGATCTGCTGCCATCAGGACTACATCGCAATCTGCATCAACACCTTTGGCAGCGTGCCAGCGTACCAGCGTACCAACGTGCCAACGTGCCTAGCTTTCCCGTCCCTCCACCCCCCCTTCATTGTCTGTCTACGAAGACCTCTGCCGGCTCCTCTCTCTCTCTCAGCCACCACTGTTCGACCAACACATCTCTCTACGTAGTACGACGTACAGACATGGGATGGGCATGGTCTACTATGTACACACAAACACTGTTTGTACGCCATACGACCCCTGGAAATCGGCAGGCCAAGGCAATGTCACAGGCTCAGCAAGCCACTCTCGCCCACCTAATCTCTGGCCATCCCGTCTCAATCATCCCATGTTAACAATTCCGCCCGAACATCACCACTAATGGGATGGCGGTAGTCTCACGTCTTACGCCCAAATCCCCTCCAGTCTTTCTGCAAGTTACCGTGATGCACGGCTCTCAGACGAGACAGATTCCGAGTGTACACCATGCCCAAATCATCGCCTCATACTTTTGTGGAAAACACGATGTTGCTCCCAAAAGCAAGCAACAACAGGAAACCAACTCTATTGGGATTAATGAGGCAAGAATCTACCCCCACACCTCCAGAGGTGTGCTTCAGGTTGACCCACGACACGTGATTTTTCACCACCGCCCATGACTTTCACCGCGGCTAGTGCCCAGCTGAGAACTTCCAATGCCCTCCTACTTCAGATGTAGACGCCGTTGTACCGTACTTTGTTCAAAAGACCGATGCCTTTTTAGACCCGAAACACACAAACCCTCTGCCAGGACTCGGTCTGAAGATCACTGTTATTATACGAGCGTATCCCCCCCCACCCCCACCCACGATGCAGAGACAACGGAAAGCTCAGAGACATTATTGGGCCGGACCGCTTTAGGTATTCCTTTCCCCAGTACGAGATGTTCCCTCAACCCCCCGGCTTGCTCGCCCAAGTGGTTGACGAATAAGGTTACCAAGACCTCGGAAGGTCCTGCCAGGTCCTGCCGTGACCAGGGGTCTGGGTCGAAAGTGGCTAGACTCCCAGAATCAGCTGTCCTGCAGCTTGCGGTATGCCAATTTTAGCGCCTACACCCTAGTTGGCCGGCGCAAACCAAGCAAGTGGGCGGAGGTTTTCAATGGTCCAAGACCTCTCGGGGGCTTGCTTTGCGGCAAGGCTATGCTGAGAGAGGCAAGGACGGGAAAAAGGCCTGTTCCCCTCTCGGTTGTTGATATGACTTAGCTTTCTTGCGCTTCTTTGCTTACACAACTTTCTTGAAAGCACAACCTAGAGCCTCAGGAGACGGCCGATTTAGACCGCGCTAAGTTAGGACGGTTCTGGTCGTTCCTGAGCTAGACTGCCCATCATCGGCCGTTCTCCTGTTTCTAACCTTTTGTTTTGCCGGCACGCTGTTGATCACCATTAACGCTGTATTCTTTTCTGACCAGGTCATACTATCATGTCCCCGGCCTGGGCGAGCGTCGCGATCAACACTGTCGTTGCTGGTGTCTGCTCACAGGTATTGTCTCGGCTTGAAGAGAACTCTTGTGCAATCTTCCCGTGTCATCCCGCCGGCCCATGATCAACTCGCTTTCTCTGATCGGCATCATCATGATGGTGCTCGACTAAGGCAACACCGATGAGCTAGCATGCTTTTGGCTTCGCAGGGGTGTCGATGGCTGCTTCACAGTCTAACGGCTTGGCCATGCAACGCTTGGGGAGGCACCGCTCATGCGATAAGGCCTCGAGTCTCCATTGTCGCCTCCATCGACGCTACCCCCTCACGATGGTGGAAAGCTTCTCTGCTTCTTTGTACCTGACTACCGGCTTCCCACCCAACGCACGGGTGTCGCCAGCTTTTTCAAGCACAGAGTCAGGAATCATGCCGCTTGTCACCAGTCCCAGCTAAGCTGAGAGTCCGTCTTGAACGGACGACTTAGGCCTGTGGAACCCAGGTTTGCGTGCGTGGTCGACGGCGAGTGCTTGCGACGCCAACCGTTGTTTGTCCCTCCCCCTCCCCGATACAATCCTTGACCAGCGCCTTTTATTGCTGCATTGGAGGCGCCCATGGCTGCCCATCTCGTTTTGACGTACTCAGCTAGACCGGGCAATATTGCTCTCAGCTCCCGGTGCCCCCGTGTATGCGGCTTGACTAGACCTTTGTCCCCAGGATGGATGCCTTCCGCACTTGCAGAGTCTCTATGCTGGTCCCGTCTCACATATCTTGAACCGATTTCCCGTCCCCTGGACTACTGGTTACCTTGAGCAGCATTCCATTCGCTTACAACCAACGATCCTCCTGTTCTTTCTTCACCTAAAGACGGGAAGCGGTTTGACCAGTTTGTGGTTCGTTCGTTTCACACTCCCCACACGATGAAGGCTTTCAAGACCTACTTCACGCCCGACCAGGCGTCGGGCCAACCCGTGACCGAAACGTCGAACTCGAGTACACTGCAACCCATTGCACCGCAGCCGAAGCCGCAGGTGGCCGAAAAACCAGCTCCTTACCGGACCTACAGCACCAGAACATCCGCTCGACAGTCGACAGTGAGCTTAGCGCTCACTGCCGGTATGAGGGACAAGCATGCCAGCAGCATCATCGATCTCAGGGCAGATGTCACGGTACACAGCATTTACCAGGATCAGCTCAGGAAGATGTATGCTTCGGCATGGAACTTGGGAGAGGGTGTTGTCCTCAAGAAGGGCCGTAACGATTATGTCTGCGCCCCCCCTCAGCTGTCGACAGTACCGAATGGGTTCTTCGACATGGTAACCCAGCTGAACGTCAGCGTAAGTCTTCAAAGAGTCTCGGGATATTGGCTAGTTCTGACCAACAACTTAGTGTGCCATGACGGTCAACACACCTGTCATTCAATCCATCATTCATGGGCTCCTACATAGCGGGGAGCCCTTGACTTCGATCCCTCTTGCCGGGGGTTTGCAGCTTCAGGTCCTTCAAAGGATGACCGATCTCCCTAGGTGTCAAAAGCATCACTTTGCAGCCTTTATCCTGGACCCTCCTGTGCTCACTGTCTGGGATGACGATGCGAACAGACTTCATGCTCGCGCAGAGAGCCTGGAGCACATGATCATTTCTTACATTTGGCGTAATGAGACTGGCGAGGAGGAGGAGACTGACGAGAAGAACGAGAAGCAGCCCGGCGTCAACGTCGAGGAACTCTCTCCTGCTGCACTTGAAGAGGCCCTGAAGACAGAGGCAAGGCCGATCCGGCTGACCAGTTCCATGATGGTTGCCTTGGCCCTTTGCCTGTCCGTCATGTGCATGGGTCTCGGTTACCGGAACCTGGCTCTGCAGTCCGCCGTCGACGGCAGCTACGTGCGTTGGGCGCTCGTGGTGGCTACCCCGTTTACGCTTTTCATTAGTTTGGTCAGTAGCATGAAGCGAGACTGCCGTATGACTTCGCACTAACACACTTCCCAGTTCTTCTTCCTCTCCATTGCCGGAAATATCTTCCAAATCTTCGGCCCAATCTCATCGGTTCACGCAAACTCCAAGAACTTCTCTGGTAAAGCACCTCGCCGCCTTAGCCCTCACCGGGGCGAACTTCCCCACGTCACCATCCAGATGCCTGTCTACAAGGAGGGTCTGAATGCTGTCATCAAGCCCACAGTACTGTCTCTTAAGACCGCAATCTCTACCTACGAGATGCAGGGCGGCTCCGCTAGTATTTTTGTCAACGACGACGGTATGCAGCTCATCAGTGAGGATGAAGCCTCGGCGCGCAGAGAATTTTACGAGGAGCACAATATGGGATGGGTTGCTCGTCCTGGCCACAACCCCAAGCCTTCAGACCCAAGCGTGCAGCCTTTCATCCGCAGAGGCAGATTCAAGAAGGCCTCCAACATGAACTATGCCCTGATGACTAGCAACAAGGTCGAGGAGAAGCTCAAGCAGATCAACCGCGGAAGCAGATGGAGCCAGGACAGTGAGGACAAGGCCTACGAGCAAGCTCTTGCCGAGGTTCTCGAGGAGTCCGAGGGCCGAACCTGGGCTGAGGGCGACATTCGCATGGGTGACTACATCCTTCTTATCGACTCTGATACCCGTGTCCCGCGCGACTGCTTCTTGGATGCTGTCAGCGAGATGGAGGCTTCCCCAGAGGTCGCTATCATTCAGTACACTTCCGGTGTCATGCAAGTTTCGGACTCGTTCTTCGAGATGGCGTAAGTGGATTCGAGTCACTATCCCCGTCCCCGTCACCAGCTAACGTTCTTCACAGTGTCACATGGTTCACGCAGATGATTTACACCATCATTACCTTTGCTGTCTCCAACGGTGATATCTCTCCGTTTGTCGGCCACAACGCTGTCCTCCGCTGGTCTGCTCTCCAAGATGCTGCTTCCTACATGGAGGATGGCTACGAGAAGTTCTGGTCCGAGTCTCACGTCTCTGAGGATTTCGATATGGCCCTGCGTCTTCAGACTGCCGGTTACTCTATCCGATATGGTGCTTACACGGGGGATGGCTTCCAAGAGGGTGTCTCTCTCACGGTCTACGATGAGTTGGCCCGCTGGGAGAAGTATGCTTACGGCTGTAATGAGCTGCTGTTCCACCCCTTCCGTTTATGGATCATCCGCGGCCCCTTTACACCCCTTTTCAAGCGCTTCATCTTTTCCAACATTGCCTTCTACAGGAAGATCACGATCCTGTCCTACATCGGTACCTACTACGCCATTGGAGCGTCTTGGCTTCTCACTCTGATGAACTATTTCCTAACGGGATGGTTCTTTGGCTACTACGACAAGTACTACCTCGATTCGTTCGCCATCTTCTTTTCCATCCTTATCGTCTTCCCTCTCAGCGGCAACATCGCCTTGGCTGTACTTAGGTATAGACTTGGCCAGAAGTCCCTCATTGGAGCCCGTAAGTTTTCCTCTCACCTCCTGCAATGACGCAACGCAAGATTGCTAACCTTCCACCTGTAGTCTGGGACAACTTCAAGTGGATGCCCGTCTTCACCATTTTCCTCGGTGGAATTTCGCTCCACGTCTCCAAGGCTTTGCTCTGCCATTTCTTCGAGATCGATATCCAGTGGGGTGCCACTTCCAAGGAAGTCGAGCGTTGCAACTTCATCGAGGAAATCCCCAAGATCATCAAGAGCTTCGCGGGCACTTTTGTCTTTACATTCGCTGGGGTTGCTCTCATCGTTTGCGGATACTACGTCTTCCCCGTCCAGTGGCAGATTCGCACCTTTGCGACCATCTTCCCCGTGGGCATCTGCATTACTTCGCACTTTGCGCTTCCAGTGCTTCTCAACCCCGCGTTGATGAAGTTCACCTTCTAAAATGCATATTTTATGCGGCCATTTAATGAACATAACATTGCTTTCCTTCTAGAAATGGGATCTATAGACGGAGTTTAATTTGGCAGAAGGGTTTCTCCATGGAGGCATAGACTATTGGCAGCGTTTTGATGGGTTTCTTCACTTACGCCACGGGCTTGTTCCTTTTCATCTGGTCTTGATGATGACGAGCCGTGATGGATACAGCACGATTTAATGTTTTCAATATTTATATACCAGGCATATCCACAGATATCCAATAAAAGAAGATAACTAAAGCAATTTGCTAGAGAACATTTATAGTGACTTGCAGTCCCATCTCCTTGGCATCTGGCTACTTGATTTGAGGACCTCGCAGGATCAATCGGCCGACTCTAGAGGAACCTCGAGCTTGATGTCGAACTGTTCATGCCTCTACTAGGAAATAGGCAACCATCACCAAGAAGCACCTATTCAAAATCCAGTTTCAAGGAGCCGCAGCAAGGTAGGGGCAAAATGAGTCAAAATTTGACCAGCCGATATTGCCGGTGACAAGGCTCTCAAAGGTTACTATTTAACAATCATGTAAGAAAGCCTTGGTTTTCTCTCGACCTGCTCGTGCAAAAAGCTTGGTCAGGCAACCAATTACATTTTGCAATATCTTTGGACAGTAGAGTAGGCCTTTGCAGATTTGAGCCGTGAAGCGCCTGTGGCCAGCAGCAGATACCTGCGTATCCCCCCCCCCAATAATACGATCGAAAGAACAAAATTGCCGATGACCAAAAATTACAGTAAAACGCCGTGTAGAAATGCCCTGCCGTTCTTCAAGCTCTCTTTTTGGTGAACCCAAAACGCCGTTCCAAATGTGCCAAACATGAAAATCCCAGAGGAGCCAGGAGGGCAGGCAGCATCATCAACCCCCATTGTCCCATCGTCTCCTCCCGTCCATTAAAAGCCAACTCAGCTGTTCGTCGCAAACAGGGTATCTTCGTCGCGCAGGTACTCGCCGGCGTCGGATTGCCTGAAGCAGACAACACCGGTGGGGTCGAGACGGCGCGCCTCGGCCGTGGAGCGGGCGGTGACGCCGAAGCCGAGGGGCTTGTCGTCCATGGCGTAGACGATGACGCCCTGGTGCTCGGGGCAGTCGTCGGACCAGCGACCGACGTGGGCCTTGACGATGTTGCCGCCGTACAGGAAGGGCATCTCTCCGTTGGGCTGGTGGTTTCTCGTTAGCACCTTTGGCCCAACCCCCATCTCTCTCCATTCGCAGACTTGAACTCGAGCCAGTCGTTCTATTACGTACCTTGACCCAAATCTTGTATCTTGCGTGCTCGCTGAGGACCGGGAGTGCGGTGACGTGCAGGCGGAACTTGCCAGTCTTGGTAAACTTTCCTGTGTTGCGCAAAGACAAGCAGTGGTTAGAATAAGCGGGAAGGGGGGTGGCTTGGCGCGCAAGACGTACCGAGACAGATACCGATGCTGAGGAGCTTGTCGCGGGCGATGCTGGTCGCCAGGTTGGCGACGGAGAGGCGCACGTAGTAGACACGGTCGCGGATCATGCGGAAGACATAACGGTCCGGCTCAGGGCCGTTGTCGAGCGGGGCGATGAGGTTCTTCAGCGAGCTGCCCATGTAGCTGGCCAGCTTGTTGAAGAGGGTCTCGGTCTCTTTTTCTGTGAGGGGACGCATCTTGAGTTATTGGCTCGTTGGTGTGTGTTTCGACTCGGGGCGAATGCGTGTTGGGACTCGGTATCAAAGGGAAAGCTTCTTTGGAGAGAACGTGCAGTAGAGATGCCGTTACCAAAAGGTGGGATGCAAGTCACTCGCGATGCGAAAGGGTTGGAGTAGCGGCAGAAACCCAAAAAATTTCGGGCGGTCTGAGGGTGTTCCAGGGTTTCCATTGGCTCAATTGCCAAAATCTCCACTAAAAAGTTCTTGATGGTCCCTCTTCCCGCTGCTTGTGTCCCAAGGGTCCCCGTTCAATCCCACCGTGCATCGTTAAATCTTCCTTTGGGCGAGGAGGAAAACTCTTTGAAAACCAACAGAGCTGGCCAACACCGCCTAATTCTCTTTGAAGATTCTGTCTCTCCCGATCGACGCCGCAGACAATAATACCATCGTCCACAATGTCCTCCAGAGCTTCAAAACGCCGCAGGCTCACGCCGCCGCCCGAAGACGAAAACGACCACACCGGCAAGTCCTCAAAGAAGATCCAAAAGTCCTTTTTCAAGAGCGCCGCCGGCTGGAATCTGGAGCAGGACTACGAGAACCGCCCGCGAAAGGGCAAGAAGGACAAGAAGGAGAGCACTCGCCTGCCCATCAAGACGGCCGACGGTCGCCTCGAGCAGTACCAGTCCCTGCAGGGCGACAACAACGACGATGCCGACTCGGTCGAGAGCGACGGCGAGTGGCTCGAGGGCCGTGAGGACGAGGAGGCCACGGCCGAAGCGGCCGCCGAACGGCTGCGCCAGGACCGCAGGAAAGAAGAGGAGGAGTCGGACCTGCCGGAGCCCGTTCAGATCCACCAGGCCAAGGAGGAGCTCGCCAAGATCGCCATGGCGCTGAACGAGGACCCGGAGGAGAACGTTGCTGCCTTCAAGGCCATTGCAAAGATTGGCCAGTCGCGCATCCCGGCCATCCAGAAGCTCACGCTGGCCACGCAGCTCGCCGTTTATAAGGACGTCATCCCGGGTTATCGTATCCGGCCCGTAGCCGAGGACGCCCCCGTCGAGAAGCTCTCCAAGGAGGTCCGGAAGCTACGTGCCTTTGAGCAGGCCCTCGTCTCGGGGTACCAGGGCTACGTGAAGGAGCTCGCAAAGTGGGCAAAGGCCGACATACCGACCACGCGGAAAGCCGGGCAGAGCATCTCGAGCGTCGCCATCTCGTGCGCGTGCACGCTCGTCAACGCGGTCCCGCACTTCAACTTCCGTAGCGACCTCCTCAAGATTCTCGTCAGCAAGCTCTCTAAGCGCAGGATCGATGCCGACTTCCACAAGTGCCGCCGCGCGCTCGAGACGCTCTTCGCCGAGGACGAAGAAGGGCGGCCCTCGATGGAGGCCGTCTCCCTGCTCGCCAAGATGATGAAGGCCCGCAACTTTGCTGTCGACGAGAGCGTGCCCAACCTCTTCCTCCACCTGCGCCTGCTATCCGAGTTTGCAGGTAAAGCGTCGCAGGACCGCGTCGACCGGGAGCGCGACCCCGGCGCCCCGCCACCGCAATCGCGCAAGAACTTCAAAAAGGAGTTCCGCACCAAGAAGGAGCGCAAGATGCTCAAGGAGCAGAGGGCCATACAAAAGGACATGGAGCAGGCCGACGCGCTCGTCAGCCACGAGGAGCGCGAGCGTATGCAGTCTGAGACGCTGAAGCTCGTCTTCGCGTCCTACTTTCGCATCCTCAAGATGCGCGTGCCGTGGCTTATGGGCGCCGTGCTCGAAGGCCTGGCCAAGTATGCCCATCTCATCAATCAGGACTTCTTTGGCGATCTTCTGGAAGCCCTCAAGGATCTTATCCGCCACGCACAAGAGGACGCGGAAGGTAACAACCGCGAGGACAACAACGACGACGATGAGAACCAGCAGGAAGAAGAAGATGATGATGACGACGACGACCTTGGGGGCGCATCCCGCAATACAAGTCGCGAAGCCCTCCTCTGCACCGTCACAGCCTTCGCCCTCCTCGCAGGCCAGGACGCGCACAACTCCCGCGCCCAGCTGCACCTCGACCTCTCCCACTTCGTAACCCACCTCTTCACCTCCCTCCCCTCCCTCTCCCTGAACCCGGACCTCGAACTCACCTCAAAATCCCTGCACATCCGGCCCGCCCAGGCCGCCGCCACGCGCGACAACCGCGTGAACCTGCAGACCACCACCGTCCTCCTCCTGCGCTGCCTCACGGCCGTCCTACTCCCCGCCTACCAGATCCGCTCCGTCCCCCCCTTGCGCCTCGCGGCGTTCAGCAAGCAGCTCATGTCCGCCGCGCTGCACATGCCCGACAAGTCGGCGCAGGCGGCGCTGGCGCTCATGCAGGACGTCGGGCACACCCACGGCAAGAAGATTGCCGCGCTGTGGTGCACCGAGGAGCGTAAGGGCGACGGCACATACAACGCCCTCAGCGACAGCGTCGAGGGCAGCAACCCTTTTGCCACGACGGTGTGGGAGGGCGAGCTGCTGCGGAGGCACTTCTCTCCCAAGGTGAGGGAAGGTGTCAAGTTATTGGAAAAGGAAATTAATAGCGCATGAAGAGGAGAGTGGTTGAGAGCAGGGGCAGTCGACCAAGTTAAAAGGAGTTGGGAAATGGGAAAGAAAAAGGCGTACCTTTTCTGGGTGTTGCGGGCTTTGGCATTTAGAGACCACATACATATTATATATACAGCCCATGATTACAACAGCATCTTCAGGTTCAATCTTGGTACCTAGCAGCAGCGGTCTCTCACACGTTGAATCTAGCGGTCACTCTTCATGGTTTTTTATTTTTGAGAAACTGTTGATTGACTTTGTACCTATACTGCTTGTGAGGTCGAACTATCATTCCTGAGCAAAGTGACCTGGGCAGCGGGCTACCGTCCCTAGAGGCAAGAGACCGCTTCTGCGAGAGACGTCTCGTTCCGGTTCCCCAAAGTCGAGAACATCCCAAAGCCAATATCAAACCAAACCATTCTCGCGTGCGGTCATCAAACTCCCTCTGGCTCATCGAATCCCAACTATCATCTGACGCGGATGTTCAGTGGCGTCCTCCTAGGCCTTTGTCCCCTCTCTGTAACTGCTCAAGGTCTTGCCGATATATGGCATCATCAAAGAGAGCCGAAAGAGACCAGATTTATTGCCATTACCTCAACAAACTGGGGACAAGGTTGCGGAGGTTCTCCTCTGCTTACCGAGTCGGGTTCGTGTCATAGCAGTAACGCCTCGAGGATTTCGAACCATTGCCCGATCATGGGGCGCAACAACTCAAACATTCCAGAATCGGTGGTGGTGTATGCACGTCTCTCGAGAAGGAACTAAGCGGCCCAGATCGAGGCATTGAGACCTCTGTCGCGGCGCAGTTGCTGAGCCGGAGGACCGGACAAGGTGTTCGAAGGAACGGGCGAGCTGTGTGAAGGACCTGGCAAGCTGCTCGAGGGACCGGACGAGCTGTTCGAATCCTCCCATCGGATGACCTGGAGATGATCATCGGGGTCGTCCACAAGGGCAGGGCTGGCGCCGAAGTGGAGGGGGAATTTCGCAGCATACTTGAGCAACACGGGGCAGTCTTGGTTGGAGTGTCGGTAGAGGATAACATTGACAGCGAATTTGTTCTTCACCGCAGTCGACGCAGTTTCCAGGCCAGAAACGTCAAGGTTGCCGTCAGCATCCGTATTGTGACGTGAAGCCGCCAAGCCAATAACGGGGTGGCTTCTCTTCGAGCAGTTACAGACGGCTTCGTTCATCAATGGCTCCGTTGCATTCTCCATGTGATCCGTCTCCTGTCTCTGCATCGTGGATGTAGTATCTTTGATATCTTTGGTATCAGCATCAGTGATGGGCGCAACACCATTATCATCTCTGGTACCTTCTGCCATTTGAGCGTTGACCGCAAGTGGGTCAGGAAGCTCTCGACCGGCTTCGAGCTGCCACAGAGCCCAGAAGAAAGAACCGATCTCTGGCTGTTTTTGAACCCCAGGGCCCTCAGTCATTGTGGCGGAGGCTTGAGCATCCTGCTTGGTGTCAACCGTCTCAAGAAGACGAGCAGCATGTTCATCATAGTCGGACTGCGGCCGAGTGGCTGGCTGATCCTTATCGAACAGAAGAAGAGCAGAAGTTAGGGCGCTCAAATCAGTGCTAGCAGCAGTTTCCACCATGGTATCTCTGTCCTGGTCCTTGACAGCGTTCGTCTCGTGAGCGGCCCACAAGCTCTTTCCCAAGCCATTAGGCTTCGAATGGGCGATCGTCTCGAGAGGAGCACCATCATCCTTCTTCAGCGAAAGCGGCAGGGCATTGGTCTGAGAGACGGCATGAACGTTCCCGGGAACGGCGTCCTTCAATGTCTCGGAGATGTGAACCTTGGGGCCAGGTACACTGGAGGAGGGACGGTTGGTGGGAGCCTCCTTGGGAGTGGCGGGAACAGGGGTAGATGCGGACGGCTGTGGTTTATCGGTATTCGTGAGCCAGCTGGCAAGGTTTTTGTCGATTCCTTTCGGAGAGTCAGAGTGGACAGCAGCCTTCTTTGCGGGTATCGCGGTGCTGGCCTGAGGAGTGTTGGATCCTGTCAACCAACCCGAGAGAGATGGGTCCACACGAGTAGTGGGAGACTGGATTCTGGCTCGAGTCACTTCCGCCTGCGTGAATTTGGGACGCGAGGAAGCGGGCGCAGAACGGTCTTGGAGGATTAGCAAGTTCCATGATATACTGTCAAGGAGTTGACTCACTCATCTGAACTGCATGAGTATCATATCGGGAATGGGTGACTGCTTTTCCGATACCGCCAGGCTTGCTGCCATTGCTAGAATTGTTCGTGCGTCCCCGGCCGTTGCTTCTGCCCCGACCACTACCTCCGCCACCTCTCTTGAACTCTGAGGCAAGAAGCTTGGCTGCTTCCATCTGAGCATTTCTGTCCATGTTGAGAGACAAATTGACAGCACGCCCTCTGCAGATCTATGAGGCTGGTATTCTCCTCTGGGTATCTGGTGATTCGGTTAGTACCAAACTCTCTCTCTTGGAACTGGCCATGGCTTGAAATCTCTCTCGCGAGCTCAATGGGTCAGAATTCTGGAACATGCGTAAAATGACAGGTTGAAGATACGGAAATCACTGAAGTCATTGAATTTGATATTGAACCTGATAGATTGGGGAGGCGCAGATCGACAAATGAAAATAGGTGATGTTTTTTTGGATGGGGTCCGTCTGAAGGAAATGCCTCGAAACTAGGAGATGAACATCGGCAAGGAAGCGGACGAGAAGTACTGACCTTGCCTCAACTGTGTGACTTGGTGGCCGTTTGTCTTTCTCAGTTTCTGGAAGGAAGACGAAATTCGTCTGGCGATGTCCTGCTACCTGCAGCGTCAATATTGACGTTGGCGGAAGACGGAACCCAAAGTGGAAAATCGTACCGGGCAGGACGGGACTTGGGTATAGAAGGGTGGAAGAAAACGCTGAAGGTGTCAGCCGAGTGAAACCACACTTGACTATCTCGTGGCTATAGGCGGAGAAGGAAGGTAACCAAGTTGTTGAGGAAGGAAAGATAACTTGCCTTGCTAACCTGGAAACAAGGGAAGATAGCTGGAAGAAGTGTCTTTCGAGGCAGGTAGGAGGAGCTCAAGAAGGAAATCGAAAGGTCAAGAGGCAGGCACTGGTGGATTGCCCTGGAGACTCATAGCACTGGAGGAAACTAGAGGAAACACAATAGATTCGCCTAGCTTGGGATACAGGAGACAATAAAACGGCAGGAGTATTTGGGACGGAAGGGGTAGTTGTGACGGTGGGAACAGTAGGGACGGCAGGAAGTTGGGACGGTGGAAGGATTAGCACGGGATGACATTGAAGAGTCCTTGGAGGATGCTACGTTGCTTCTCTCATGGGACCTTTGAATCACGCATGAAGACTTGACTGGCTGCTGGGTGTGAAGGACTAGAGCGTGGCTGCAGAAGAAATAACAGAAATGGGGAAATCACCAAGCTCTTTGTTGGATAAATAGTAGCACCTGTCAGCTGAAGTTCATGTTGACGCAGACAATCTCATCAAGTCAAGATATCGAGCAAAAACACGATTTCCATATTGAAGCGCCAGTATTCTCTCATCTTGGTATTGCCCATCTTCCTCGGTGCAATGGGTAGAGAGGGAAACGAACATGGACTGACAGTCGGTGCCCCTTTTTTGGCCAGGAGACTCAGCATATGCATACCACATGAAAGCGAATCCACCTTGGCAAGAGAGGGCAATGTCTTGAAGAAGCGCATGAGCAGACCGACTTGCATTGACACGCAGGGTGAGGGAATCTCGTTTCTATTTCTCTGTAAGAACGCTTTCAAGTCGAGTAGAAGACTGACGTTGCCGACCGTCTCACGCTTTGCCGCTCTTCTTGGCCGGCATCATTTTCTCGTCCACCTTCAACTGCGTAGGACGATAGACAGCATCTTTTGCCTCGTCCAACCAGGCGATGTTGACAGGCGAGACGTGCTGCTGAACGTAGTCAACCAGCGCCCTTGACATGGGAGCACCGACCCGAATTCCGATTGACGAGACCCTCGGGATGCCGACAGCAGCGCTGAGTTTCTCTGCACATGGCTTCGAGTACCCAACAAGCCTTGTCGCGGGCGCGGGCGCGGGCGCAGCAGCCTTGGAAGCGACCGCGACCATCTGGGGCAATTGGGCGTTGAAGGCAGACGACTGGCCGGAGCGGGCGACGAAAATAAGGGCGTATGGAGCGAGAGGGAGTGTCACAGTGCCGGCGACTTCGGTGCCTTGTTCTGAGCCTCGCTGTGTGGACGCCAGCCTTTCCAGGTTGCGAGTGATGCTTGCCAGACCAACGTCGACGAAAGATGCGATTTCGGGCAGAGGTGGGCGTTCGCTCTTCTCGGGTTCCTTGCTTGCAGCTCCCTCCTCTTTTCTCTTCCGTTTGGTAGCCCGTTTGCCTTCTGAAGGCTTAACGTGCCTTTGGCGGTGTTGTCCCAGTGGCGTTAAAACGCTGCGTGTCTGATTAGCCCAATTCTCTCATAGATGTGTACCAGTACACCAAGTGAGAGCGGTGGATGTCATGATATGCCCATTGCTGGAAGTTATAATGAGCGAGGCTGACAGGAATGTAAAGACATACCTGCATAGCAATTCCAGAATGGTATCTTGATCTTCAAAGGTGACCTCGGGCCTACAATGTTTTAGCAACCTGGGTAAATGGGCCAGGCAAAAGGTAACCCACCATTGTACTGATGAGTATGGTGTGTCAATCGAGTACACCAATTTTTTTCTTAGTTGGCTTGCCATTACGTGTGCCTCTTTCGACGTGGCTAGGCGTTGCTATGTATTTTCCGGAATGTAAATCAAGGAGTCACCGCCAGACTGAGCGAGATATCGTGCTCCAGTTGGTCAGTTCCGGGGTATGGAGTGGAATGAAGCTGAATCAGAACGTTTGGAAGATCTGAAGAGCCTTGCATAAACCCTGCATGCAGACCAGAGGCGTTGATTCCAATGATAATAGGAGAGAGGCTGGCAAAGTAAGACTTAGTAGGTAGTGTTCGGGGAGCTCAAAGCATGGCTCTGTCTTGGTCTCTAAGGCTGCTAGTCGTTGATCATAGAATAAAGCCAACAAGAGGGTCTGCAAAGAGATTTTCTTGGGCTTTTCATGTCAATTTGATAATCAAAGTATATGCCAGGCAGTCGAGTAAAGTACCGAGGTACTGCTAAACAGGTCAATGCCAGCGTGTGTGAGTCGAGTCGTCGACCAAAGAAAAGAAATAAAGACAAAAATAAAACTCGTCAGTCAGAAACAACGGGTGGGACTAATTGGCCTTAGCAGCCGATAGACCGATAAGCGAGGTGGCACTAGCGCCACATGATGAACCACAAGAGGGGAAGGAAACAGACGAACGGGTTTCAAGAGCTTCAAATCCAAAGTTGGAGGGTGATGATGAGTCGGATTAGTAGCTTGGTGGACAGCTTCCAAGTAGGGGATCAGCTACTTGACTCAGTGGAGGCCTTCGGCCACACTGTTTGACGTCTTTGAGATACCCATATAGTAGGCATCTCTCCCAACGATGTCGATGCGGCAGTGGGAGGACGGTCGACGTTGGGGTCGTTTAGGCAAGTTGCAAGGACATGGGCCACTAGGAACACCGGCCCCGCATGAGCTCCAAGCCCCTCGGGGAGCACGGACAGCTGCGGATGGAGGAGCTGGGTTGGGCAAAGGTCGGCAAGAGGCCGATTGCTACGTTGAGTTTTGAAGAGAGTGATGGTGGCCACGATTTGGCGGGAGCTTTCCATGTGTCATCTGGTCGATTTCGATTCCAGTGGCACTGCAAAAGAAGATATACGGGACGACTAGTCGTCCCCTAGTCGTCCCTCTTACCTGCCATCGGCTCCGGGCCGGGTCGGAGGAATGCGTTGCATAACAAGGTCGCCGAAATCAAAGCAAGCTGGGAACCCCGCCCATTTCGAGGAAATACCCGTATGGGTGAGGGTAAGATTTGATCGGACAATTTCAGCCTCTCTTCTGGATCCCTGAGTTGTTACCTGCTGTAAGCTATCTACCTTACCTAGGGTATGAACCAACATCCTTCACCCAAGGAAGTTAATTCTATTTGCCGGATGCAAAATCAGGGGCTCTACCTCGTGCTCTTCTAGTGACATCGACTCTGAAGACGATGCTATCCAGGCTTAGGTAGGGTCTGCTGCCTGATGGTATCTTGGACATTCCAAGCAATAAATTACCAGCTTCGGTCAGATGATGGTCAGCAGAACAGCATATCCAAAATTTCGTGGGCACGTACTAAGTGCACTGACCAATCTATGGTATCTGAACTTCCCATACGGGCCATACTTTACCTTGAGCCTGACCTGGAGATACGAGGGCATCACCTGAAAGCCACGTTTGGGCGATGAAGTTTCCTTGGCAATGTGCCTCACTGGCAACGTTGTGTCACCCGCCCATCAGGCCAGGCACCTGGATGCACTGATAAATTACAATGCCTCATCGTTTGTCTTGCGTTGCTCCGGATGTAGACCCTGGCTTCTTGATCGAGCTGGGTGCATTTCGTCAAAAGAACTCCCTTTTGCTAGTCTAGAAAAGAAAGCTTCTTTTATCGTCTCTTTGAAGAAGAAATGATCCAAGAGTTGATAGTCCCTTGTTACCATCACCTTCTTGTCTCGTCTATTTATGCGTGGACAACAATCTGCAATAATAGGCCACTCAGCCACAAACTGAACGATTGTTGCTTCGCCCCATTACCTAAGCAAAGCTGGCCGCTCCCTTTTGGTGATACCTGGGTTTGCAACTGCTATTTAAAATGAGAAAAGGATGACTCTGACAGCTGACCTACCTTACCTAAATACAAGGTGATGGTGGTCCAGACAGGCTGTTTGATGTTGCGATCCCCTTGTATCGCCAGAATTCAACGGTCGAGGTAAGGTACCTCTGGAAGGTCACCTCTGCCGCCCTTTCTTCCGTCCCCACTATCGCCTTCGGTGCCTTGCTGTTAGGTAGTGCCCCGACTGTGACTGTGCTCGAGGTTGAGCCACACCAAACCTAACTTAAGACATCGAATACCGGCACCCCAACCGGCACCTATCATCTCGAGGACGCCTTATCGCCCAAAAGCTTCTACCAACCTATCACCTCCAAACCATTCTGACCTGCGGGTGCTGCCCTGCCTAGGTAAGCCAGAGACCCAGAGAGGTTTGCTTTTGGTCTGCCATGTAGAGAGAAATTTCTGCAAGGGCAGACACCTTACAATGTTCATCTAACACCTCTCTGCAGACTCCCTTATAAAGCCGAGCTCTTCACACCCCCGGGCTTCTTCGACCTGCGCGTCGCCCTGATAAACCCAGCTCCCTGAGGTACCCAAGGTACGCAAGCTACCGACGCTACACACCTTCCCAAGTAGGTACCTTAACAAGATCAAGCAACGTCAGGTAGGTCGCAAGCTCAAAGCTCTTTCACCTACCTTAGCTGCCACTGCCTTACCACCACGCCTACCACCACCAGTGGAAGGTACATCCCGTCTATTACCTGCACCTTTCACCCTTCCTGCTCGGCTGCTCCCACAAATCCAAGCCACACAGGTGCCTCTTTGCCTTCTTCCCCATTACCTCATCATCTGCCCCCCTCTCGCCCCATCCACTCGTCTCCAAAACAGACGAGTATCCCCTCCCCCTCCAAAGCTCCAAGCTCTAGTGGATTCACGTCCTCCACGCCTGCACCGCGTCTCTTTTAAGCACCCGAAAGGACCGACGTGCAACCCCTGCTCCCTCCCCCAAAAAAGCCCACCTTAGACACGCCCGGTACCTTCCATTTGATGCTGCTGCGTTAGACCTCAGCCTGCACCTTGCTATCGTCACTGTCATCTCACCTTCACATCTTAGCGCCGACCTTCTCAATCTTTTCCGTCTTGCCTCTTTCTTCCACTTCGAAGGATCAAGCTGCTGCAGCCTGGTCGCCCATCTTTTACCCACTCCTCCAAGAAAGAAAAAAGCCCATCATCGCTGCACAAACATACCTCCATAGCGACTTCAATCATCTCTACCAGCCGGAAAAAGAACCCACATGCTAATTTTGATCAGCTGCTACCGAGTCGTCTCTCGCGCCCGAGTGACGTCTCTGGAGCTCCAGGACCCGCGCTGCAATACTTCATTGCACCAACCAGATGGACCTACCAACAGGATCCTCGGAAGCACCAGAACGCGCGGTCTCTTCAGAGCCTAGCTCAACGAGACCGAACCCCTTCACCGACGGCGACGGTTCTTCTAGGAAACGACGCCGAACCTCTATGTCTGGTGGCTCCCGGAGCCTCTCTGTCGACAGCACAAAGTCGAGGCTCGACACCTCAAGCTCCCCATCTGCAAAACACCCCGACGAAACTGCCACACAAGACTCTGCCATGAAGATAGACACACATCCTTCTACCCCGCAAACACCAGAGCGGCAGTCGACTGCTCGAGAGCCTCCGACCGAACCCTCTTCTAGCCGGGTCACGATTAACCTGCGCAACATCGCCCCACCCGATCCTCTCTCCTCCTCCCCCGTCTCACCGACACCTCGGACCCTGCCAGACCAGCCAACTGGACCTTCAGAAGGTGTGAAGAAGAGTGTTGAAGAGTTGGACGAAGTCGACATGGCGCAAGCTCCCATCGAGATCACAGACACCCCGCCTTCTTCCTCGTCAAGTCCACAAAGCCCCGAGGTCGAGGTGGTTGCAATAACCGACGATGATCAGGATGCTCCGTACGACGAAGATGTCAGCATCATTCGCGAGGATGCCACATCGTTCGACCCGACCCCCGAATTTCCGTACCATGAGGCCCATGAGTCACTGCCAGAGACTGTTGCAAAGCTAGTTAACTACCTCAGTTCTCGTGAGTGTTCTACAGCTCGAGAAAGCCTCTGCGGTCCTAACTGAGTATAGAAGCGCCTCCGGACGAAGCTGTATTAGAGTCTCTGTGTGCTTGGATGGTCTCGTACGTCAAATACGTTGGCGTCGTTGGTGGTAGGGTTGCCTACGAGTCTCAAGTGGCTTATTATACCTTTTGGCACATGTTCCCTGAAATCGCCTGGGCGCTGTCAACCAGAAAGTCAGTACCTTGATCACTACTGTGAAATGATGACTTGCTCACATCTTTTAGGCATCCGATTCCATTGGAGAGCCGGCAGACCATTGGCCAGTTCTTTCACGCGTATTCCATGTTGACGGCCCATTTTGTCGAATTCGATTTCCTCACGGCTCAGGCTTTCCAGACATCTCCGGGCGATGAACGGCGTCAACCAGAATTTCTTCTCTTCCGCTATTTGCAGCCCCTGACGTCGTTCGCTAAGAGAGAACACGGCAGGACCCAGAATGGTCAAATACCCGACGAAGAGCTGCTGAGCACCGACATGCTGAATACGTTTCAGGCCGGAATTGGTGGCATCAAAGGATTGATCAAGCTAGCTCAGATGCACTTGAGCAATACGGCGAAATACCAGCATTTGATGGACGTACTCGCACCGATCTGCGGCGTCGCTGCGCATATTCTTCAAAAAGTTGTTCAGGGCATCCACCCGGAAGCTTCTCCTCAGAGCCTGGAGGCTGCGAAAGTTCGAGTAGCGGACGGCCATCTGCTGTATAACCTAGCTTCCAGTGCCTTGTCCACAACTATCGAAAACAAGGTTACTCAGCTATCAAACGATACAACCTCAGGTCTTGTCCAATCGCTTTCCGAGCTTCTCAAAATCTGCTTGAGTGGAGAACACAGGCTGGCCACAGAGCGTCTCAAAGCGTATCAGCAAAAGCATCCTGAGTTGCCTCCCAAATTTATCCCAGAGGCCATCTCGCTGGAATGGCGGCTCGGAATATACGGAAAGCTCATCACGTCGAGTCAAATGCAGTTACGCGTCCTGGCAGCGTCTAACATGTGTCATGATCTGGTCACTTGCTGGAAGAGATACAATGACAATGAGGATGAAGAGTGCAAGCAGTTCTTGAACTACGTGGCGGAGTACCTCCTGCGGACCAGATTGGTCGACTATATCTTGGGACCAACGTGCCATCCTGAGATCACAGTCGAGAGCGGTAATATCGTTGGTTTCTTGGTGGTTACGCGGCTGTACCGCAGCGAGCAAACTGATCTGCTTTGGCAAACCATCACGACTACTCAAGACCCGCGAGTTTCAGAGGCATTGATTCGCATGACAACGGGTATTGCCAACTTGTTCCATAAGGAGGAGCTACATTATCTCTGCGAGAAGCTGCGAACCTTGCCTATTGAGAATTTCACACCATCTGTACGGGGACTTTGCGACCAAAGTCTGAAGGCCCTTCAGAACAAATCCCAGTTCGCGGGCGAGTCGCAGAGCGTGCTGCCGTTGAGCATCTGCATCCGGCTTTTACGAGAGTCCTCTATTTATGTGTCGGATTCGGTTGTTGCTCACCCAGACGTTCATCATTTCGCCATGAACAAATTCAGAGAGCTCGTAAGGGATGGTATCGAACCCGAAGTACGGAAAGAAATCTACCTCGACTGCATCAAAGACATCACTGCAAAAACACCTACGACATTGGGGACTCTGTCGTGCCTCTCAATGGCATTGCGGCCTCCCGTGGCCTCCGAGCTACGAACCCTGACGACAGAGCATAACTTGACTTCGTTGCTCGTTGATGAGCTTGGCCATGCAATAGAGCAAGGAAAGCAGAATGGCATCAGAAAAATTCTCGGCGGAGTGATCAACTACCCGCGCAGGGATCTCATTGCAAACATCTTGGCTCATGAGCCGTCAACAGTCACTTCAGACCTGGGTCCACGCCTATGGGATATGCTTGTGGGCCATGGTGCGGCCAGTCAAGACGATCGGGATGATGGCTGGAAGATCCTGAACTCCGTCCCCAAAACAGCATTTGGTAATCCTTTCCTATCAGTTTGCTTCAGCGACTATTTACCAAATCTTCCCCGCGATTGTTTTTGCGGAGGAGCATTGGAATTCGTCAGAAACGCGGTCCTCCCCCGCGTCAACGATATCAATGATATCATACTGGACGACGTCGAGAGTCTCGCGCAGAGCGGAGTCGAACAGCTTTGGCGGATGATTCTTGATGCTGAAGATGGTGTAATGGTGGCCAAGGACATGGCGTTCGTGGATGCCGCGATCCAGACGCTCGTGAGTGACATCTATGTCGATAGTAAGTCTATCTTGGCATACCCTCATCATAGAGCTTGTCAAGTCCATCTAGGCCTCGTGAACCGATGCCTCGAGCAGATGCTAGACGCTGCGAAGCGGTTGGAGGCTTTCGACGGTAGCAAGCCTAGTGACGATGATGAGTCCATGGCTATCATCTCAACCGAGAAGCAGACTCAGGAGCAAGAGCGAACTTTTAGCCGATCCCTTGCGGTTCTCCGGCATTTCATGAAAGCGCACCAAGCCAAGGCCCACTTCTCCGCTCCCGATTTGCGCGCCTTGACGCCTGGCTCACCCAGCATAGCCGAAGGAGAGTCAGCTGAGCTCAAAGTCCAGTCCTTCGATGGCGACAAGCAGACAGACATTGTCCCTCTCGAAGTCGGACGGCAGAATACAGCTGCCTCTCTCTTAGCGAGTATCAGGCAAGCAACTGGCTTCGATAACTACCGAATCTACTACCGCGGCCGCCCATTTGCACCCAACGAAAACGACGTATGTCGGTCTCTCGAAGACTTGAAGATTCACGACGGTCTCATGCTAGTCAAGCGGGAGGAGACAGGTATAGCCATGGCGTCTAGAATCAAGCCAGGTGCCTCTCTCTTGGAAATAGAAATCCTGGGCCACTTTGAGCAGCTTTGGGACTATCTGAGTATGACAGAGGCCATTGCCACAGAGGTATGTATTTTGATCGTCCGGGCCTAGTGTTGTTGAGCTAATACAGTCACAGATGCACACCTTTCTCACCGGATTGCCCGCCGATACACACATGTTAGCCACCTTCGATTCGCCAGATACCTCATATCGGCAAGTCTTCCCATCGGGTCAGCCATTCAAGTCGCTGTATGCCCTTTACGCCATGACGGAGTACATAGGGTCTGCTGTCCGTAAACTGAATGAGGATACGATGGTAATTACCGATGCCGTCGATTCAGATATCGACGCGTATCTGGACGCGCTTGTTAGGGTGAGGGCGCTGATTGTGGCCGCCATCTCCGATCGCGGAATTCTGGGCGACTGTGCCTCTGAAGCTCTGCAAAATCGTCTGACCTACAACTTGATGAATGTCTACGGACTGACTTTTAGAGGTGAGTTGCGGAAGCCTTTGGTACTTGGTCCATCTAATGTTGTAATAGACCCCGAAGTCGACGAGCTTGATGTACGGCCGAAGCCAGTGGCTATGGCGCCTGCAGACCGCCTAGTCGAGATTCTCCGGTCAGCGGTGTCTACTCCTAGCCACAAAGCCAAAGTTTCTCTAATTGCATCGACCTTTTCGGCCATTCTTCGAAGCGCGGCTGTTGACTCTGCTTTCTGGGCTTCTCTAAAGGCGTTGCCTAATCTCGAAGAATTGATGGGCATCTTACTCCTCGATGAACCGTCAGATGCGATCCGTACAAATATTGCCAAGCTGTTGGAGGAAAGAGTGATCACGCCTTGCGAGTACGTGTCACATAACGAGGAGTTCCTCCCACGCTCTGACACAATTGACAGGTCCAACATGAACACCCACTCTTTCTGCGCATTTCTGTGGCCAATGTTGCACCGACTGATACCGAGAGCCGCAAAATCCCCAAAGCAATGTCAACAGGTGTTTGAACTGTCACTTGCCCTCCTACGTGAGATGGCATTCGATGAAGCTGCCGTTGTGGACATGCCCGTCTTGGCCAGAGATTGCGGCAGGCTCTTGCTCGAGCACGACTCTTCCGAGGTTGGTAACAGTGCCAGTTTCTACATGAATCAATTTGCTGACCATTTCAAGCAATTCGGGCAAGCCGGAATTGAAGATGCTGTGGCGAACGGCCTGGTGAAGCTCTTCCAAAGCTGCCTTGACGAGCGATCGGACGTGGACCTAGAAAGCGGCCTCCCAGCGTAAGTCAACAAGACCGTGCAACGTTCGGCGTTGATACTGACATCAACGCAGAAACCTTGGCCGAAAGCTGTTCTGGAAACATTTGTTTCCTCCCCCACGGCAACACGGCCTGAGTTCGAGCCGATGTAGTCTCCTGTCAACTGATACCAGAAGAATTCTTGCCGAGATCATCTTCGACCTAGTACGAGAGCAAGACCGCGAGTTCCACGCTTTGCTTGAAGACCTTGAAAGCCTAGTTCCTTTCGATGAGTTCGATAACGGTTTGTCCACCCATCCCTTCACCACTGAGGCACGCGACTTATGCGGAAGGACAGATCCGTATCTCTACGAATTGCAGCCTTCATTCGACAGAATGTCTGCGGTGAGGGCTCCTTGTGGTTATGCAGGCCTCCGCAATTTGTCCAACACTTGCTATCTGAACTCGCTCTTCACGCAACTCTTCATGAACACCGGTTTCCGTCAATTCATGATGAACGCTCGCGTGCCAGGCCAAGCCAGCACCCACGGTCTGCTCAGAGAAACCCGCAAACTCTTCGCTTTCATGCAGGAGAGCTCTCGGAAATTCATCGACCCTAGCCTGCTTGTCGGGTCTATCAAGACGTACGAGGAGACTGTCATCGATGTCCACAATCAAATGGATGTCGATGAGTTCTATAATTTGCTTTTCGATCGCTGGGAAGGACAGCTTTCGACCGCAGAAGACAGGAAAGCGTTGAGATCTTTTTATGGCGGCCAGCTCGTGCAGCAAGTCGCCTCCAAGGAATGCGAACACATTTCTGAGCGACTAGAGCCCTTTTCGGCCATCCAGTGCGACATCAAGGGCAAAAGCACACTCCAGGATAGTCTCCAGGCTTATGTCGACGGTGAGATTATGGAAGGAGACAACAAGTACAAGTGCTCGAGCTGCGACCGGCATGTGGACGCAGTGAAGAGGGCTTGCTTGAAGGACATTCCTGATAATCTGATCTTCCATCTGAAACGGTTCGATTTCAACCTGCGGACTCTTATGAGAAGCAAGATCAACGACCACTTTTCATTCCCCACCAAAATCGACATGCGGCCGTACACCATTGACCATCTTGGCTCTCCCTCTGACTCTGGCGAAGAAGACATATTCGAGCTAGTCGGCGTGCTCGTTCACGCTGGTACGGCAGAATCCGGCCATTATTACTCATACATCCGGGAGAGACCAACTATGGCCACCTCGGAGGCGTGGTTCGAGTTCAACGACGATCTGGTGTCGCCCTGGGATCCAGCCAAGATGGAAGAGTCGACTTTTGGTGGCACGGATGGGTCTGTGGACACTGGGCTAGCCTACGACAAGACGTACAGCGCATACATGCTCTTTTACCAACGGTCTTCGGTCTTGAAAGCAGAGCAGGAGAAGTTGCAGAGCCAATCTGTCCCGACTCCATTAAAGGTCGAGGTCCCGCCCGAGGTTGCCGACCATATCATTGGCGAGAATACAGTGCTACTACGACGACACTGTCTCTACGATCCAAGCCACTCAAAATTTGTTCTCCGGATGTTCCAACATGCCATGGTTCGAAACGGTGGAAACTGTTCTGACGCGCACATCGTTGAGCAGCGTGCGATGCACATGTTTCTTGGCCACCTTGACCAAGTTGTATCCCGGACCAAAGACCTCCCCGACTTTGAAGAATACCGAGACGAAATTGAGCATGCCGTCGTCAATTGTGCTAAGTGCGCCATGGATTTCTTCGATTACTTCCAGGAGAGGCACGAGGCATTCCGGCAACTTTTGCAAAGAAACCCGGACTGCGCCATCAGATACTCAATCGGCAGTCTGTTCATTACAGCTCTGCGGCAGATCAAAATCTCCAAGCCAGAGGTGTGGGGGTTGTCACAGGACGACCTGGTCGAAGATCCTGTCATCATGCAGTGCGTTCAGCTGCTCGAGGCGCTGTGGAACAATTTCCACGCTAATATCCGGTCATGGCCTGAAGTTTTCCAAACCATTTTGGCCTTCGCGCAAATGGGCCCATTGGAGACTGCTGTGCTCATGGCGGAAACCTGGTTCTACAGGGTCCTACGCATTGTCATTGCTGATGCCAACATGGACCTTCCCAATAACTACGCCCGAATGCTAACAAATGTCATTCGTCGTATCAGCAACACGCGCTCGACATCGTACGAAATGATCATCCAACTGATTGACCACTTTATGGATGCTTTGGAGGACGTGATTGACGTCCACACCATTGTGGAAAGTGCCGAGATGCGGTTAGACATATACATGGAGCACCAGGCGCCGAAAATGTGCTGGACACCTGATGAGATCAACGTCCTGACCCACGAGTGGAAATACGACGCAGGCAGTACCTTTGTCAAAAAACTAATCGACATCGACCAAGAGCCAGCCTGCACAGCATCGATCATCAAAAGGATCATTCACCTGAACCACGAGATGGACGACAAAGTCTTCATACTCCTCAAAAATACGATAACTGGTGGCGTGGTCCAGTATTCGAACACGCCCTACATCAGAGCAGCTGCAGTGTTCTCCGACGAGAGCAGGAATACAGCCAATGTCCAGACCCTCTTTCGCTCCATAGCTTTTCAGTGCAGGGCACTGCAGAACACGGACGGGAAGGCCTTTCTGGATTTTTTCCGACTTGCTTTCATCAGCCTGCAGAACGAAACAGAGGAGATTAGGGCCATGCGGTATCCTCAATACGTCGAAACTATCCCCACATGGGCACCTCCTCTACTGGGCTACTACGATGCAGACGTGCGACAGGGTACGGAAGGACTCCTCTACATGTGGTTCGAAAACCATGAATTGGTCGAAGACGAAGACGAGGGCTTGGCTATTTCTGTGAACGCAACGGTACGGAAGCTTGCTATGAACTGCCTCCTATATCTTCAAGAATACTTTGTCAAGCGGCGTGCTCAGGTGGCAAAGCATTCCACTGAACATCTGCAAGCCATCATTGCCAAGTGTGAACCCTTCTTTGGCGTCGACTTGGGACTCGACAATGATCGACTCATTACCTATGGAGAATTCCAAAACCTCTATCACTGTAAGTTATTAAGTATTAGATGATGTGATGACTGTTAACAAACAATGCTAGCTGTGGTCGAGCCATTGCGCCGCATGACGGTCGAAGAATTGGAGGATGAGGGTTCCGGTATGTCTCCAGGACTCTACAGTGATTCAGACACCCTCGGCTCAGAACCATGACGGCTGACTGGACGGCTGTCAAGACTGGGAGAACTCGTGTGTATCCTCTGAGCAGCTGGAAAGCATTGCAGACATCAACATGCAGGCGGCTGGCGACCTACCAGAGTCGGCCCTCCAGTGACGGAAACCACCGACAACCCTGACGAATTGAACGACTACGACTTTATTTGAACACACTACTCTGGTGCGACATGGTAGGAAACAATCTTACCACGTAAGGCGTCTAGGAGATGATGAATGGGTTCTGGAATTAGCAGCACAGAGCGCTATACAGGGACGGCGGAGGCTTCTTGCATTTACATGGCGTGCTGGCGTTTGAGGGCCCAGGGAAGGGTAAAAGTTTTCAAAGTCCAGCATATGGACAATGACGGCCGAAGGAACAGGGTGTCACGTTCCGATTCATACATGGCCTTTGAAGGATTGCTGTGAACTGGGTCTCTTTATTGGACGGACGACTAGGCAGCGATTGCGATGGTGTGTGTGATAGAACGTGAGATGCGTCTTACCTCCGAGATCAGAATTATCAGCAAGACCTTCGCAGCGAGTCTCATAGAAAGGTATGAACTCTAGTGATTATTTTTGGCACACTAGTCTCCTCGTCCAAGGAAAAGTGATGCCCAGGTGCAAATTGACTGGTGAGGGTGGATGATCATGGATCAAGTAGTACCCGGCGGCTTTGCTAGAGAGTGGATATCAGCTCAGGTAATGTGATGATGTGCGGTCAATACTAGTAGCAATACGGAATGTCCCAATATTACTTCTTTTCAAGCGGCTTATTAAAGGAGGTTCAAGTCACAGTGGTGGTAGAAGGATTAGGTCACGGTAACATCGGTGGGTCCCCGTAGCCGCCGGGCCCATGGAAGGGGTAAGGGGCAAGTGAGAGGAGTACCGGACCGGGGTGGGTTCTGCCTAGGGTACTTGCAGAAAGTGGAAGTCCGGGCTGGATTCCATTGGTTCGGGGCAGGGTTGGTCACCACGCTCACCAAGTGGACAGACACGTGGGGGGTGGGGGGATATGACATGATTTGGGAGGCAGACTTGGATGGGAAGAGGAGGAGTAAACAAGGGTATGATAATGGGGAATTTTTTTTTCTTTTTCCTTATTTCGGAGAGGAGACATCGTCACCTGCGTCTGCGGATCATGGGTAGATGAGGCGAGGATACGGGTACGAATAAAGAAATCGGCGTTTTCTGGGTTTGCCGAGGAGAGGTTGGCGATTGGTTGAGGATCTCGGGATGGAGGGTAGGGGACTGAATGAACGGCGCCGTGGCAATACTTTCATGACGTGCGGCTGAAAGCCGGAATTAGACACGGACGATGAAATAGACTACTGGATGTGGTGTTCTCGTTTGGCCGCAGGCCGCAGGCCAGCGGCCCGGAGGGGGGGGGTGAGAGGTAAAGCCGAAGGGGAAAATGGGAGGTTAGGGGGCTGGCGGAGAACTGATGTTTTTTTTTTCCTCTTGCAGAAGTGGAGGAGGAGGTTGAGATCTCAGGCCGAGATGAATGAGTGCCGGGCTCTTGGCGATGTAAGGCACATACCTACAATGGAGACATATATTGAGGGGAAAAGGGGGGGTTGTCACGATGACGGTGGTTATGGCTAATATAGTTTTAGAATCCTGGGGATTTCTCATCTGATGTTGTCACAAGGATGACAACTTACGTTGATATATTTTTTGTGAAAAGCAAAAGTTTGGGGTGATAATGCACCTGGGCTGGGTTGGACTGGACTATGCGCTCGTCGGCATCGGGGGCCCGTCGGAGAACGGCGAGTTCTAAGGTTCCGGACGGGGAACGGGGGTTTTGACCGGTACTTGGCGGGATCGTCGGCATACATGTGGGAATTGAGTAATGCTGGCACTACAGCAGTGGTGAGTGATCTCGTGATGCGTCTGCTGTCGTTCGCTGAAAGAATGGGAGGGATTGAAGATTGTGGCGACGGCGATACTGGTGGTTTGCGAAATCGACGATTGTCATCGCTGGGGGTTAGAGGGTGTTTTCTCCCTGGTGGGTGTTTTGTTTGGTTGGGCGAAACAAAGTTGGTGATGTTCGTGAGAGGGGTTGTTGATGACGCGGGCGACAGCTGATGGAGGGGTAATGTAGAGAGAGATGGAAGGGAGGAGCTACACTAGAACGGGAAAGACAAGCAGGTTTGATGGTTTCGTGTGGCTGCTATCAATGGAGGGGGTTTATGGGATGGGATGGGATGAAGCTCGGCTCACTCTGTTTACCGGTGCGGGAACTGGGGGGGAGAAAACAGTGGGTGACGTGCTTGCGAGGTTTGGTGTACCACACCATTGGGAGGTTGCGAGCAAGTCCAAAAGAAGTAGTTGGTTGTTGTTACTTGGAGCTTCGGATGGCTTCGGATGAGCGCGGGGAAAGCTGCCGGTGGTGGTGGTGGTGGTGGTAGGTGGTTCGCAGTTCGTTTTCGCGATCCGAAAGGTTGAATGAATCGTCCGACTGACAACGTCTTGGCGAGCTGCCTGAGCCAAGAAGAGCATGCCGAGGCGAAAGAGAAAGAGAGGGTGACGTAGATGCGGTAAAAAAGGTGAGGAGTCGTGACTTTCGCAACGAATTCGAGAAAAGCTTCTTTTCTGGCATCGACTCGGGGATTTTCAAATTTCCTATTTCGGTTCCTTGTCTGTTGGTTGACTTTTTTTTTTTTCCTTTCCCTTCTATCCTTTTGTTGGTGAAATTTGTGGTCGGTAATCGGGCGTTGTATCTACCAAGCTTCGTTCGAGAGCAGGAGGAGGAGGAGGCCTGTGACAGTCCGACAACGTGGTACAACAAAGTGGAGGGGGCAATTTACCTCGAGCGGCATTTCGAGACTCGACAGTGTGGCCGTTTGTCGCCGAAAAAGGTTTTTTTCCTTGGGTAGATTGATTAATTGTTCGATGCCTCTCAATCCTGTCCCTTTCTAGGTAGGTACTTACCTACTATAGTAAGGAAGCAGGGATATCTGATAATTTCCCGTGGTCCGACTTTGAACTCCTGTCACTTTCAACCTTCAGGTAAATTGAGTCTCGGCAGTGCCTTTAGAGACACCTAGATAGGCATCTTTTCGAAATTAGTCTACTTCCCGCCCGCCTGCCCGCCGCAGTAGCGGTAACCCTTTTTGGCCCCCAAATTCCCGAATAGCTCTGGTAAGGAGAGTCAAGAAGAAAGGAAACTACGCGGAAGCATACTTTGGGGTGCAGTTCCGCCAGGGTTTGAAGATTGTTGTGCCATTGTTTTGGGAAGAAACCCGCTTTATTTTACCCAGATGGTTCTTTGATCGTTCTTCGTTGGCGAATGCTGGATTACCCTGACGAAAGGTCTCCCCTTTGTTCCCTTTCGTGGGTTCTACAAGGGAACAAAGGAGTTCGCCGTTGCTGGCGGCTGTGCTCCCACGAGTTCGCCGTCACCGAGTCTCGCTTGAGAAACGCGCGGGTCTAGCTGACGGTTCTTGCAAGTTGCAACCCCTATTCTACCCAGCAGGCTGGTGTTGGAGTGAGAGAGACACAGCGAGAAAGAGAGGTGAGGTGCCATGCGATACCACGCCACGGCACGCAGTAATCTATTTTTGCGATGCTGGCGAGAACGGCGGGCCCACGCAAGGTTCAAAAAGGCCCCCCACAATCATGCACGTATATCCCTGCACCGGCCACACAACGCCCAAGGCCGATCCAAAAAATTCGATCCCCGCGCTACTCAGAACGATCCATCATTGGCCTGTCCGGGCTGACGGCCAGTGATAGACTACTGAAAATAGCAGCGTAGCCGCCCAGAGGGACGGGACAGGTGACGCTAGAGCAGTGAGGTGCATTTGGAAAAATTCTACGATTGGGTGATGGGACAACGAAGAAGAGGAAGAAGAAGAAGAAGGAGAAGAACAATTGTCATTTGGGCGAGTCTGCCCAAGCTGTTCTGCGGCCTGCCCAAGGGGAACCTGCGCTCGCAGCGGTGCATTCTGATCTGCGACGTATCTTGGTCCGGAGAATAAGGCACGTTGGGCATGATTGATTCGCTCTTCCACCCTGTCCAGCTTGGTTTATTTCTGGGATTTCTCTTCATTTTTAGGTACGGGGACGGACGCGGGTATGTTGTGTGATGGAAGTGCAGTAGCTTCCATTGAGTCTCCCCCTCTCACTCACTTGTCGACTCTTGATTTAGAACATCACCCAGAACTAGACATGACTTGAACCAGAATTGCAGCACAGGCAGCTTATCGAGCGAGCATGGAGTCGTGCGCGTAGTACGTCAGATAATCGAGCTTAGCTCACCTCACCTATCGGGGACGACGGCCGACGCCAACGGCCTGACGCCTGGGCTGGGTCGAGGGTCGAGAACGCGTGGTTTGCTGGCGGCACGTTTGATGACGGGCTGAGATAGATGACAGGCGGGCCTTCTCGGTTGCTCTTTCTAGGTTCCCCCATACCCCTCTCTCTCGCGTGTCTCCCACATTCCTTGGCAGAAGCTCGTAGTCGTTAACAAAGATGACCGCGTGGAGGGGGGATGATGAAAGAGCGTGGCGTGTAACCTAAAGACGGGAAAACGATGAAGATCATGAAACAATTCCTCGCCCACCTATCCATAGCTCCCTCTTTTGGGAAAACCCCCCTGCCCCTACCTTTACTCTGTACCCCCTACCACGGCCAAAAGCCAGAGCCATGATATGCACGCGGCGCAGCACATCGTCCAACATTGTCATCTAGTAGAGACGGGTTTCATCTTCCTTTGGCGCTGAATGAGTAGCCTACGTAGGCGACAAGTGAGTTTCCCTTGTCAGATACGCCACGCCACGCCACGCCAAACCTTTTTTTATCCCACTTTTTACTCTTTCTCTACCTTGTCTCCCATGTCTCCTACCACCGTCACCGCCGTACCTTGCGCGAGTTCCTTGTTCACCCGCACCTCTATGCGATTGGTACCTCGCAAAGTGGTAAAGCGGCATGCAACTCTACAATATCTCGCCGGCCGGCATCTGCGGGGGGAAAACTCACCCCTTGCCCTCGCACGCCCGGGTACCCATGTAGTAGTGGATCAACGTCCGAGGTATCTCATCCACACCTCGTGTACATCGGCAGGATAGCTGCTTTCCCCTTTGGGACTATGGGGACTAACACCACTCGCCAAGGAGGAGCAGCCACACACGCCCATTCTTCTTTACCCACAAGGCTGTTTTGAGTTGCATCGCAGCACAATGAGACGGGCTCGCAAGGGGAAGGGCTCCTCCTGCATATGAGTGTGCTCCTCTACGTCTTGTTTCAGATCTTTTTTGGGTCAACCCTGTTTGGAGTTTACTCGCAAGCTCCAACAGGCCGTTTGTTGATATAACATCATCATCCTCCCCGTCTTCTCCCAGTATGCAGAAGAAAGATCAGCAGTAGTATCTTGGTGTTTGTATTTCTCAACAACCGCGCAAATCTAAGCCTGGCGCTCAGAGTCTTCTTTCCGCGTTCTCTTCAATAGGTTTTTTTCCCCAAAAAAACTGTAACCTTCATCGACCTGGCGTCGCCTATTTCGGCTTTAACTACATTATTCTTTTCCATACGGGAAACCCCCCCAGCAAAATATACAACACAATGGATCTCAAGAGTCGCATCTCATCGCCTCTGGAGGCCGGCACCTCCATCCTAGACGTCCAACACCTCCCGCCCCATCTTAACGAAGCCCTGGAGTACGCCTCCATGCGCCTCGCCAGAAAGGCCCTCCACGTCACCCTCGTCGTCGCCCGCCGCGAGTACCAGCTACCCTCACTCGTCCCCTCCTCCTCGGCCTGCTCTTCCGCCCTCTCCTCGCCCACAATGTCGCCGCCCCCGGCCTCGGCGTCCAGCAACTCCTCCTTCTCGTCTTCGTCCTCGTCCTCCCGCTTCAACTTCACCACCAAATCGCCCGTCTCCTCCTTAAAGAAGCTCGTCCGGACAAACACCGGCTCCAGCGCCTCGTCCGTCTCCTCCGCCGGCAGCAACGTCCCCGAGAGCCTCGTCTTCACGCCCTCCTTTCTCATGGACACCAACGGCCCGAGGCTGAGGTGGCCCTTGTCGCCTGGTATCCCCCTTTCGCCGCCGCCCATGACGCCCTCGACTGCCTCCTCCACCATCACGGACGCCTCCGGACCCATGTTGCCCAACCCCTTTGGCATCCGCCTCATCCACGCCGACCTGCTCACAGACAGGCAAGAGAGGACTCTACGCCAAACCATTGATCGGGCAGAGAGGAAATTCCGCATCGGGTATGGTCTTTCCCCAACAGTATCCCTCCCCATTAACCACCCACTGACAGTGACTTCTCTCCAGAACCGAATGGCTCCCCCCGGTAGTGGATGGCTCCGCCTGCGGCCTAACAAGCAGCCTCATCCGCCGCTCTATCGTCCAAAACGATGTCCTCTTCGCTTCCGAGGGCCTGACCCTCGTCTCCCTCGACCGCCTGTACACATTCAAGGCCGCCCTCTCAAGCTACTCCCGCACCGACGCCCCTCTCCGCCTCGAAGACGCCGTCGACGAGCTCCGCAGACTCATCCTCTCTCGCGCGGGCAACAAGGTCTCCAAGTCAGACGTACTCCGATCCTACGACTGGCTCAGCGTCACCGACGTCGCCCTCGCCGACGTCGACAAGATGTACCGCAGGGCCTACGGCGGGCCCGACAGGGTCGGCGCCATCGAGGGTGTGGGCTCCGCGGCGCAGGTGGCGCGGACCGTGAAGGAACTCGAGCACGAGCTCGACGAGACACTGGCCCGTACCGCGGCGGCCATGGACGCCATTCGCATTGCAAAGCCGCCTTCGCCGCCAAAGGGCCCCGTCCTGAAGCTGCAGACAAACTTTGACGCCCAAATCCCAGTGGCCGCGCGGATGGAGGTCCGTAGAGAGGAGGTCTCGGAGGAGGACGAGGACCTCACGGCACGGCCGGAGCGCCAGGCCCCCGTGTCCATCTGGAGCCCCATCTCCATTGCTGAGGTTCTGCACGAGGACCGCAGCCGGTCGGGCCCGATGACGCCCAATGGCTATGATGATATCTCGCCCATCACCCGCGGCGAGTGGGGTTTCCTCATGGGACCTGCGGGGGTGGGCAGCAGCCGCATCGCCCCTGTGATGACTTGCTGAGCGGTGTTTTATCTAGCGCTTGATTTGTTGTATTTTAATTCATGACAAAGGTGTGGGAGAACGGTTTGGTGTATTCTTCTGTGTGTGTAAGATAAGTTTTTCACCGAGTGCCATGACCTTCACGAGTACATTTTTCTTCTTCTCCTGGGGATACTAAATCGGGGCTATGCCAGGCATCATGTACATTACCTGCGCTGAAAAGAAGGAGAAGAAAAAAAGGCCAAAGGGGGAGGGCAAAAATTCAATCAAAAATAAAAATTTTTCATCAATTTTGGGATCATACTTCTTCTCTCTACCATCCGTACCGACTCGACGCCTCCTTCCTGTTGCTCTTCCCCTTTGCAAAGCTGTCCTCGAGGGCCTCGCGCTGGTTCTGCACCTGGTTGACGAGTTGTTGCAGGCTGTGCTTGCCCGGCGCGATGGCTCGTACGGGGTTGTGGATCTGCTGCTGTCCCGAGGCGCGGATCTCCTCGTTGTGCCTATACTCCTGGTCCGTGTTGAAGTTGATGACCCTCGACGCCATCTGCGGCGCGCCGCCGGCGCTGCCGCCCTTTTGTCGGCCGAACAGCTCGCGCCTGGCGGCCGCCGACAGGTTCAGGTCGTTGGCGATGGTGTCGAGGGAGTCTGACGTGTTGGGCGCCGTCGTCGGGGCCGTGAAGTTTGCTTCTGCCGCGTATTCTGCGTAGCCGTTGTCCGCTGCCGCTGCCGGCTGTTGTGTTTCAAAGAGCGGCTCGTATGCGCCGCCGCTGGTTCCTGCTGCGGTGTCGAATTCTGCTGGCGTCTCCTCGGTCTCTATGGAGAAGAGGGAGACCTTCTTTGGTGCTGGCGCCGGCGCCGGCGCCGATGCGGGTTTGTCCTTGGCCTCCAGCGGTTGGGTCACTGCCGACGCAGGTTTCGGTGTCGTCACTGCTGGAGACATTGAGGCAACCGTCTTCTTCTTGGACTTCCTGGCCACGGAGAGAGGCTTGAACATCATCGGCCTCCCCACCAGTTTGACCTCGTCTGCGGGTTTCATCCCCTCCGGTATCGAAGGTTGAGCCTGTGCTTTGGGCGCGGGCAGCCTGATCCCGCCGCCAGTGGTACCGGGCAATCCATCCGTGTCTGACCCTCTCTCTCTGCTGAATCCAGGCTCTGCCCCCGTCTTGAGCTGGAATGCTGGCCGCGACGAGCTGCCGCTGCCGCCGCTGCTACTTTGCGCCGAAGCAGCAGCTTTTGCGGCGTTCTTGGGAGCCGGAAGGAAAGAGTTGAAGCCGCTGAATCGACCGCCGCCGTTTCCGGTGCGTGCGCGTTTTGCTGGCGGTTCGTCGTTCGAGAGGGATGGTGTCGGGGCTTCGGATTGCGTTGATGGTAGACTGACGACGATCTTGCCTGGGTTCGACCTGTCGACGACTTTTTGGAAAGGCTTCTTGCCAGTGGCGGAGGATGCGGGCTTCGAGACGGTTGGCTTGACGGGTGCCTCGTTCTCTGACCCTGAGGATTCTGAATAGTCTACCAGACCCATCGTTGTTGAAATCTGGTGTTTTGGCAGATGGAGAAAGGGTTGAAGATTATACAATAGGGTGCTGCAGGTCATCCAGGTGCAAAGTGCAGAACTGCAAGGCTGGTCGCCTATTCTAGGACCGTGCGTCATCGCCGTGCACGAGCCACATCTTCAACACTGCTGTTTCACAAGGCTGAGGGAGGAACAACCAACTCATAGCTACCCCTCGGTGGCTGCTTCCTTGTTCCTCACACTTCCCACCGAAATTTCTTTGCTATTCTGTGAGCTGAGCTCGCAATTATGTTCTTTTTCAGATCGCGGGCGTGGATTACTTCGATCTGACAGCTCTTGGGATGATCCGCTATTGACCATTTCTTTCATCCCCCGTTGACCGGTAGCAGCCCATCATGTCGGTCATCCAGAACGAAGAGTAGGTGGACGATACTATCTGATGCTAAAAGCCTTACTTATTCATCGTGTTTATCCAGGCTAGTTGCGTACCAATTGCGCTGCGGCTACCTCACTGAAATCGCAGATGGAGTGGGAGAGCGACTGATCACCCTTAATGAGGGGTTCATGAACTCCTCGGCTTTCAAGGCGGTCGCATGGCAAGCCAATCCCGATCTCGTCAAGCGATGCTACTCCCCTCCGATTCCAACGGCAATTGCCTCTGAATATTTCCAAGCCCCGCGGCAGGCTGGGGTCACCCTCGAAGATGAGCCCGACGAAGCTGGAATGTTGACCGGCGCAGGCACCGATACCCTTGGCCCCGGTCTTGCTACAAGAAGGAGGAGACGGCGGGAGAACTTGGAAGACGATGATAGTAGCGATCTGAGCGATGAGAGCGACGACGATGACGCTGGCCAGCGAGCGGCTCAGCAGATCAAGTTCGCCAAGATGCCCGTCCGATCGAGGGCCGGTTCTAGTCCGATTCAATCGTCGCAGATCAAACAATCCCCAGCCATGTCTCCTCGCGCAGCCCCTGGCGCACGGCGAGGCTCGCAATCTGCACTGGAAGTCGTCAAGGAGAGGGCGCGCAGGGACACGGTGACGAGCAGCGAGGTGTCGTCCGAGAACGAGTTCGACGCTTCTGGCTTTCACAAGCAGAGAGAAGCTGCCCGAGCCGCGGCCAAGTCAGTCAAGCTTCAGGCTAAGATTCTGGAGGAACCAAGTCTTGGAATCAAGCGCACTGGCACGCAGTTGCTGCCGGAGGAGGAGGAGGAGGATGACTCGGACGGATCAGACATGTCTGGCGCCTACATCGAAAGTATCGACTCGGCCTCTATTCTGGATGCCGTCGAGAATCCGGAGCCACCACCTCACAAGCAAGTTGTTGGAACGCCCCCTCGAGAATTCACCAGGACGTCTACTATCCGAAAGTCACAAGCGCCACCTCGCATCTTGCAGGCCCTGCCGCCGCCTCGCCCCATGAGCACGATCCGGCCTATGAGCATGATTCAACCCAAGAGTCTCCTGTCTGCCGCTCTCAGAGCAAGAAAGACGAAGCCCAAGGTGCCGTTTGAAGGATTTGCGGCGCTTTCTGGCCAGGGCGAGAACAATCCCATCGCTGTTCGCATATATGCTGCCTTCTCCGACAACCCCACGAAACCGTTCGAAGTCCCTATCAGACGCATGGTGCATCATGGCGAAGGTGGCGATCGGCCCGTCACCGTGGCGGACCTCATCGGTCTTGCGCTCTTCAGATATAACGAAGAAAAACGCCAGCCGCCCATACCTGCCGATAAAGCCAACATCAACTGGTTCACATTGAGAATGGTCGAAGAGGATGGAGAGGTTGATGACGATTTCCCGCCCTTCGAGCGCAACAAGGCGTTGACGTCCTTCACCACGGCGAACAACCGCGCTGCAGGAAGGATGCGAGCCAACTCTAAGACTTATGATAACTTTGGATTGGTCCAAGCGAGTCAATCCGAATATGACGTGAACCAGAGCATAACCCCACAAGCAGAGGAGGAGCCGGCTGAGGAGGCCGACGAGGACTTGACTCCGCGCAACACGCCGCAGCCGAACCTCAACTCGTTCCTTCCCGTCGCCACAGAGCCTCGCCTGAACCCCGTCACGAATACTGCATATCGTCAACAGCATAGTATGTTCGCAGACGCACCTCAGGCGCCGGCCGCGGCGCCCAACATGAGTCGGGGTCAACAGAAGCTTTTGCGCGTGCACCTCCACTCGACCGACGTAGCCCCGGGCCAGCTGGTCACGCTAGATACCACGACGGAGACGTACATGGCCGAGGTCCTGGACATGGTATGTCGCAAGAGGCAGCTGGATAAGGCCAATCACGTACTCAAAATGCCTGGCGGAGGCCCCGTGATCTTGCTTGACACCAAGGTTGCAGCAATTGGCAGCTTGTCGGATCTGGAGTTGCATCGACGCCGTTTCGCGACAGACGGCCCACTCGCCATGACTGGATCCCCTGGAAGTGCCTCACCAAAGCTTCTTCCGTTTGTGGGCGACCAGCCGGGCCGCAAGACCAAGAAGCCGCATATCATGGGAAGCCACCCATTGGCTCGGGAGGCCATCAAGCAGGCAGAGCTTACCAGCGCATATCACAAAGCTTGGGTAGTCTGGCGTTTGCGCACCGTCCGGATGATAACACAATCTGAAAAGCGATTCGAGATTGATGGAGAGTACGTGCACATCAAGCCGACGACGAGGGATTCCAAGACGACGACGGCGCACATTTCCCAGGTCATTGGATGCAAAGTATCTAGCAAGCATCCAAATCAGTTCAAGGTGAGTTGGCAGGCGGATAGCCAGGCGGTCTGCCGCATCACGTCCATAAGCTGACTAGACTCTGCAATAGCTATTCATCTACCGGGATACTGAGAGTAAGCGCTATGACTTTGAGGCCAAGTCGACGGAAGAAGCGCATGAGATCGTCAATGAACTTAAGAAGGGAGTTGCTCAGGTTATGGGCTGAGCCACTCGATGATATTTCGCATGATCTGATGATTACGGGATGCGTCACGGATGAGCTGTCTTGTCCCCGCCACAACGCTACGCCACGTATACACCGCCACACAGCAAATGTCCAGTGACATTGAGGGAGAAGCGGTCTTGAACATTTGATTGGCTGAGTGACGATCCACTCCAATTGCTGACTAGAACGGGAATGGGTTGGTCGGGATGAATCCGCCCACTGTGCCGTATGCCGGACGCGGTGATTACGCGTCACCGCCGAAGGGGTGTGGCCACCTTCGCGCTGCTTATTTCAGCAGGGGAGTTGAACAGGGAAAACTGGGCTGCGAACTGCTTGTTCGCCTTCATGTCGGCCGCGGGAACGAGAATTATGTAATATGTACTGCGGGTGGAGAGCGAGAGAGACAAACAGTGGAGGGAGGTCTGCTGGTGTGGGGCCATGTCCAATTAAGGTTCGCATCCTGGCTCCTGCGTCATGCAGATCAGTGCGATTGGAATTGCGGGTCGGGATGCTTGGCGCCGCGGTCGCGCTCCCTGCTTTGGTCGAGCCCAGCAAGGCTAGGCACTTTTCATTTATGAAGGGGAAGTCTGGGAGAAGAGGTCCAGAGTCTAGATGGCCCTTTTTTCGCGTCTTGCAAAACGCCAGGGAGAGGATGATGGCACGATGGATGAGCGGGATGAGGCAATCAGAGACCAGGCCAATAGGGGATTGTCGGTATCCGTACATGAGCTGACAACTCGTCCCCGGATGCTTGAGCCTTAAGGAAAATACCTCCCTCTCTCTCTCTCTCTCTCTCTTCACCGAGACCTTGAGTACCTTACTACTTTAGACCAAGTAAGCAATCAAAAGACAAGATTTGAAAGACTCGAAACGACGGGTGGGCGATCGCGTCGAGGCTGGCCGCCTCGCCTGCCTACCAGCGTGTACCGACTGTCCCAATTCATGGTTATTTACTAGAGGAGGCGCGTACGACATATGCTTATTGATATGCCTGTGTAATACCCGATGGATGCTGTGCGCTACTGGGATGGTCGGACAAGCTGCTGGGTGCTCCATGAATACATGTACCATATCACCCCATGGTGTAATCATCCGATGGAGAAACCCCGAGGTTCTGGTGGTGTACTCTGTTCGGTGGAACGGTTCCATCGACAGGGCGAAGCTCGACGGTCCCACTGCTTTCCGTGCCTTTTGCCCTGTCTTTGCACATGCAAGACGGTACGACACCAGCGAGGCAGAAGGGAGGAAATACTTACGAGCGGCTGTGGACTTTGAAGTAGGAAGCGTGGAAGCTCATTCTTGATGGGTCTCCTGTGTCTCAAGGGAGGCCTAGGTCGCACAACAGCGTCCGCGACGGGCGGGCATGGCACACGATCCAGAGTCGGTTTGCATTCTCGAGGGCGCTTCATCTTCCTCTTTTGTTCCTTGGTGGTTTTTTTTTTTCTATACTAATAATAAAAAAACCCCTTTCGGTCACTGAAATCTTGAATTGGTGGACAATATACATGCGTATGGCTTCTATCATCTCAAGAATGCAGGTATCGTGCGCAGAGGCAGGGTCGTCCGGTTTGGAGATAAACTTTTGCGGCCTGATCGCAGTGTGAAAACCTTCTGCATGAACCTTGCCTTAATCCGAACTTTCAAATGAATAAGCGTGGGATGGGCGGTTTTGAGGTTTTTGAGATGCCGCCAAAATCGTCGAAACGAACGGTGTCCTTGGACATTGGCATTCTGTGACGCAATTTTGATCCTCTCTTCTGTTCCTTTGCGAATCTGGGGTTAGGGAATCTGTCACTTGGGAACACACACGCCACCCCGAACGAGGCTTCCACACATAATTTCCCAGTCTTCCTTTGAAATCTCCTCACCGCGCTTTGCCAGCCTGTGCAATGCAATTATCCCGTACCTAGCTAGGCTGAGGAAGATAGGAGATTTGCGTGCACGAACTTACAGGCAGATGCATGAGTCCCGTCTAGCGAGGGAAAACAAGAAGAAGAAAAAAAGAGGAAGAGAAGGAAGAAGCAGAAAACGCCACACCACCCCATCTGATCTGAATTTCAGTTTCCTTTCCCCCTTTCGCGTTTGTTTGACGGAATGGAAAGAAGGGCGTCAGAGCATTGGCGCGGCTGTCGCCAAGCGTTTGGCACCGTCGGGAAGCCAAAACTTCCAAAGACGAGGGGTCTGCCAAGGAAAAGGCGAGTAGTTGGGAGGTTCGAGACTACTACTACACCACACCTCTCAAGCTTCTCAAATTCAACCACCCAGTCAACGGTCGAGACTCATTACCCCCCTGCCCCCTTACCTGCTTAGCACCTTGGGTAGCGAGCTCCAATTTCCAACGGTCAAACGCCAAACCAGGAGCTCCCCGCAAACCCCCCCGGCTTCTCCATGGTCCAACAAGCCAAGCGCAGTAATTGTTAGTGGTTACGTGACTGTATGACCCAGGTTGCGAACCGGCATGAAAGCCTAGAACCGGCACAATGGAAATGCATCTTTGCTCCGTCTCGTCTTGCATAATATTTCCGCGCTCGGTATTAATTCTGATGATGGCGCCTTGCGAGTGGGATAGCCGGCGACAGGGGGCGCGTCCTTTTGGACGAGGCCATAGTCACAGATACGTCATACCCTAGTGATATTCAAACAGAGCACGCATCCGGCCCCCCTTCCGCGGATGACGGCTGCTAGTGTACAGCGAGTTCGGCTCGCGGCACGGTCCTCTTTTTACCCTGGGCCCGCGCGGGGGGGGAGGTCCTTCTAACTCCATCTCGAGACAGACAAAATAATCAATCCTTTGCGAATTGTTGGATTCAAACGGTTCATAATGATAATTTGAGGTCGGTATTCAGGATTCGAGAAAAGCCCGTTGTGTCTGGCGGTTTGCATTGACCTTGCCAGCCCGTCAGTGCATCAAGCTTCCGGGTAGTATGAGAATCCTTGACAGATCGATCGAATTGTTGGGCAGAAAAAGTTTGCTCATCTTTTCCCCCAGGCCTGTCAGGAAAATGAAGAGAGCCTCTGCCTTCCCATGTCGTTGGAGACACTTTTTTTGAGTTTGAGTTTTAGTTTAAGCTGGCAGGCGGGCATAGGCTTGTTGGACAGGCTAGGTAGGTACGGGTAGACAAGATGGAATGGACAGACTGACCTTGAGGGTGAGACTGGGTGACTGCCCGGCTGATTTACAGGCGTGCAGTGTTTGTACCGTACCTTGCCTTATCCGTATTGTGGTACAGGTTGAGCCATTCAGCTCTTTCTCAGCTGTGCCAGCTGGCAGCTGGCAGCCTCAACAGCACCCGGCGAAAGAATGTCGATCTGGGGGACCCGGCAATCGGCTGTACAGCTTCGCCCTTTTTTCCCACAAGCCTCATCCTCCGGGCCTCGGGTGTGCTCCATGGAGCCTCCTGCTCGAGTCCTCTCATGCGTCCATTGATGGAAGGCCTCTGCCGTGAAACGGTCCAATTGAAAGCAATCAACTAAGAGCTTTAGAGGGACGGGGAGAAGGGCCAATCGTCGGGACAACTCACCGTTTCCTTCTTCTCCATTTCTTCTTTCGTTGCGACTTTTACTCCGGGTTGGAGAGAGGTACCTAAGGTTGGTAGATATCCAATAGTCACTCAGTACGTACCCCCAGCTGAGGTCGACTTTCCATGGCTGGCAGTCGGTGGTTTCTCTAATGTGGGGCCTCTAGACGCGGGAAAGCGAGCTTTGGCGAATCACATCTTGTCAACTTCTTCTCCACCTCCTGTCGATCTCCTCCTCGCCGCTGCAGCGCCCCGAGTACTTGGCCCATGGTGTCATTGCATCCGTGACCATCTCACCCATGTCGATGTCTCGTTCCTTCCGGTTGTTGTCTGGCGGCCTGGCCAGCTCGTACGGCCAGGTAATTACCAAGCGACCCCCAGTTTTATTATTGTTGATGACATGTTGCTATTCGTCTTTGTATTTGTTTGCTTGGGCAGTAAGGGGATCTCGTTTCTCCCGGCCACCACTGCCTCATCCGAACCCACAATACATTGCTGATTCCCGGCTGAAAACAAAACGGACAAGAGGAATACATTAAAAAAGCGGACTCGTCTCTCCGGTACTGATGTACACATGCACTCGACATTGCATCCTACCGAGGGCTGACGTTGTGGCAATGGCGGGATAGCATTGTATATCATCCTCCCGTCAATGCCTCATCCTGCTCCACGCCATGCCGCCCGCGTGGCTTGCGAGTATAATCACTGCTGCTATCTTTGGGAGTCAAGGAGCATAGGTGCCCAGGACTCCAGACGCCTAACAGTTATTAGCTATCAGGCTAAACCCCCCTGATACGGCACTCGTGCCTTGATTCTTTCATGGAGCAAACCGTTAGCCACGCAGCGCGCCACCCTCGTCGCTTTTCTCGTGTCTCCTCGGCCGTCGACCGCACCGCTCGAGCCTAGCCACAGTCCACACCTCTTGAATGTGGGCTAGATTCAAGTCGGCTTGGCTAAAAATCCCGTCTAGTTTAGCGCTTGTTTTCGTTGAGGAAGCGGACGACATCATCTTCATCGTCATCCCCAATTCGAGACTCGCCTCTCTGGGGATCGGATTCTTCGATGCAGCCTGCGCGGTTTCCTCTCACTGCCTGGAACCTGGAGTCTAACTTCGTCAAGCGTGGCAGTCCAGCGTTCTGTCCTGCAGGGTGCTAGTGTTTGCTAACCAGGTGGCATCTTTGCCGCAAAGTCTCCCCCAGAATAGTGACCAGGAGGGCGAGGAGGTGGCACAGAATGAGTACCTAGACCTGGAGTACCTCAAAATTCCTCTCCTTTCCCAGATTGGGTCACGATCCCCAGCAGCTGCTGTACCTCCAGTTCCCCAGTTTCAGACACGCAGGCTTGCCAAAGGAACAAGGAGGGCCTTTTGCTTCGCCAATGCCGACAATGCAGCCTTCCTGGTTGCCGCTCTGCCATAGCCTGACCTCGCAAGCCTCACAGCTGGTCCAGCTGGCAGCCACAGAGAGGAGCCAGAAAGATGGAGCGGCAATTGGGGGAGACTGCATGTTACCGCGGGGATGACGTGAGGATGTGGATCTTTGTCGTTCGCCCTTCCGTCCTACCTCCTACATGATTGGAATACATGGGCCCCCTCCCCAGCTTCGACCTTGGCCGGGGTACATAGCATCAAGTCTCGGAGTGCCACCCGCGGTCCGCCATACTAGCACCAAGAAGTACCTCCTTAGACTGCCTCCACCCCCTGCGCCTCCTGGCCTTCGCCAAACGATGGAGGCGAAAGGGCACGAAGAAAGGAATCCTATCATCGACCGCCCGCGCCCCCGGTACCTTCCACCACAACACACAACGCGCCAAGTAGGCTTGCGTGCCCAGCGTTTGGTGGAGGATTCTTGTGGTGATGCCAGGCTTCTCTCGGCGCGAGGGGGGGTGTGGGTGACGAACAGTCCGAATGAAGGGGGGCGTGAGGAAGAGGAAGAGGACGAGGGTGAGAGAGAGAATGAACGGGACAGGCGGCTTGGCTCTCTCTCACACACTCACCCGTTCACTCTCTCTCTCCCTGGATGGTCCCATCAAAAGATATATAAGACTCTTTCCATCAGCCCTCTCCTTACATCTCCCTTTCCTCAACTCTATCAACTATCCCAATCCTCATCCAAATACCAAGTCCACGACCACCTAACATCTAATCAAAAACAACAACCCTTACACACCAATTACATCTAAATCAGCCAAAATGCGTTTCTCCGCCGCCACTGTTCTCGCCCTGGTCTCCCTGGTTGCTGTAAGCTGATTCCCGCTCCCTCAACACCAATTCCTCACACATACTGACGATATCTTCCCCCCATAGGCCCAGGAATCCTCTTCCACCACCCCCGCTGTTCCCGGCGCCTCGCAGGTCAGCTCCCTGATCGGCTCAGCCTCCAGCGCCCTCGCCTCCGAGGCCTCTAGCATCCTGAGCCACGCATCCTCCGCCGCTGGCGCCGCCAGCTCGGCCATTGCCTCCATCACCTCTTCCGCCGGCGCTGAGGCCAGCTCCCTGAGCGAGGCACTCACCTCCGCCACCGACGCTGCCGGCTCCGCCAGCATCTCCTCCAAGCTCGCCTCCGTCTCCAGCAAGGCTGCCTCCGCCGCCTCCAGCGTCGCCTCCGCCGCGAGCACATCTGCTCCCGGTGCTGCTCCCGCCCAGACTGCCGCAGTTGCCCTTGGCGCTCTCTTCGGTGGTGCCGCTCTCGTTGCCAACCTGTAATTTTACAGACAACAAGAATCATTATGGAAATCTGCGGAAATGGGATTGGCGGAACGGATTGAATCTTCCGGTGCGCGGTAAAGGGAATTACACAGCATTGTTTGGGCTTTTTGGAACTAAAGATATGAAGATGTAATATCAGTACGAATTGTACATCAATCAACATCAATTGTATATTCACCATGTTTATGAACCGCATTGCCGTGGCCGGGCGCCATTTGTCCAATATCCAGTGGTGCCGTCTTCAAATGCAAACTTGTCATATTGCGCCTTTCCAACCACTCAGCGTTTGCCGGGTGATATTGTTGGGAAATTGATTTCAGTTTACTGACGGAACTATTTGGTCACCCGAGGTGTACAACGGCGCTTTGCTCCGGTGGCCCAGGGTTGCAGCAGGCTTTGCGTGTCCTGCGCTATACTTCGTATCCTGGCACAAGCACTTATCCTAGTGCAAACGCCATAGCCTGCCCCTCACCAGATGGGGCATGAAAAGCGATGGTACATCTCAGCTTCCGCCACTCTTAGCCGTAATATAGTCCAGACTGCCTCATCTAGTGTTTCACCGCTTAAAAGCAAAGTGGAACATACGATAGCGTTCGATCTTGTTCGAACTTATTCGCTCCCAGGTTTGCGGAGACAGCTAATTAGTCCGTGCCTGTAAACTCCTGTATTGCGCCGTAAAATGATTGATGATCGAGGGCTTTGTCGGGTACACTATGCTCGACTATGCCTTCGACCGGGTATCTGCCCATAACTTGTCAATGATTTGGAAAATTGCCGTAATGTCCTTCATGACCGCATCGTCCACCTGTCCGCCAAGTTTCTGCTGCATCTTGTCGGGATGCCATCGCACTCGTTCCTCGCGTAGCTTTGCAGCAAACTCCTTCTCGCCAGTATCCTCTACACCCAGCCCGTTGACAATGAACCGTCGGACTTCCTTCTCGTTGATGTCTCTCTGCAGACCGCTTTCTACAGGCCAGGGGATCTTGTCCACGTCGTTGGCCCACTCTGACCAGCCTCGCGCGTAGGCCTCCCAGAGCTGGATCCAGACTCTTTTCTTGCGGCGCTCCTCCCCGCGACGCAGGCTTCTCTCCATGTCCTCTTGTAGCTTCCTGTTGAGCTTCTCCTCCTCCTTTTTGCGTTTCCGTGCTTCTTCTCGACGGGCCCGCTCTTCAATCAACCCCTGGTGTGTCTTCTCCCACATCTTCTGCCTAACATGCTGAGAGTATTCTTCGTCCGTCATCCGCTCCAGCTCCCCCTCTGGTCCTGGGCGCTCGTTGGAATAGACGTGTATCGGCTGCCCATACACACCCTGCCAGTATGCCGCACCCTCGTCGTCCGCCATCGCGTCGAAGAGGGACTCGCGGAATGCAGCGTCTGGGTCGAGAGCCTGGGGTTCGTAGGGGTTCGGCGGTGTCGGAGATCGTGATCGCCTGCGATGTCGCCGGCTGTTGTGGCGGTGGCGGTGGCGGCGACTCGAGCGAGAATCGTCATCATCGGCGTATGGGCCGTGGTCGTGGTCCTGGTCCTGGTCGCGGTCGCGGTCGCGTTGACGATGCGATCTGCTTGACTTGGAATGCTTAGATTTTAATCTGATGCGTGATGATCTAGGCCGCAAGTCTTCGCCGCCGTCTGTTGCCGCTTGCTCTTTGTCTTTTGCGTCCGTCGGGGTTGGGCCAGGCGATGACCTGCGCTTGGTTGGCTCTTGTGTGTTTTCGTGACTGTCGCTGGGATTAACCGACGATAGGATATGCCGCCTTCGCGGCGATGCCGGTGAACTGGCCATCGCGTGTTTTCCACCAGCACGCGGCCACTGGGAAATCTGTCGCAAAGAACGCTCCCGGCCGAGTTGAAGTTGAATAAGGTTTGCCGGAAGGAAGGTCTTGGAGGGGTCAGCCAGGGTTGACGTCGTTAAATTTTGGCTTATCTTATCTCGTGCGGCGTTGATGGTTTCCTTGGGGGGTCTTGGCATCTCCCGTGCCTGGATTATTCCTGCCACTCCCGCGAGATAAGGTTCCATGAGCCCACTGATGACCCGCCTTCCCCGGACAAGGAGGGTAGGTACTTTTCTCTCCGTATCTTGAGGCTCAGCGGACTGCAACGTCGTCTACCAAGCTAAAGTGCATGTTCTGCACGGCCTCTGGCAGACGTTTCTTTCTTGACAATAGTGTCGGGGAAACACCCACATGTCGCCTACAATGTCACCTTTGAGGAGTCCGATCACATGACTCATTTTACCTTGCCTTGACTCCAGGATGCACTACATCTCACGCAGTGAGAGTGAACCCCCCCTCGCTCACGCGGTCAGGGGAAGTAAGGCAGAGTAATGAGGCGGGTCTTATCTAGTGGAAGAGGTTCTGGATTTTGTTGATCTCTTGCGCTACACAAAACGGGAACGAAGCTACTATTCTCAACACCATCAGTCGGCCAGCAGAAGAAGCAAACCAGGCCAGCAGGGTAATTAGATCTTTTTGCAGAAGCACCGTCGTGCGTGTGTGTGTTTTTTCGTAACGGCCAAATACCTCTTGAGCATTACTTCCGCGTCGAGGTAGTAGCGTGGGACCTTGCCGTACTCAAGCCGCAATGCATTTCCGCCGTTTGCAAGAGCATGTTGACGTAGCTCGCTCTGAAATCGGATTTTCTGGAAAATCTGTTGAATTATTCACAATCTCCTCCCTTGTCTAGAAGCGTTGTTGCAAATACCAGCGGGAAAGTGAGATGGGAACGAATGGATGGGTGCGCTTACGCCTCAGGGTTTATCGAGACTCAAGCAGATGTAAAGCGTCACTGTAACTTTGCAGTTAGATTCAGAGCTGAAGTTCCACAGGGAGAACGTCTTAGCCCACAACGGACATTCAATATCTAGCCATTACACTGCATACCATTAAAGACTAGGTAGAATATTCATTGAATGCAATTGCGGCATTAAGTTCTGAAGTCCTCTTCTACACCTTCTACCGGGGGAATAACATTCCACGTTTCTTAAAGCCCGTCAAAGCAGTATCGCATGGGCAAGGTCTGTACTGTACCCCATTTACCCGAGTAACTGAAGGCGGTTATACCGTATGATCCCATCTAGTGTGTTCATATCGATGACCACAACGGGTTGCCAATACGTGCCCGCAAATCAAAGGGCTTTTCTACTTGATTAATGTGATCTATAGAGGTCAATATCGTAATCGTAGCCCGCCGTGACCCGACACTATTTCACGGACCAGTTGTTGTCTGCTATTACCATCTTTTCCTAGCCATTCAATCACGCCGGTTTCTCTGTTGACCATTTCTCTCCAGGCACCACCGAGCGGGCTCATCTATTATACCGTTCAATCATTCATGCCAGATTCGGTGGCCGTGTAGGATTCCCAGCCAGCTGTGGCAGCAGCAGCATCAACCTTGGAGGCCTCCATAGCCTCAACGATACCCTCCAGACGATGTTTCAGAGAGTTACTGGCTTGAGCCAGCATCCATTCCCCTGCTTTTCTCGGGACCCACGGAGGCAGGGAACAAGGGACCCAGTCTTTGTGGGCATCGCTTCCCCAGATGGGTCGTTGGCGGCGGCGGTTTTGATAGTAAAAGAATTCGAAAAGATGAGAGCAGGAAGGGCAGCAGAGCCTACTTGAAGGCATGATGAGGATATCCTCTTGGAAAAGATCCGTGACTTCCTTGTCCGGGAGGGCTATGCCGCTGTCCATCGAATTTGGGTTCAGATTCTCCCTCTCCCTGGCGAGGAGCTGCAAACAGAGCATCGTGCTTTCGCAGTGGTATCCGCCACTGAAATAAGTAGAGTCGAAGTTTTGCTCGCCAGCTGTGTGGTTTATTTTTATATTTTCCGAATTGACCCACCATAGTATCTCCGTCAAGGGATTGGGGTGCTGGGGGTCCTCTTCAGTAACGTACCCAAATTCTTCCTCTAAAAGTTTTCGAATGGGTATCATCTCATGGTCTTCCTGCAATGAAGTAACTTCAATCAGATGGAAGTCGCCCTTTTTGATGACGTGCGATATGTATTCCCTCCAGTGTGGCTCCTCGCCGAACTCTTGCTTGCCAAGTTCGACATGCGCAAAGAGGTTCCCGAGAACGAGGTCCAGGTACTCGACAGCCGCAGTTGCCCAGCTGTCTTGTACAAGATCAGCCAGTTTTGCGAGTTCAGGAGAGTATTCGGCGTTTGCTTTGTCGAGTCTCTCCTCCGCCTCCAAGACCCCGAATAAATCTTCAACGGTGTCATCCGAGGAGCTGGATTCAGTGTCCGAAAGGACGTTATCCCGCTTGAGAAAGTCCGCGTCTCCCAGATTGAGTCCATCCTCCAGCCATTTGAAATGAGCCAGCAGCAACGTATCGAACTCTACCCGAATCTGGAGGAGCTGATACATCCAATCCGACATTTGCATAGCGGCAGCGTTGAGGCCACGGACATTGGGCTCTCTGCATCCAATACCCTGGAGGAGGATGGTCTTTCTGCGGTGACACTCCCGTTTTAGCTTCAACAGATTGTCCATTGCCCTAGCCAATCCTTCGAGAAGGCGTGTGATGATGTGATGGAAGGTCATTCTTCCGGCTTCATCATACCAGGTCACGCCTGGTCTTGGATAGTCTTCTAGTTTAGGATCTTGGCGATGTTGCCGGAGGAATTTGACGACACCTATCAAAACTCTGTATTGATACTGTGTGAGAGGTTCCATCTGCGGAAGGGAATGATTTACCGTGGTCCACGTATGATTGGAGACATCCCGGGTAAGAAGATTGTAAAAACTCTTGGTCGAACTCTGCTTCGCCGCCTCCGTCGCCGCCCCTAGAGTTTCTTTTCCCTTCTCATGGTTGATTATGCCACTTTGAAACAATTGGCTGTGAGTTCTCTCGCAGCTCAGGATAGAAATGTAGTCTAGCAAATTGTCTGCAGCTGCGTCCAGTTCGTTGGGAGCCTGAGCTATGCGAGTCCGCCTCAACAGACCAACAAGGTTATTCGCGTGTATGGGAAAAGTGATTCTTGACTGCAGCTTTCCATCTTGGGTCGTCTCCTCGATCATGTCGACATAGTACTGCGCTGCCGTTGTATTTTGAGAAAACGATTTCCCCGTCAGTTGTATCTTTCTACACCTTAGGTGGCTCTGCTGAGTATCTGTGGACACCGTCTGGGAAGTGTTTGTAGCCGCGGGAATGTTGCCCAAGACGACAACTCGTGGGGGAATTATGCGTTCTCCCATACTGAAAATGGTGGCAGCTACCTCATTTTTGTATGTGACGAGTTTGGCGAAGTCGTTCAAATATGCATGGGCATCGGTTGACAAGGTCCCATCTCTGCCCCTAAGAAGACCCAGACTAGATGGGTACACGATGGGCAGGTGATTTGTCAAAGACCAAAATTTGCGTCAGAGTACGATATCTTAGTATTTCTTCTCGTGAGAGGAACTGCATCTCCGTTGTTGCAAGAGAAACCATCGCGTCTGCCAAAAAGTGATCGAGTTCGCTATAGGATTACTTTACTTGCGAAAGCTGAGCATGCCCAGGGTCCGTACCTCAAGGATGAGATGGGGAAAAGTCGAAAGATCTTCAGTGACGCTAGAGCTTGATGACAGGGTCTAATTGTGGCAGAAAGCGATAGGAAAATACTGGGAAGCGGCTTATGGGAGCGAGCAGCTTTAAATGGACGCTGTTCGTGGATACCAGGTGAGTTGGTTCGCCCGTTGAGCTGGGTTCTCAAGGTTTTTTCTTAAAAAATTTCTTTGATTTGAAGAAACAGCACGTAAGGGAAATCAAGGCCGTGGAAGACAAGAGGCTCGGAGAAAGATATTGTGATCCACGAGCTTGTGGGTAATTACAAGATGTGTAACGTGCCGTTCTACGACATCCGGGTCTCCTTTTACAAAGCCACGAGTGCTTGAATTTTGGAATGATGGATTCGAAAGAGGCGAAAATCGAATGATGCGAGTTATACCTTAGACCTCAGTTCGATTTCTGACCTCAAGATCCATCCACCGCGGGTCTACCATTTGGTTCAGTTGTCCCAATAACGTTCTTGAAGATGAGTTTCTCCCGGCAATCAGTAAAATAGACATAGATCTTCACCTCAAGGTGGCTGAGGATCCGCTTTGAGAAGTCCATGATAGCCGTCGACCTCTGCGGCCGACCTCTCCGTCCAAAGCCGTCGACAGAGCTATTTCGCCTTCGATCCCGCGTGTTGAGGAACTACACCAGGTTATTCGTACGAGTTTGGGCCATAGTCCTAATGCTTTATTAATATGATGTGTTTGTATTGCATCTCATGATTTCACTTGAAAGCTGGATTCCATTCTGGTTGATCGCCTGAAGCCAGAAAAGCCGAAAAGCCAACACTTTTATATCTTCACCTCAAGACTGCTTTGGTCATTCTCGACGAACGTGGCTGTAGTACATGGAATGATCACGGCACAGTTGTCAAAGTCTTGGTTGCCTCCAGCGGGCCACTTGACAGCATGCTATCCCACAAGGAGCACCGAGTCAGGCACCTTGACTACGAGCCGTGGCGTTGTTGAATCACAGCCAAGGCCTTCAGAATGAATCCACACGTGCCTAACCGAAAATACGTCCGACGTCTGGTTAGACCGCATCGAAAATTCACAAAGCCGCAGCTCTCACTCTCATGTTGATTTATCATGGCAGCCCGAATCGCGAAATATCTCTCACGACGTTTGCCGTGACAATAATGTCAGGGCTACTGGTGGACTGGCGATGCCGAACCAGAATTTTGGTTCAACTGGGAAAGACGCCCACAGATTGCCGCACATGGAAACATCATTACCAATCAAGCCGATACTTGTAAGCCTGCTCGGTCACGAAGTCCTTTGAAGAGCCGTGGATCTCCCAGACCTTCTTACAGAGAAGGCCGTCTGGATCGCGGCTCCGATGAGCGAGGAACGGCAAGTCATGGTCTAAATATGGGGTGGGGGGTGGCCTGGGCTCCATGGGGGCAGCTTTCTCTACCGAGATTGCGGACGAGCCTGGCACGCCTGCTTGCGGATGTTCGAGTTCCCTGCAAAAACGCCACGAAACGGGCAAGACATGTTTGATCCGCGAAGGAGTCTAGATTTCAATGCTGCTCTGCGACCAGGCATTGGCTGGATGCCAGATCGGATCTGAAGACGAGAACTGTTGAGCGCGGTGTCCCATTCCTTAACCCGCGGTTGCAGGGACTGCAACACAGGTGTACACTAACTTTGTGCTGCAGTATTTGCCAGTAGTTGGGGAATACTTCGTCAAGGCGCTTTTGTGTTGCCAGGCGGGAGAGCGTTCGGTGGCGTCGCAATGTTGCTCTTTGATGCGCCAGCTAGATGAGGTCGCCTGCTGGCAATCACCGCATCCAAAGACCATGATGACCATGTTAGTTTCAACGTTTCATCGTTGCACATGAGTCGCGGGAAACAGAAGCAGTTGAAACTCGCGACGAGCGCACCGCGATAAACGCGAAGGAGCTTTCTTTAGGTTCAAGGGTTTCACCGAACCCTGATTGTTATGGATTGGGGGAGCAAGATAAGCAATGTTGCATGCAACGTCCCGCAATGTGTATCTGTCTTGGCTATCCGGGGAACCAAGCCTTGTGAGACCTTAGCTGGCTTATGTAAGGTGAGCTCACAAAGCTACCTTAAAGTATATGCTGTCTGTGCTACGCGCATCTCATCAATTGTTCAATGTTCCTCCGTTATCGCATCCTCCTTGTTGACGAGGTGCCTTTGGTGAAGCAAGATGAGGCAAGCGATGCAGGCATATTAATACGGCAATACACGGCACTTAGAGCCGAACGCAGCTATCCGAGCGTCTTATCTGAGATGCAAGACGCTGACACGCGCAACCCCCGTTTACAAGGAACATGTCCCCTAGTCCATGATGATAGCAACTGGTGCCTCTGTAAGCACTGAGTTGTGCATGCATCGGAGGTACCGGATATGTATCGCTCAAAAGCCGAATGCGGGACAAGGCTGCAATGCAGGTCGTCATAGCTCCCCACTTTTCCGAGAGCTAAAATGCGGTGAGCCCTGTGGTTGGGTAAGCCGCGCGTGGCCCTCCGAATCCGAATGTGTGAGGTGCTTCCTTCCCCAGCGTTGAAAGCTAACAAACCGTCCAGGGTAGGTAGCAGCGTCGCTCACACTCTGGAACCGCAAGAGCAAGAGCAAAGAGCGAGGCGCCTCCACCACACCCTCCGTCCAATTCACGGCACGTCGCATGCGTTTGCTCCGACACGGTTGTCCGCCCTCAAAACTTTTTCACGTCGCCCAACGTCCCCCGCCGTAACAATTTTTGATTCTACTTCTACCTTAGTACATTCGCCTAGTTACAGTGCTCGACAATCGTGATCTGTCGAAGAACTCCCCTACGAGAGGCCCCGCGACCGGCATCTTCCCTCTCGAATAGTAGTTCTGTCTAGCATGCGTTAACAGGCGGGCTGAAGGAACTGCATAAGAGCAATCGCCATGGACTACTCCGATTACTCGTCGCAGCGCATCCTGCACACTGGCTCGTTCACCGGATTCCATCGCCTGGGACAGCTCGGTAGCAATTATCTTTCTGCAACTGCAGAAATCAAGCAGCCGCTATGCGGTAACGAAGAGGGTTGGGGTCCGCTGAGTCCCATCCGATACGATTTTACACCCTGCTTCATCGATGTCTGGATCGCCTCCGTGGCAGCATTTGGTCTTGTCTTTGGATCCCTTGCCATTGTATGGCTCGTCCAACGCCGGAAACCTTCTGATGCCCCCAAAGACTGGCATTTTTGGGCCAAGCAGGTAAGTTTTGTGCTTTTTTGGGCGTGCTCTCTTATCTTGTCTCTCGCTTCGGAGCTGACCCGCTGCCCTTCCAGTCCCTTCTCGCATTGATCATTGCCGACGTAACAGTACAACTCGCTTTACAAATCGTCAATTACCCTGGTGTTTGGTTTGGCGACTTTAGGTTTTGGACAACGGCTGCGACGATTCTATCTCTTGGCGTTATCTTTGCCATCCAATGGCTCGAGCATGCGCGCCTGCGGAACCCCAACGGCGTTGTTCTCTTCTACTGGCTCTTCCTCCTCATTGCATACGCAGTCAAGCTCCGATCCTTGATTTCTCAGCAGCTCTACGAGACTAGCCCGGCCTACTTCATCACTTACACTATCGGCTTCGGCCTCTCTGTGGCTGAATTCCTGGTCGAGTGGTTGTGGCCAAGGAAGGTCAGCGCATACGAGGCTCTGATCGATGAGGAAGAGTGCCCCATTGAATATGCCACTGTCTTCTCCCAGTTGACATTTTCCTGGATGACTCCTCTGATGCGCTATGGATACAAGCAATACTTGACTGAAGATGATCTTTGGGGGCTCGCTCGGAAAGACCAAACCAAAAGCACTGGTGACGCGTTCAACAAAGCTTGGGAGTACGAACTGAAGCACCATAAGAACCCATCTCTATGGCTGGCCATGTTCCGCGCCTACGGCGGCCCATACGCCATAGCTGCGCTCTTCAAGGCTGTCAACGATGTTACGCAATATCTTCAG